TAGGCCAAGAGATGCACGAGATAAACCTCGATTAGTGGTTCCTCACGATCTGTGCCAGGACTTGCTGCATCACTGTCACGAAGAGCTTCATGGCGGTCACCAAGGAATTACGCGGACGCACGAACGCCTGCGTCGAGAGTTCTTTTGGCCAGGTCTCTACGCTGATGTTGAACGTTTTGTCAAGGAGTATGTGGACTGCGCCTCTGGAAAGGGGAAGCCCCCTAATCCCGGGCCGTCGCCTGGGAATATTGAGCCCAACGCTCCGTTCGAAGTGCTGTCGATGGACTTTGTCACGCACCTCCCGAAATCTGAACGAGGGAATACGTTTCTCTTGCTTTTTCAAGATATGTTCTCGGGTTTCGTGATGTGTAAGCCCATGAGTTCGACGACAGCACAAGACGTAGCTGAAGCCTATGAAGAGGCTGTCTTCCGGCGCTTCGGTGCGAGCTCCATGCTCAGGCACGACCAAGACCCCAGACTTATGAGCGAAGTTTTCAGTCGATTCAGGGAAATACTGGGCACCAAACAGCGAGCGACGTTGGCGTATCGCCCTTAAGCCAATGGGCAACAAGAAATATCGGTGCAGACTATGGTGAGGAGCATCCGGGCCTATGTAGCGGAAGCAGATCAGAGCGACTGGGATGATCATGCGGAGAAGTTGGTGTTCGCCTTAAACACCTCCTTTGATTCGACCCGGCTCGAAACGCCCTTTTATCTGGCCCATGGCTGGGATGCGAAGAGCATTGTGTCGGCTATGCTAGGTCCACCACCCACGGGGCTGGAACAGAAGTCGGCTTACGAGTGGAGACGCAAATTGCAACGCGATTATAGTTTCGCTCATGCTTGGGCTCGAGACTTGCAGAAGGAAGCTAAACGGCTGCGCTCAGAAGCCCAGACTCGGAAATGGCGGGAACTATCGGGAAAACTCAAAGCTGGATTCCAAGTTGGTGACTCTGTCTGGCTGTATCTGGTCCGTGTGCAACCCGGGTTGACCAAGAAATTCGCGCGTATGTGGCATGGTCCCTTTCGAATTGAAGAATTCCGCGATGATTTCCGCGTACGGCTAAAGATCGAAGGCACCGGCTATCGAATAGGTCCCTGGGTACACATCAGCAGGTTGAAGCCGGGGCGCTCTTCCCAGAACGCCCAACGGTGGAGATCGAAGTGGCCGAAGAGGATGACTTCGACGCAGCATTATTACCAGAAGATAGCTGGGATCCTAAAGAGCAATCCGGCGTGTACGAGGTGGGGATTATCAAAGACCTCCGCTGGACGAAGAGGACCAGAACCGCGCGAAGAGTTCGTGAACATCTCGTGAAATGGAATGGATACTCAGATTTGGAATGGCTCCCGGCGACGCAGCTAAATTGGGGTAACCTGCTCTACGAGTTCAACAAGGGCGCTAAGGCGCGGACTCGATTTCGCGCGATGCAAGCAGGTGGTGATTCCGACGCTGTGGGGAACCCCCAGTAGTTCTGGGATTCAGGCGCTGGATGTGATTATATGTGCACGAGTCTGACGCTATGACGACTTGACCCGACAACGACAAAATGGATTGGTTCCAGAATGATGAATGACTTTTGAAGTGATGATTTGGCGACTGGAGATGAAGCGTGACCAACGGGAGTGTAGCGTGAAGCCCAACTCGACAGTGACACGCGAAGATTGCCGCAGGTGGTGACCGCTGCAACGACCGTCGAACCTGCATTGTATACGCTGCTTCCTTGCACGTGCTGGTACATGGAGCTAGGGCGAGTGGTCATGCGAGCTGCGCGGGGCTGCTAGCGCTCGGACGCCTCCCTTTCAAAGGCGCGCGCGCGTGGCTCCGTTCCTGCTGCGCAAGGCCGCTTTGCTGGTGATGATCGGGTTGCTTCAACCCGCGTGTCGTCTGAGTACCTCGCGGCCCAGACTAGAGTTCAGATGTTGGACAGTTAGACCCATCTCGACTCTCCAGTTGCCTCCGTGGCTCGAATTGGCCAATGGGGGGTTGTGACGCGGTGTCGATCCCTAAATTCGGGTGAATGCACCTGACCCTGGGAAGTCCCAATGATATGGAGCTTGGTGATACTGGATGATTTGGAGTCTCCTATAAAAACAAGGGTAATGTCTGCGAATGGACGCTGAATCCCGGAAGATAGATCAATGTGGGCGAGTTGATCCCGTTCCATGAAGTGCAACGGAATACGAGCGATCCTCCCCAGTATATCTAAGTACGGCGGAACTCGACTCTGGCTTACAACCTGGGAGCTGAGGCACTTCTCAGATTCTACGTTGTTTTCCCGGAATAACGATTCCCAGACTTCGCGTTCCCAGACTTACCTCCCACAAAATTCCAAGAACGACCTCGGCTTGAGGCGTTCCGAGGCTCCAAACCCAAGAACACTTGGTTTCACTATGGCATCTTCCAAGATCCTAGGTGTACCCAACAACCCGAGAAGGTATCCAGTTTGGCGACCCTTCAAGGTCAGACCAACACTCCGCAGAAAGATCGCAGTCTCCGAAGGGTCGCTTAGGAAAGATTTCGTCTGCATGTGACCTTTAACCAAACAGAATTCGTTTTGCTTCGAAGGGCACAAGTGCTTCTTTCACAGCCTGGAAGGCCGTTCTCCACGACAAAATTCAAAGCACTTTAGGTAAGTGATCCACTGCTTCGGCCTGGACGTGATCATATCTATTACATATCTGTATATTTGGCGGATTGCAGACCGTCTTTGTTGTATATTTGCGGTCTATTGGGCCTGTGTCGAACTGAAGAAGTTGGCGACAGGGTAGATCGTTTCCTCTCTCCGAGAGGTGGTGCGTGTTCCCAAGATTGATCAAGTGTCTTGGATTTGGACCAGTTGACTTGTATTTTGGCCTTAGCCTTGGGCCTAGAGAAAGAAGAGAGGGCAAAGAAGTATTTGTGTGATTGTATAACGTGTACAACTCTATTCGGGTTGGATTGTTCCAGCGTTAGCCCGGCGTAGCTGTCTGATTCACGGGGTCGATACTAACCTCCTGGTGAAAAGAATCGCTACCCAAGGGATACACATCGTGCGCCTGACCAACAGCGTGTACTGGACAACACACACCCTGTGCCAGCCGAGACGGATCCAAAGCTCTAGAAGCCTGAGGTCTGTCAAGGAGGGCCTATAACTGTTTTCTGGGAGAAAACACCGCATCGCCTCGTCACACAAGCGCAAATCGCTCATCACGATACAGACGGGTGTGGTGTTCGACTCGGCGCCCTTCATGCGCTTCTATAGTTCCGTGATCAAACAGCCCGACAGCTCTTACGCCATTGGAAGCGCGGCTTGGGTTGTGTTCGCCGGTGCACACCCGAAGAACGCGTTGAATAAGGTTTCGTCTTTCTGCGACGTCGAGATGCAAGACCCCAGCGGCTCGATATCCACCGTGCTGACCGACGTGCACTGGGACTTGCGCTACCACTGGCAGCGCCACCTCATTTCCGAGAGCAAGAACAAGTGCGAGTGGAACATCCGCCCCGGCGGCCGCACGAGCGTCCCTGACACCTACCGCTTCGTGCACCGCGGGTACTCGAAGAACTTGCTGGGCAAACTCAAGGAGTACACGGCAACGTCCAACACGTTCACCGTGACTGCGTAGGCTACGGAGGTCTTTGAACACGTCATTTTGCTGTGCGGCTCTTTGATTGGTTGCTAGCTTCAACTTGATTTAACCCTTGATTATGATGGCATTCACCGAGTTATGGATGTCTAGCTTAGAGCTAGCACTTTTCTGGTACTTTTTCAAGTAGGGAAAAAGTGTTTTCCCGCTGAACGGCTAAGACTTCGTGCGTCATGACCAAGCCTCGACGATACGACGCGCCTCGTTGCCGCGTGGCAACATCGGTGCCATCCTCGCCGCTCATCGGACCAATCAAGTGTATGTGTGTGTAGGTGGCCTGGTTTCCCGCTTAGATACGCCCCTACAGAATGCAGTGTCCGGCTGGGCGGATTTTCCCAGCGCTAGGTAGGATTAGCTTTGGCAATCCGCTCATTTGTGGTCTTCCCTCGCCTCGGACAAGCAGCGCCCAAGCCCAACACCGAGCGCGGCCCAGCACGAGTCGCTGCCACTGCGCGCTCGCAAAACCCACCACACCTCACCCGGGGCTGCCTCAGCTCAGCTCTCTGCGAGCCCCGAGCTGAGGCTTGCCTTCTCTAGTACTGAACGGATTGCCTTGCCCCACGCACAAGTGTTGAGAGTGGATGCGGAAAACGCCAATAATTGAAGTTCAATAGTCCTCTTCGTTAGAAAAACTCGACAGAGTTTTAACGATACCACCCGTGCGGAATTCTATAGGCGTGGTATAGTTGGCAACATCACGCGCTTTTCTCAGTTGAGTACCGTACTGGCAATTCCCTCGAGCTTCCAGGGAGCTGGGATGGCTGGTGTACTGTAGGATAGCACGAGAACGAGCAGCGTTTTACAAGAACTCCAAACTCGTTCCTACTACGCTTATCTGCTCGCACCATTTCACTGAAGTGTAGGTTGCGGAAGCAACAGAGGTAACATAGGTTAGAGCAGTTGCTGACAAAGGCGGTGTTTCCCGCTGTCGCAGTTAGGCTATAGTTAGACCGGGAGGGACTCCGAAGCGAGTAGGCTCCAGTCCTGCTCATTCGCGAATTTCCTCGCCGCAGTTAAAACCTCCAAGCCTGACGACTTCTCGGACCTCCTGTCTTGCCCCGCATGGCCCCAAGCTATTTTTACCTTCGGCCGGGCGTTTTCAACCTCGTGGGCTTCTCGTACGGCAAGGTGGACGGCACCCTCGCACGCGGAGCGAAGGTGAAGGTAAAGCTGGTGCAGAGTGGGCGCTGGTCGGAGGAGCCCTCGCAAGCTGTCGAGCTTCCCCAGGAAGAGCTGGCCCTAAGAGTCGTGTCAGCCGCAGAAGCCGAGAATGGTGTCGGTACGTTTGTGGGTGGCGTCATCTGCATGTCACGGGTCCGCCCCGGAACAGCTCGGGTCTGGGATTACGGCTTAGTGATCGGATACAGCTGGGAACCTGAGCTGCAACATGGCCTGCTTGATGTGAACTTTCGTGGTGTTGAGACCTCGTTGAAGTTCGTATCGGACACTACTCAGGATGTTGCAGTCGAGATTTATGCGTTATAGCCGTGTGCCGGGCAAAGCGCGAGCTTCGTGATGGCCGGAGAGATGAGGCAAATACACGACAAAGTGTATAACAAGTTCAATGGGATCGACCAACCAGCGATCAGAGATGCTACACAGCTGCTGGAGGGGGTCCGGAGTGATGAACTTGACGAGGCCCGAATTCTGCCTCTGCTTGATATTGGGAATTTTGCCATCGCAGAGGTCTCAGTCCAGCACATACTCGACTACGTCTACTACAAGGACGGTGGGCGGCCGCACCCATCGGAGGCAATCTTTGGTGACACCATCTTTGACAAACCGATCGCGCAGCAGGAACCAAGAACCCTTGCTGCCACTGAGGTCGTGCTTAGCGATGGCTTGAGTGACTCTGACGACGATGCCGCCGACCCTCCTACCGCTCACAGTGGTGTGAGCTCGACTCAGCAACGTGAAACGAAGCGTCGGCGTCTAAACGTACAAGGGCGGACAGCTTTGCCAGGCTCAATTCACTCGGACACAGTATTACATGGAGTAGGTGGAAAGTCGCAGAGTACGCGGGATGTCGATCAACTGATCGCTCTGCAGCGCAATGCTTCGACAACTGATACTCTGGGTGCAGCGGCAGCCCGACGCGAAGATGGTAGTGGCGATAAAAATCAATTTCCCGCGACGGGCATGCAGACGACTATTCACGTGGGATTAGTTGACGGTAAGTACGCGTCAATGACGGCGCAGCGGTTTGTGGAGTTCGTTCAAATTCATTGGCGAAAGTTTGTTTTTTTCCATCACCCTGCTGTCCTGCGTGCGCTATTTGGTTGGGATTTCGGTACGAGAGGACTTTCAATTTTACATTTCGGCCGCGTGACAGAGCTGGAGAAGAGGAAGCGTGTTCGAGTTTACGACATGAGCAACTTTTCCAAAAAGAACAGCCTGCATCCTGCGCAACCTCCTGCTGATTTTACTACTCTGATTGGGTGTGTCGACGTCCTGTGTGCCATTACCCAACTCCTCTACAAGCCCGTGGTTCACGAGACGCTGAAAGCCGCCTCCGACTTCCTCGGCGAGTTGCGACTGAGCGAGTTGATGGCTTCCCAACAAGCTTTGACCGAAATTGCAGCCTGGGTCGACGATCAGCTGGAATTGTTTCGGCTAGCTATTACGGATGAGAATTGGAAAGCTGTCGCGGATATCAAGACATATTTCTGTGCATCACACGACGCCTTTATCCGGGTGCATCAAATGATTCTGCGCCATGATGTCATCGCCGCTGTAAAGTCAACTCACTCCAGCTCCGGTCGGTCAGAGCATCACTCGCGGGGCGGACGAACCATCAACTCGGACAAGCCCATTCCGATTCCGCTTGAAGTTCGGCAGGCGCTTCCTAAACAAGGCAACCAGCAGATTTGCCTGAAATTTCTATCTGCCCAAGGCTGCCGGGGAAAGAACGGCAACTGTGTAATCAAGCATCTTTGCCATTTCAAGCCGGCAGCGCTGCCGGAAATTGTACGCGACTTCCTTACCAAGAACTACGGAGGCCTTTCCGCAGACATACAGTGACGGTGTCGGGCACGGAACGTAGGACCTACTCGCACCCCCAGTGCATCGGGGTCAATTAATCGGCAACGGTATATACACCCACACGCTGTTCAACCACCATTCAGGTCTATCTTTCCGTGTCAAAACACCACCGGGCCGCTCGATCGACTCATGTCGATGAGCCCGCCCACCATCGGGCCGTTCGGTCGACTCATGTCGTCGAACCCGTCCACACTCGGGCCGCTCACCGACCCATGTCGCCGAGCCCGTCCACCCTGGGGTCACCCAGCCGGTACAAGCCGGCGGGCCCACCCTCACTTGAAGCAATGAGTCGCGCGAAAGCGAAGGCGACAAACAGCAGCCTCTCGCTTCGTCGGCTGATGCACCATTTCCGGCCGCTGACTTTATTCGGCGGCGCCAACGAAGGTTCGATACTACCAGCCTCGCCCACCGCCGGTTAGCAGAGCTGCACGTTGACACTGCTCGGATTAGGCTGATTAGCGCGCTAAGACGACAAGCCTTATCACCGCCACAACCAATGGCGTCGACAGTAACGCAACGGGGCCACACGAAGTACCTGCTCGACCGAAACAATCAGTCCGTCTACAGTGAGTTCATACGGCGCTCTGGTATGCAGCTGCCCGAATTTGTTCGACTGCTGCGAGGCGAGACTGAGCATGACCCCCGTCCCAATAAATCGCTGATCGAGCCAACATCCCTATCAGCATGGCAAAGTTACCGCTACAAAACTCAGTGGGCCGAGATTGTGCAGCACGGGGTATGTTCCCGGTTGACATCGGGGTTCGCAATACAAGACGCACCACCCGCAAATCATGGGTCGGTTGTACGAGCCCTGCATATCATTGTTAAACGCCTCCGCAAAGGGCAGGACGAGAACCGCTATCTGATTCTCGATTGGAGCTACTGTCAATACTGCATGGTGTCAAATGCAGTCCATTCGGGACTGTTCAGAAGGGTGATGCGGACCTCACTGTTGATGCTCGTCTAATTTACGATTTGTCATTTCCCCCGGGCACCTCGGTCAATGACAACACTGTTCCCGATCATGAGATTGACGTTTGTTATGACGGTCCTGATGCATTGGCCAATCGCATTCTGGATGTGGACGAAGTCTTCCCAAAACTACAGCAGATAATGGCTGGAGACGTGAATGGAGCGTTCAGGAACATCCCGGTGTCCGCTGACAACGTCGACCGGTTTGCAGGCACGATACCCGAGCTTGGGATCCTGGTTATCGACCTGTGCTGCCCATTCGGCTGGTCAAACTCTCCAGTGTCATACTGGGTAGCTGGTGCTGCTATTTCGCACCTTTACTCCTGCTCGGCACCGGAATGGCCCTTACAACCTACATCTGGAAAGAACAACTTCGATGCCAAGACGTGGTGTGATGACCACACAGCGATCGAGCCTGATATAGGCTCTCGGCTGGCGGAAGCCCAATTCGCCTTGCGAACAGCTATGATCGCCGTATTGGATCCTGATGCAGGCAACGAGAAAAAGTTCACGGGCTGGTTTAAGGAAGGGCGCGCCCTCGGTCTAGATTGGAACCTGCACTCCAACACAGTCTCTATGCCCCCCGAGAAGATTTCAAAAGCGTATTATCGTGTGCACGACATGGCAACACGGGCAAAAACGACCCGGACCCAGTTGCAAAAGCTCTAGGAAGTCTACGACACGTTGTCACGTGCGTCAGAGCTGCGACACCATTCTTCCAGCGCCTTGTAGTACTAGCTTGAGCTGCTCCGAGGTTCGGAAGCATGGAGGTATCGTTCGAGGCAAAGGAAGATTTGCAGTGGTTTGAAATGGTCATTCGAATCGGTAAATTGAACGCTGTCCCGTTGTCTAGATTCACGCGTCGTCAGGAACCAAACTACCACATCCAGATGGACGCCAGTGACAAGGGCCTGTGCGCTCTGCTCCCGCTTCCCAAGCAATATCTCCAGGTTCAGTTCACCGATGCCGAGATCGACTTAATTCGTCAGTGCAACGAAGAGGGCGACAGCACATTCTGCATTAACGTCCGTGAACTAATGAGCGCAGTGTTTGCGTCGTTAGTGTGGGGCTGTACATGGAAAGACCCTACGGACAATGAGGAAGCTCTCGTAAAATTTTGGATCGACAACACGTCCGCAGTGGCGTGGAGCAACCACAAGACGAGCCGCAACCCGTTCGCTCAAATGCTCCTCCGTATATTGGGTATTTGTGAAGTTCAGCATGAATTCTATACTACAGCTGCCCACGTCGCTGGGGTGGACAACCAAATGGCGGACGCAGGAAGCAGGATATGGCAGTCGCCGGTGCTTGCGGCCGAGTTTGCTAACTTATCGTCTGATTGGACACAGGTGCAGATACCAGCCGCCTTGCGCGATCTCTCGCGTCTCTGGGAGCGTTATTGCGAGCAGGTGCCTTAACACAGTCGTCGAGGGAGCGGTATTCACGTGGGTGGGCGCAGTGGACGGCATGGTGCCCTCTGATGAACTCGAGTCCATGGCTATCAGCGACGGACATCGACAAAAACGCTGAGCAGCTTGGTGCCTACGCCGTGTAGCTCTGGAAGTATGGCATGAATCGAAAACACGCTAGAAACACCTACTCAACTATCTGCACCAAGCTGTGTGCTGTGCGGTGGTTCCACCGCAACTCTGCAGGTTACGATCCGGGTGTAAACGCAAGTCACGCTATCCTGCTGCGAGGTATCCGCCGCTTCACGGACCCAGTTGTTAAGCAGCAGCCCTTGACCACGCGGCTGCTCCGCACTCTCTTTCAGAGCCTCGATATATCACAGCTACGTGATCAACTTATCTGGGGTGGGCTGCTTTTGGGGTACTTCTTTAGATGCTCCGAGTACCTCTTCATCGGAAAGAAGGTTCACAACTACATCTTGCGACTGTCGGCAATCCGCTTCTTCGACCGTGATGAAAACGTCGTCTCACCGAAGAGGGCACACGTCGTCGGTATAACACTTCATGGCGCAAAGATAATCAGTTTGGGCGAGAGGAGGTGCGGTACCATCACAAGTCCGGGGATAAGCTGATCTGCCCGGTACGAGCAGCACGCTGGGTGTATAAGGCGGCTGCTGCGTTTGGTACATGTCCAAATGACCCAGCAGTATCGCTGCGGCGAGGTGGTATCACGTCGGAGGACGTCTCCAAGATCATCAAGCACGCAGCAGCATCAAATGGCTTCGAACCGAATCGCTACTCAACACACTCCGTTCGCATCGGAGGGGCTACGGCATTACTTAACGCTGGCGCTGATCGCCTCATCATCAAGCTCATGGGGCGTTGGCTATCCAATGCCTTTGAAGACTACCCGGTGTTATCGGCGAATGGCACAGTGGATCTCGCTCGGCAAATGTGCGAGTACCCGCCATGCAGCCGGTAAGGCGGCAATTCATGTGGGGTAGCCGCCACGCCACGCCCTCAAGGATGGCACAATGACAAGTCCATCATTTGACCCAAAACGCGCGACAGTGTTAGAAACGCTCCAGCACCCCCCGATCGCCTTGCAACCGGTACTTCCTCCACCTCAGGCCCTAGTGACGTACGTCAGACATCCTGGCGCGAAAAAAACACGGAATTTTTGTGTCCCGAGTAGGAACGGTCACCACCGTTCCTACTATACGGACGACCGTTCGACCAGCGATCGACTTCTGGAGGATCAGCTGTGGGACGATGCGGTGAGCGGGCAGTCATCCATTTCGGAGGGGCGCTGACTGGCGACGCGTCGGTTAGGTGGCGCGCTCGGCTACGATGGAAGCAGTGACGCGAGCGATGGGTGAGCAGTGCCGCGAAGGGCAGGACGGAGGTCAGGAGCACCGTGTGGCTCACGACGTGAGCTGTGAGGTGAGCCAAGGACGAAGGGGTGAAACGAGAGCCAGGTGAGCCGGTGACGTGTTGAAGTCGGCACGTAAGCCGACAGAGAGCCGAAAGAAGAAGGAAGCACAAGCTGTCAGGCTCCGTGCGCGGTAAGGAAGTAGGGTCAGTCGTGAATCTGCACTGGAGAGAACAAGTTGATTGCTTTTGCATATTAGCTCTGTTTCTCGCTATTTGTGCCACTGCCTAACCGTTCTAGCTTCTATACAACGCTTGACCGTCCCATCCAGGGCACTCGCGACACGTGGTGGAGAAGCAGGGTAGGGTCTTCGTTGTGAAGTCTGAACGACGGCAGTACGGGTCAAGTTCTCGCGTCGGTGGAGCTTCGTCTGGTCTTCGGGAGTCTGCCTGGAGTCCCAGTCTTCGCCTCGGACGGGACGCGTGAACGGTCTGGATCTGGAATTGTGTCGTGTGAACGGTGCGCTCGGCACCGCTGTGGGATTGGAAGAACGGTACGCGAAGTACCCCCACTGGTCATGGTCAAGAAGGTCAAGAAGTAAACGGTCGACTCGCTCGGAGCCCTCAACGGTCAAGGTCAATGTCAAGTCAACGGTGAACAGAACGCTCGGTTCCACCGGTAATTCTGGTCGGCTCGCTCGGAGCCTGAAGTAGTTTGAAGCCTGGAAGATTGAAGTTTGAAGATTGGAGTTTGTTTCGCGCGTTCGAGTGAAGAAGATCGCATGCTGAAGGTCGAGTGAAGAAGACTTTCTGAAGAAGATGACGGTTGTTGGAGAGCAAGGAGAGAATGGGGTTCAGCGGTCCGTGCAAGATGAAGTGGCACGGTTGGAAGCGGAACGGTTGCGACGGCTGCAACACGGTGGGACCACGTCGGCTCTACTGGGGCAGCGACGCCCGCGATCGTCCGGAGATGCGAGCGGAGTGGACGCGACGGCGCAGGTAGCCACTGCTGCCGGTCGTGACTCGCTTCGCCAGGAAACGAGGGAGGCTCTTTGGGCCGATGAAGACGATGATGAACACAAGACCGCAGATGAACACGGTGATGCGGTCGGAGCTCAAGCAGAACAAGAGCTCGAGATGAAGATGGCTCCGTCGCCAGGCCCCGAGGCTGTGCAAACGGTCGAGGAAGACGGTGAGGATGCCGAATTTGATGAAACGGAACAGTACTGGTCGGCGGAGGACTACGGCTACAGTGAACTCGCTGAGTACGAACCGTCCTACTACACGGACTACGTGAAGGAAGAACTTGAAGAAGTGCAGCAGCAGAGGACCCCGAGTGGCTTCATCCCGATGTACACGGGAACGGAGAAGCGTCTGCCTGGAGGTCCTGTATTTGGCTGGAGCGTCGGTGCCCAGCAAGGAGGCTACGGTGGCTGGGGAACGGTGCCGAAGCCCACGGTGAAGATGGAGCGGAAGTTGAAAGTGGAGCCTACAGGGTAGTCCCAACCTACGAGGCCGGTGAAGACCCAACCGATGGGACCAGTGAAGACAGTCGTGCACTACAAAGCACCTGTCAGAACTGCGGTGAGTGCCTCAACGAACGGACGGCCGATGCCTACCCAAGCTCGGAACGGTGGCTACCGTGCCCCCATGAACAACCCGACCGTTCGGAATGACCGTGATTTGTCGTCTATGGTCTCCAATCCTACCTGCTTTCTACTCGGACACGACCAGCATGGACAAGGCGCGTGACTTCTGGGAGCTGTTCGAAGCTCACACCAGCCACCTCCCGGACTAGTCTCGGCTGTTAGTGTTCCGACAACTGATCAAGGGCTCTGAAGGTGAACGGTGGTGGAACAACTCGACCATCAAGACGTTCGCGACTCTGAAGGTCCGATTCCACAACCTGTTCCTCAGCCGAACGGCTGACCAGCTCTGGGAACGGTTGCAGTCCGCTCACTGTGAGCGTGGCGAATCCGTTAAGGAGTGGGGTGACCGTGTGACGGATCTTTGTGACCCGTTGGACTATCCGAACAGGAAGATGAGATATCAGCTGTTCCGTCGCGGACTCCGAAACAAGCGCATATTGGCGTGTCTCGACTCGGGACCGGCGTGCGATATTCCGGAGGCCTGCGAATGGCTATTGGCTAAGGAGATGTCGCGTCCCATTGAAGAAGGCGACGAGTTCTCGGACGAGAAGAAGAAGTCGAGCGGGAGCGATGCCTCGCCCGCGAACGACCCGATGGCAGCTGTGGGCGTGCTTGCGGAGAAGATGACGACGATCATGACGCAGCAGCAGCAGTGGCAGCAGCTGATGATGCAGAATCGCTGGCAGCCTCCGCGCTCGCCGCGGAACCGCATGCCCAACGTTTCGGCTACGACTCGAGTCCTGGTGCTGGAATGAACGGTCAAGGTCCTCGTGGGAACGGTCGACCGGTCCGAGGAATCCGTATGGGAGCTGACAGTCGAACGCAAGAGGGGGCGCCTGTGTGTGGCCGGTGTGGCTACGTGGGTCACTCGCGAGAGACCTGCCGCCGCCAGTCCATGACGTGCCACAACTGTGGCATTCACGGTCATATCGCTGTGGAGTGTGAGGCGGGACCCACCAATTACCAACGCGGCCCTGAAACGGTTGGCCGGAACGGTGGTGGTGGCGTTACCAAGTGCGTGTTCTGCGAGGAAGAAGGTCACCTTATCGGTGCGTGTCCTGGCATTGTGGGACTCCGTGGTGCTGCCCGGGAGCTGAGGACCAGGTCTGCACAAACCGCTTCGAACCAATGACGGGGGCGGGAGGAAGGGGAGGAGAGAGTCACTCCTTCCTCTTGTCTAGTAAATGGCTCGTGTGGTGGTGATCGCGACCGTGAAGCTGAAGGCAGAACGGTGACCACCGTTGATGTTTGTGTGAATGCATCGAGGGAGCAGATCGAACCGGTGTTTGCCATGCGTGGAGCTTCATGTGCGGAAAAGAAAACCAAGAAAAAGAAAGTCGGGTTCAAGATCATGGGAACGGATGAAGAAGGAGAAGGATTGGTTGCGGACGTTGAAGGCAAGGAAGTCGAAGTGGTCTACGAAGATCTGGTCGCTGCGAGTCCTGAACGGTGTGATGAGGTTGGGAACGGTGAGGAGACAACAATCACGGGGCTGTGAGAATTGCACAGTGTCGGAGCCCCCTACCGTGACGTGTGAAAAACGAAGTGCCGTGGTTGAAGTGACGCCGCCGGAAGAGGTGATGACGCCCCTAGAAGTGTGGGAAGACGAAGAGTACGACGTATCGGACTGCTTGTTCGCGGCTTGGACGGATGAAGAGACCGTTCCTGCTGAGAGCAAGGAAGTGAACGGTTCGGTCGAGGCCAGGACGGTCGAAACCGAAACGATTGAGGCTAAGGACACTTCGAAGTACGGCCGTTTATTTACGGACGAAGAACTGGATGCTATGGATGACTGTGAGCCTGGGCAGGCGAGTCTGTTCTCGCTGGAACGGATGTCGCCGCCGAGCCGGAAGAGTACGACAAGGAGCTTGAGGACCGGTTGTATCCGCTGGACGAGGTCGAGTTGCTGAAACGTGTCAAGCAGAACGCTGAAGCTCAGACCGAACCGTCTGCGGAAGAGCTGGCTCGCTTCTTGGGTATCTCACTGGAGGTCTTGGAGCGGACGCGCCAAGCTGCCTCCGACTCCTCTGGAACGCCTGAGTACTGGCAAGATTGGTGCGGTGATATGCTGGAGAAGCCGGAGGAAGCCAAGGGTGCGAACCGAGACTTCCGGACTCCGGTGGCGAATGTCGTCTATGGTGGACAAGCTGCGTCAAGTGGAACGGTGGGGAAGGCCTCGGAGCGGTCTGGCGTCGGCAACGATATCCACAGCTCTGATGTCTCCTCCGAACGGTCGGATTCCGAAGATGAAACGGTCACAAGCGTGGTTAACACGGTCGTCGAGTCTTTCGTGTTCGAGAATGTCTTGCGCCCTCCCGATGGCCCGGGAGGAACGGTCTCGGTGGAGGAAGGGATTCCTGTCCTAAGTGGAGTACATCGCGTCGATCCGAAGATCAAGAGAGCGATCGCGCGTCAAGCTGTGTTCCGGTTGCTGAAAGAAGCGAGAGACTACGGAGGTCGAACCAACGGTTCTGAAGAAGTGCTGAACGGTAAAGGTGGGACGGTGGATGTTCCCCCGTTGCGTGACAAGGTGCCTGACCCCGATTGGGAACGGCTACGCGAGCGCGTCAACCGTGTTGTGGAACAGTATGGTCTGAAGGGAGATTGCTGGAAACGGTTGAAACCGTGTATCGAGTCGTATTTCGAGGAGAACGCGGGTTAGGTGTGGACGAAACTGTGGGGCCGTACGGGGCGGTCGAAGACGCTTGGTGCTAGGCGCCGCCGTCGCCGTCAGCCTGAGAAGAAGGGTTGCTTTGACTTTTCGACGTTGTACAAACCGCATGCCGAAGTACTGGGAGACGTGGAGTTCTACCCTGAGCGTGAAGAGGACATTTCTCATTACGTTGAGGTGGTACGGTGCGAGCGTCCTGCTCGGACACCGTTACCACGGACCGGTCTCGTGGAAGTTGTCACGGTCAACTTGCCTAACGGATTTGGGCTCTGTGATGAAAATGGAGATGAATGTGACGTGTATCGCGCTGTGGGGGACGGACGCCAGGTGGTGTGTGCTGTTGGCAACTTTGAGGCTCTCTCGAGCGGTTATATTGACTACTTACCGTCTCAAATGCTAGCGGATACGGGCGCTACTCTAAGTCTCGTAGCTCGACGCGTGCCTAAGCGTTTAGGACGGTCGTCCGAGCCGCTGGAACCGTACGAAGGCCTGGTGAGGAGCTCCTCGGGGCACAAGTTGCGGATTCGTGGTTGGATTACCCTCTCTCTCCGTCTTGGAACGGTCGAAGTCTCGATGAGCTTGTTGGTCGCTGACCGTCTCCACGTCGATGCGATCCTGGGTGTTGATGCCCTAGGAGCGTTCGGTGCAGTGATCGACGTTTCGGAACGGACGTTGACTCTGAAGAGTACGGGCGAAGTGTTGACGCTGGGATTCACCATGGTGCAGGAGTCGTACATGACGACGTCGGTGCGGTTCCCGCCGCGTGGCCAAGCTCTCGTGATGACTCGTGTCGTGGGTGCCGTCGTCGACAAGGCGACCGTTCTGGCCGAAGGATCTTTGGGTCTGCCTCCGACGCTGTGCGTGGCACGGTCGCTGTGCACGGTCGAGGAAGGCCAGGTCATCGTCGAAGTTTGCATGCGTCTACGGATGAGTACTGGATCAGGAAAGGAACGGTCATTGCGTGCACTTCCGTGATCCCGGAGTCGGCTTTCGAGCCGCCAACGGTCGATCCGAAGGGTGCGGAGCGTCAAATGGTTGGTCCGAAGGGAACGGTGCCCGCCGAAGGTGGCGAGCCCAAGGAGGAGCGTGCAGCGTCAGTGTCTGAAGCGCGCGAAGTGGGCGTCGGCGAGAAGGTGAAGGCTACGAAGCCGGACATCCCGCCCGACAAAGCGTAAGCTATGAAGGCCGATTTCTCGGTGTCTAAACTGTCGCCGGAGCAGAAGTAACTGTTCCGAGGAGAACTGAACGGTTTCCACAGCATGTGTGTGGACTCTTCCAAGAAGCCCGGACGGACGGATCTGTTGCAATTCGAGATCGACACTGGTGACAGCACTCCGATCAAGCAGCAGCCGTACCGTGTCTCGTTAGCTGAAGGTGAAGTCATGGAAACGGAGATCCAGCAGTACTTGGAGCTGAACCTGATTCGACTCTCAAACGGTCCGAGGGCGAGCCCCGTCCTGATGATTCGGAAACCGGACGGTGGAATAAGATTCTGCATCGACTACCGTAAGTTGAACGCGGTAACGGCGAAGGACTGTTACCCCATGCCGTTGATTGATGATATTCTGGACGTGTTGGGCGACGCTCAACTGTTTTCGACGATTGATATCGCTTCTGGCTACTGGAACGTGCCGATGCACCCGGACAGCGTGTCTAAGACCGCTTTCACGTGCAAATACGGTCTGTACGAATGATTAGTGATGCCGTTTGGCCTTTGCAATGCTGTCCCAGCGTTTGAACGGTTGATGGAGACCGTTTTGGTGGACCTCAAGTGGCGAATCTGTTTGGTTTACCTCGATGACTGTGTCATTTTCAGTAAGGACTTCCCTACTCATCTGGTTCGTGTGCGCCAAGTGTTGACACGGTACCAGCAGGCTGCGTTCAAGCTCAAGATGAAGAAGTGTCACTGGGGGCGTAGGCAAGTAGCGTTCCTGGGGCACATTGTGACTCCTACTGGAATCCTGCCTAATCCGGAGAAGGTGAAGACCGTGATGAACGTGAAGCGTCCGGTGGACGTGCATGGTATCCGCTCTTTTCTGGGTCTGACGAGTTACTTCCGTCGCTACATCCCGGGGTATGCGTCGATCTCTGCGCCCCTGGAACGGTTGAAGGTGAAGGACGCATCGTTCGTGTGGAACGAGGACTATGAAGCTGCGTTTAGACAGTTGAAGCGTGCGCTCTTGAAGCCGCCGATACTAGTCTACCCGGATGGCAAGAAACGGTTGAAGTTGTACGTGGACTCGTCACGGTACGCTGTCGGCGCTTGCTTGATGCAAGAGGTGAACGGTCGCGACCGTGTAGTGGCCTACGCTAGTAAGCTGTTGACTGGATCGCAGAAGAACTGGATCAACCACCAAGATGGCATCTCGGACATTGAGTGTTGGGGTGTTGTCTGGGCAACGAGGAAGTTCCGCTGCTACCTGGACAAGCGTGAGTTCGATTTGTACACGGACCACCAGGCGCTGACGTGGGTGTTCAGCCCCGGTAACCGTACGACGAACGCTATGCTTGCACGGTGGGCGATGGAGCTCTCTAACCTCCAGTTCCAAGTTCATCACAAGCCTGGTGCTTCTTTGGGTCATGTTGACGGTCTGCCACGGTTGCCGATGGACACAGTGGCGGCTCCGACGATGAGCGACCTCCTGAATCCTGAGAGCACGGTCGATGACGTGCTTCCGGCTTCAGTCGGGGAGCAGCCTGGTACAAACGGTGAACTTGCGAACGGTGAGGATGTTGCTGGCGAGCGTGCAGATGGACATGTGGATGATGACGAACCTGACCGTCCGAACGAGGACGTTGGCAGCAGTCCGGAAACGGACGCGCCGATTCCCCCTGTGGACCGGTTCGGACTCGACTCTGAGCAGTTCGTAGAAGCGCAGCAAGAGGTGCCGTGGATCAAGGCTCTCGTGGCTTTCCTACTGGATGGTGTCTTGCCCCTCGACCCCTTTCTGCGAGCGACTGTTGTCAAGATGGAACGTCGATATGAAGTGCGGAACGGTTTATTGATGCGGCGTGTGAATCTACCAGCTCGGGTCGGACCGGCACGGTCCTTGACCGTTCCGGTGGTTCCGTTACCGTATGTGGAGACCGTGTTGCACTACTGTCACTCCGACGTTCTGTCTTCTCACTTGGGATTGACGAAGACGCTGGAGAAGGTGAGGAGACATGCGTTCTGGCCGGGATGGCGAAAGGATGTCACGGAGTACGTCCGGGAGTGCAACCGTTGTGGTAGTGGGAAGGGCTCGAGACCGTGGCAAGCGGGGCAGATGCAACGGATGCCCGTAGCCGATCTCACGGGACCGTTCTCGCTACTAGTGGTCGACGCCGTTGGACCGTTACCGGAGACTGAACGAGGCAACAAGTACATTCTTGTATTCGTGGACTACTTCACGAGATGGGTCGAAGCCTTCGCAGTTCTCCGATTGGACTCCGTCACGTTCGTTGACGTTATGGTGAACGGTGTTGTGTCCCGGCACGGTGTGCCTTCACGGTTGTTGAGTGACAACGGTAGGAATTTCACGTCGGAAATCGCTAAATCGTTCTACCAAACACTCGGGATCAGGAAGCTGTTCGGTTCTGCCTATCACCCGCAGACTCAAGGTCTCGTGGAACGGTTCAACGGAACGCTCATGAGAATGCTCAAGATGCACGTGAGTGAAGCGCAAACGCACTGGGATCTGTTTTTGCCTCGAGTGTTGTTTGCCTACCGTACGTCTTATCATGAGGCGTTGGGCGATACACCGTTCTTTTCTCTCTACGGGCGTGATGCTACGCTACCGCTGGACGTCGCGTTCCTGAACCTGGGGAAGAAGTGGAAGAACAACGAAGTGGCTCTGTATCGACGGGAGTTATACCGGTCGCTGTGGGATTCTCGTCATCTGGTCGAGCGTCAACTGGTGAAGGCTCAAGACCGTCATGAAAAACCGTTAGGTAGCCGTGTAGCCGTGGAGTACGAGGTGGGAGACCCGGTGTGGGCGTATCAACTGTTCCGGAAGAAGCGAGGGGACGCTCGGACGAAGAAGCTAGCGTTCGCGTGGCACGGTCCTTACCGAGTTGTGGCGAAAGTGGGCGATAATGCGTACCGGATTGACATCACGTCGCATCCTGACAAGGTGGTCACGGTCAATGTGAACAGTTTGAAGAAGTTTCGCGGCAAGTGGACACGGCCGTACATGGATGACGTGCCGGACGGTGTCAAAAACGGTGAAGGGGAGGCTGAAGAAGGACCGCTGGAGGAGGCCGACCTCCCCGCGTCGAGTTTCACGGAACGACTGACCGTTGGTAAGGGGGTCACGGGTGTCGACTCGCCGTTGTTAGCAGTGTGTGGGAAACGAACGGTGGACCGTTCCGTGGAGTACCTGGTGTTGGTTGCGAATTATGAAACGTTTTGGGTGCCTCGGGCCGAGTTGATGCCTGAGTATGAGGCCCTAGTGACGGCTTTTGAACAAGCCCGGAGAAAGAAGTTGCGGCTGCCCGAGTTGCGTCGAAGCTCGCGGCTGGCCGATGCCAATGAAGAAGTGGAGGACGATGACCTGCTAATGGCGTAGCACGGTCAACGGTGGGAGCGTTTGTGTTTTGGAGAGACGGTCGTGGAGTGATGTTATGAACCGTCGAACTACAAGACTCAAGAACGGAACGAGTGGAAAACGGTTTGCGTGTTGTTATTGAAATTAATTGGAGGGACGCACGGAGTAATACGGAAATAATGAACGGTCAGGAGCGTCCCTGATTCACGGAGAACTACTTGGAGCTCGAAGAGTCGGAGCTCTTCCTCTTGGGGTTGCTCATGGCCGACGAGTCGCCCTTGTCGTTTCCAGAACTGCTCTTCTCGTCGTCTTCGGGAGCGTCGTGGGTGTCCGAGCTGCGGCCTCCTTCGTCGTCTTCGGCTTGGTTATCTTGGTCGGCGTCGTCCTGCTCTTGGTCGTCGGGCTCGTCTGCCTGCGTGGGGCTCGGCGTGGACGGCTTCTCCTCGGACTCGTCCTCTTCGAGCTCCTCGGGCGGAGACGGCGGCTGCACGGTGAGCGTGTCGTCGTCGTCGGCGTAGTCCGAGTCGTTGTCGCCCTGCTCCTTGCGCTGGAACGGCTTCAAGTCCATGACGACCCTGTACGTGCCCTCCTTGAGCTGCTTGGCGATCTTGACCTGGAGCACGCGGATCCGGCTGTTCGTCAGCAGCGTCTTCCAGATGTCACTGCTCTTGTTGCCGATCCAGGCCGGGTTGGGAGGCTTGCGGCCCGCGTCGAGCGCGATGCGAGCCAGAGCTTCGTCACTGAGTCGAAGGTGCGGGGGACGAGTCGGGTCCAAAGCCTCCGTCTGCTCCAGCAGCTCACGGATGCTCTGGTAACCGTCTTCGTCGACGCGGCACGGATCCAGGATGCGAGCCATCAGGCTGTCGTAGCGGGAACGGTCGTGGCGCCACAGCGTGACGAGGTCCGTCGCCGAGCTGGCCTTGCCCTTGGCCAACACGGAACGCTTGGCGGCCTTGCCTCCGAGCCACATGAGGTTGTCGTGAACGGTGTTCTCGAAGCGGTCGAGGAAGCCGTACCAGCCGAAGAGGCAGACGTTCACACTCACCAGCACGAGGCGGCCTTGGTTCGCGTTGAGCTGGTCGCGGCGGCGAGCGTACAGCGCACAGTCGAAGAACGTGTCACGGTGGCGCATGTAGTAGCGCCAGTGCATCAGGTGGAGCTCCGGAAACTCTTCCGGGTCGTACCAGGCGCGCTGCCTGGTCCAGGGGTACGCTGCTCGCGGCGGGGTCTTGTCCTGCTTGGCGGCGGCCTTGACTAGCTTCTCGACGTCTCGCTGAACGTCGCGGTGGCAGGTGTCCGGTAAGTCGAACAGGTACTGCGGGGTGCGCGAGCTCTTGCGCTGCTTCTTGGCGGCGGGGGCGTTCTGGTCATCAGCGCTCAAAGCGGCCGGACGCTTGGTCGCGGGTGCAGGAACAGCTTGAACAGCGAAGCGGTCGGGCGCGGGCAACAGCGTGTCGTCGGCCAGCACGGCCACGGCCACATCGTCGAGGGCAGTGACGCCAAGCGACTCGCCGTTGACGAAGATGGATCTGCGCAGCCGGGCGTAGAAGTCGACTTGCGCGCGCAGTCGCGCGTCGGCCTCGGCTCTGGCGCCGCGCATCATGCGGTCCAAGCGCGAGCGCAGTCGTCAGATGATGACAGCCTTGTTCTCGTCGCGAGACTTGGCCATGGTGGTGGGGTTCTTGGGCGTCTTGCTCTTGTCTCGGCGAAAGCTGAAATGAGGATAAGAAGCCAATGAGCGTGCGCTACTGATGGACAACGACTCGACCGTTGGAAGTTGAAGGTCTGTGATTTCCTTTCGGGGAAGGGAGAGACGCGGTTGACGAGCGACACGGTCGTGTCTAGCATGGTGAATTGACGAAATGTAACGGTGGGTTGCTGGATCTACCGAAGTGCCGAGTGCGACGGCTGCAGAACTCGCCTGTAAGCAGGAACGGTGGACTCATGCTGCTCCAAGGGCTGCATTTTATCTTTCGCATGGTGGCGAGATGGAGACGACTATTGAAGTGATCGAGTGGTGCTTTTGAAGTTCGTTGGTGCTGTGGCGCGTCGCGCTCACGGTGCTGTGCAGATATTGGTGGGTGACCGTTTTGTTGGTCGTTGGCGCGATTGGCGGAGTGGTGACGAGGCCGCTGTGGAGTATCGCGGGTCGACTGCTCGGCGCAATCTTCGCCTTTGTCTACAAGTGGTCTACGCTGGTGCGGGTGTGCCTGAAGCGCTACCGTCGCTTTGTGAACGGTCCGGCCGTACAAGGTCGACCGGCTGCGGAACGGAGATGGAAAGCGTTCGAAGCAATTTGGGCCACGCCCATGATCGTGTTGGAGGCTCGTGGAGAGCACTCGGCAGGCTGCTACACAAGTGGTTGGAAGCGTATCACGCGTTGTGGTGCGTCTTCTTGCCTGACGTATTGGAGCTCAGCTGCAAGTCGACGGCCAAGTACTGGAAAGGATCCAAGGCCGAGTGCAGACGGACGGTCGACCGTGCGAGCTGTGTGTGTCGAGGATTCTGGGCGGTCGTGTCGTTGCTGGCTTATGCCCTCTTCTACACCGTCGTGTTCGTGTACGACTTCGTGGAGCAAGTGTGCCAAGGAACGGTGGGGGTCGCAGTGCTCCTGCTGACGCTGAACTACATATTGGCTGATGGAGGTCTGGTCGTCGGCGACGGACTCGTGCCCGACGAGACGGTAATGCGGTGTAGTTGCTATGTGGTGGCGACCTGCGTGGCCAGCCACTTGCTGAAATGGTATGAGGCGACTTCGGGTGGGCGTTCGCCCTTGAAGATGGCCGAGGACCGCTACTCGCAATGGCAGCAGGACTTGGAAGAGCTGGAGCAAGCTGAGCGCTTGAGCGAAGCGTTCTGGCGTGCGGACGGCTGCGTAGGCGATAAGAAACCCGTGAGGACGCTCAGTGGGTTGCGCGCTGAACAGCGAGAACTGCGGGCCAAAATGCAAACCGACAAGCTGGAAGCTGCTCGACGAGGACGTCGAGTTTCAGTCGGGGAGGATGTCCCGAGTAGGAACGGTCACCACCGTTCCTACTACATGGACGACCGTTCGACCAGCGATCGACTTCTGGAGGATCAGCTGTGGGACGATGCGGTGAGTGGGCAGTCATCCATTTCGGAGGGGCGCTGACTGGCGATGCGTCGGTTAGGTGGCGCGCTCATTCGCGAATTTCCTCGCCGTAGTTAACCCGCCACGCCACGCCCTCAAGGATGGCACAATGACAAGTCCATCATTTGACCCAAAACGCGCGACAGTGTTAGAAACGCTCCAGCACCCCCCGATCGCCTTGCAACCGGTACTTCCTCCACCTCAGGCCCTAGTGACGTACGTCAGACATCCTGGCGCGAAAAAAACACGGAATTTTTGGTTCGGTTAGTAATAAGGCTTGCATCAAATTCGGAACATCTTCTTTTACTCAAGCTCGAGTCTTTTTCGGTAGAATCACACCATTTGGTTGGCCGCAGGATTGTTATAGCATATCCGTCTGCTCTCACAAAGCCGTCTTGCAATTGCGCACCTCAGCACTGTTCAAGAGTAGTGGTCTGGTTTCTATCAGCAACCTTGCACCAGTCTGAGATGTCTCCTCTATCTAACCTAGAGGTTAGATGACTAATGCACGTCCGTGTCTCTCATTTTGAGGGACCTCGATGAGCGGGTATTCCTTACGTATTATAGGGATTACTTCCCTGCCCTGCTCAAATGGTGCAGGAACAGACCTTGTGAGCAACCGCGGGGGCTGTGCTGTTCGTGTCCCGCTGAACACGGCTGCTTGGTGGCGTATTCATGTTTCATCCCACTGCGCTCAAAGATCTGGTTGATTACTTTTGCTTTCTGCTTGGAAGCGCTGCATGACACGTCAACACGCTATGGGCACGAGCACTGCGAGCAAAACAGACCAGAAGCAGCATAAGGACACGGGACTCTCCAGGCCAATAATGCATTGGAAATATTTTAGCGCGTGGGTAGCAACGCCCAGTCCCATCTCGACACCGCTACATCGATAGTGGCGGCAGGGCAACAGGGTAGATTCTGCCTAAACATCCCTGCCCACATATCTCGGCGCTCTTCCAGAGAGCTGACAAGTTTCCCATTTCTTCTTTCCCACTACAGTAGACCAAACATCAAGCAGCTTGGAGTTCTCGTGAAGATGCACTGGTTCAAGTCGCTAGTCGTGTTGCCCATGCTTGCCTGGGTGACTCTGCTCTCTATGGGAGCTCGAGCTGAATCCAACATTGGCATCGGCAAGAGCGACATCACCGGGCCTGCTGCGGAGGTCCTCATGATGGGGTTCTCGGATCTCAAGGAGAGCACTGCAGGAATTCTTAACCGGCTGTACGCCAGAGCCTACTTCATCGAAGACCCCGTCACCAGCAGCCGCGTCATGTTCGTTCACTGCAACCTGCACTCTGTCATGCAGCTGGTGCACCAAGAAGTTCTCGCTCAACTCGCCACCAAGTATAACGGCGTCTACACCGAGCAGAACGTCGTTCTACACGCCACGCACACGCACGCTGGACCGGGAGGCACTGCCGGCTACTTCCTCTACGACGTGTCCATCCTCGGGTACATCAGCGAGAACTTCGACAAGATCGTGGGCGGCATCTTGGACGCCATCGACCAGGCGCACAACTCGGTGGCGAGCGGCACGATCCGCAACACAACGATTGAGTCGGCTGAGATCATTGGCAGGCGAGAGTATGACGCTTTGTCAGCGCTGATCAATAGCACCTCCGAGTTGATTCAAGGAAGTGCGGTCGCCAAGCTCTCGTACGTGGACATGAGCAATGTGACGCTCGATGGTGTCCAGGCCACTGACGAGGATCCGTACGCAGACCGAACGTGTCCTGGAATCGTCGGACAGAACTTCGCTGCTGGCACGGAAGATGGACGCGGCCTCGGCTGGTTTAGCGAGGGGGATCTCAAGACCAATCAGTTCTTTAAAGCGCTTGGAGCTGCTCTAAGCACGAAGACGCCGCAGTGGGTGCAGGACTGTCAGAACAGCGTCAAAGTGCCGCTTGACTCACGAAGCCTGTTCCGTGGACGCCCAACATCCTTCCCGTTCAGATCGTCAAGATTAGCCAATTCGCGATCGCTGTCACTTCGTTTGAGGTCACGACCATGGCTGGACGGCGCATCCGTAGCACTGTGAACGGGGCGTTGGCAGACGCTGGAGTCACGGAGGTCGAGCTGGCGACTATCAGCAACGCGTACGTGCAGTACATGACCACGAAAGAGGAATACCTCGTCCAGGACTACGAAGGCGCGTCAACGCTTTTCGGTCGCAACCAGCTCGCTGCCGTACAGCAAGAGCTGTCTCGAGTCGCAGCGTCGATCGTGGATACTTCGATTGAGCTCGATGTGGGCCCGACCCCACTGAAAATCGATCGTGACTCCCTCGTAACCTTCCAAACTGGTGTAGTTGTCGACACGGCGCCTTCAGGTGGCTTCAGCGCTGTTCGTACACAGCCCGAGAGCTCGTATGCCATCGGTGACATGGCCTCCTGTGTCTTTGCGGGCGCTCACCCGAAGAATGCGCTCACTCTGGTCACATCGTTCTGCGACGTCGAGCAGCTCGAGTCCGATGGAAGTTCGTACCGCACCGTCATGACCGATGCTCACTGGGATGTTCGCTACCACTGGGAACGCTACGGCGTCGCTGGAAGCAAGAACACTTGCGAGTGGAACATACGAGCTGGAGGCCAAACGAGTGTGGCTGGCACGTATCGCTTCGTTCACCGCGGGTACGCAAAGAGTCTGACTGGCACCCTGACAGTGTATGAGAGTACTTCGGGCACCTTTACGGTGACAGCGTAACAGCTTACAGAATATGTCACTTTGACTTTCTTGCTGGATTCCGTCCTTCCCTCGATACTACAGTCTTCGTGTAGCGCCGCAGCATCGCATGGGAGGCACGCAGAATCTGGGAACCATTGGACCAGCGGGACTTCGCCTGCGTTTCTGACGCCCACTCGTAGAAAAACTCAACGCGACCCGTAAGAAGCAACCGCTCTCCTTCGTCGTCGTTGCTGGCTTTACTTGAGGCAGTTATGCTCAAGCGACGGTGGCGTTGGCAGCGCAGTGAAGCTGTCAAGAACCAAATGAGCTTGCAGTCCCAAAGATAAATTGTCCACAGTCGCGATACCAAAGCAGACAAAGTGCTCAGTTGAATACGCCGTCCTCTGATCACTCGATCGGTTACTGTGCGGTTTGGAACAATCCACTCGTCGAAAACAAAGAGTTCTATAGAGAGAATGATAAGCCCCGTGAGCTCAAACGCGAGCACGGAGAGCATGAGCGTGGATCTACGGAAGGCCAGCAGACGCATGGCACTTGGAGGCAGAGCGTCTAGTGGGATAGCCCATTGCATCCAAATCCACGCCCCCCCCAGACCCAAACTACTCGTCGATCCCAAGCGAAAAATTGGCACAATGCCAATGAGACCACTGTGAGCTTCGTCGACAGAAAATGAAGTTGCAAGACGAGTACAGTCGCTTGAGTAGCGTGAAATAGATCTAGAAAAATGCGTCGGCCCTGGCGCGAGCCGGATGACCACAAGATCCGGTCCAGTAGGCGTCCAAAGCCCGGTACAATTGTCTTGTGGGAGTTGAAATCCACGTCAATAGGAACGAAATGCAACTGGATTTTAGCCAGATTTCGGGTGTGAGGTCGTCTTGCATTGTGAAGAGCATATCCTCCCTTTGCCGCATTATATCGCACCAAGTTCAGACGACTGCGATAACTGCCCAGAGCCTGGATACTGATCACGCTAGCTCCATCATTTGTGCCGACAGCGCTTGCTCTGGAGGTGAAGCTAGAACTCCTAGCTCGCACCATATTTTCATCAAGAGTTGAAGGAATGTCGCTACTTTTCGGGCGTAACCCAACAGTGCAATAGTAGCTGACACAGCGACGCCGCCCTGGGATATAGCTCGTCTCGGAGTTAATACGCCGGGATGTGGCAACCTCTTGCTCTCGCATTGCGACCCACCAGCCGCCCAAAGAGTAGAATGATGTTGAGCTGAGTGTTCATGAGCGTGTCACGGATTGAAAATCCGTTGCCGGTGGATGAATAGGAGAGAAGGAAGGAGTCTCCGTTGCCGTTGTCGTCCACAATCTTCAGGGATACCGCGACGAACATTGCAATATGCGTTCCGCAGTTGATGGCGCTGGAAATAAAAAGCTGGCGTCTATCACCGACGAGTGCATCAGCACCAATGCTGACCTGCACGATCACGCAGCCTACGAACGCAGTCACAACGCGGAGATCCCGAAAGATTGCTGTGAAGCACACCCGAAGATGAGGTTATTCAGCGTAAAATACCATAAGTCGTACGTGCTGAAGAGTAAACGCAGCATATCGATGCGTATCGACGCCGCGATAAATGACATTCGAGGAAGCTGCAGCAGAGACGGTAAACCCGCAACCACAGATCCCAGTCGTCGTGGTGCGGCGACCGTCAATAGCATGAGCAAATTTCCCAGCTGCAACATGGCTGCGATCTGCGACTTCTAGCGGGTTTTGAACCTGTTCAAGTGTCGAATCTGCTCGGGACTTAACAGAAGACTTTTGGGCGTCTTTGATGCGTCAAATTCAGGCAATTTCTCAAGTGGAACCAGCTCGAATACGGGCGATGCTCTGGATGGCAGCGAATTTCGCCACGCTTGGCGAGCATTTGCAAGTCGAACTGTCTGCTGACTGGGATATGATCGTTGCAGGCCGGGCCGCTGACTTCCGACCACTAGACTTCATGTGAATTTCTCTTCTCGATTTTGTTACCACCACGCCGCGAAACCTTGTACTAAGCGGGGGTTAAATGTTGCGCTGTCAGGTTCATCGAGGAAGCTGACCGTCAGAGGCTCAACGTGTCGAGTTGTTGCTATCCATACAGCATTGAGTTCTGAGACGGGAGACAAGAATAACCTCCACCAATTTGTCATGGTATTTTTCGCCTCCATTGAAGCTCTCAAAATATTATCACGATCAGTCCTGGGACAACGCAAAGCGCGAAAAACTTAAAATATATGGCCCCGAAAGAATACCCAGATATTAAACGTTTGTTCAAGGCAAGGAGGGATGAACGCCACCGTGCGCCCATGGTCCACGTACATGGGACTTTCGCGACTACCCGCCTGACCCCAGTTTTCAAGAGAATACACATATGCTTCAGTCGGCTCAAATGATATGCGAGTCGAATAACCAGGCAGCCGAAACGTACACTGATCAACAGGGCCCGAGCCAACCTCATCTATATTAGCCTGAGCCGTGTCACAAATGTAGCCGATGACACGCTCATGACTAGAGAGTTTAAGCTCCCTCCTGATATGATCAGGCGTCGTTGGCTCTTCTTGGTAGGTTGCGACATCGTTACTCGCACCACGGAAGACAAGTAGGGAAACGTCTTCCTTCGTCGCCGCGGCCAAGGGAAACAATTTCCTCCATATACAAGTCTTGGCACCTTTTTAACTTCATCACTAGCTTCCACATAGTAAGTAAGCTTACGACCACAATAATCACCCTTCGTAACGAGTTGTATCAATCCAGTAAAGGAGGAGTATCCATGGGGTAGGAAAATGCTATTTCCGGGAGCATGAGGATTCGAGGACGACTACACATGCGACGATGAAGAGCAACTCTATATTTACATAAGCGATCGGTGGTGTAGTTAGACGATGGAGCAGGCCTCATTCCGGTTTTCTCTCCACTCTGCTGACGTTGACTCACCAAGATCTACCGCTATTCTGCCCGACGATGACATCTCCTGCCCCTGGGGACCTCGCATTTGTTGGTCCAAACCATATTGAGGAGTTGTCGGACTTCCAATACGTCGAGCTGGTCGAAATCAACGATGCCACAGCTACAGTCAAATTGGCTGTCCCCACGGAGGATGAAAACCCAAGCCAACTGACTCTACCACTAGAAACGTTCAAGCTTCGCGCGGTCCCAGCATGTGAACGCAGTATGTGGCCGGGCTCGTTCGTTGCCCACCCGATAGCGTTTGCCTGCACTTCCAGCGACGGTGTGGACGAATGGACGTACGGTGTCGTTTCAGGCTACACCTCCTCAGAGCAGGCGACTACGCTACACGTGGTGTGCCAAGACGGCTCCGTTCGCCTCCCGCTATCGTCCACAGTAAGTGTGATCAAGGCTGACGTGCTCAATTACGCGCTCCAAACTGGTGCTCGGGTCACGTCACTCCGTCGGAGCTGCTGAAACAGCTTGACAAGGTTGTCATGGCGTGCCGACGACGACGTTGGGGAATACCTAAAGCTATCCGAGAGACAATGTCCGTACCCTACGTTGGTAATGAGGTTGTCCCCCTGATTCGGCCCGCTGACCTCCAGCTGGTACGCATTCGACATCAACATGCTGTCGATTTTACCATGGCTGCCCGCTTAAAACGCCCTGTCGACCTGTACTCCGACACACAGATCAAGCCGGGGGGATCCAAAGTACCCCGCCCCACCGAGCGGTCAACCTCATCCGGACAAGTCTCTACTGTAGGAAAGCGAGCTCGCGTACATGAACTGGACGAAGATTCCGACATCGACCTCTCTGACTAAGATTCCGCGAAGATCTCCAAGATGTCCAGCAGATCCATCGTCCCCTCACCAAACGTAGGCGTGCTGAACGGCCCGCCCCCTCCCAGGCCTATTCTTCAAGTAGCAGTGACCACGTCGATGACGCGGTATATCAAGACACCCGGCGTCGAGGAGTGGTTTTCCACCCCTCTCCAACGGACAGGCAAGTTCACAACGCGATCGTACGGCGAAGACACGCAGTTAAGGAACCCCAAATGCTCCTCCAATATGCCCAGCAGTTCCAGCGACTCGACTTCATCGGAACCCCTCCTGTACTCGGTAGTACCTACCATTTTGGTTTTGGACTCGGGCTGTCCATCATGCATTTGCGTAGAGCCCGTACTGCGGACGAGGTTGCTACGACGGAAAATGGCGTCAACATGTGGGACTTCTCGTCTAAGAACAGTCTACCGCCCCCGGCTCGCGCTACCAGCTTCGGTGATCTCATTGGCGCTCTATCTGCTTTTTACAAGTTCGCGAAATACTTCTACAACAGCGACACCAGACGGTTTATCGCTGCAGCACGGGACTTCGTGATTTCCTACGCTGATCACGCCCACCCAGACCAGGCTCGCACTGGGTCAACTGCAAGTTCGGTCAATTTCGCAGTCGCGTCGTCACAAAAGGCCTCGGCTCTGCCTTACGGGTGCGGAAGCAGTTCAACAGGAACGATGAGCAACTACTCGCGTTGAAGGAATCAGACCCAGCTTGGAAGCAGTTGTCTTCGCGTCCTATAACGTCAGGGCGCCCCGACAGCGCGCCTTCTAATCGTTCGACAAGACAGCAGCCCGTCAAAACGAAGATTCCGGCCGATGTTATCTCGTCACTTCCGAAAGCAGCGGATGGTCGCCGCCTATGCATGCGGTATGCATCCAAGGTGGGTTGTACAGTGGCGGACTGTGCCCGTGCCCACTTTCGACCTGACGCGTTGACGGACGAAACAAAAGCGGTCATCGTTCAGCGCTGGAAAGGATTGTCGGATGAGTGCAAAGACTTATGAAGCCAGGAGCCGCAGCCTCCCGTGGTCACGGGGCAAACAGAGCAGTACAAGCAAGAAGAGCAACGTCGGTACGACTCTTTCATGACCACCCTCACGAAGATGCGGCGTGCCAATACTGAGAGTGTCAATCAACACTGGGAGGCAGCAGCGGCACCGTACCAACTAAACCCCCCAGCGACCGACACAGTTCAAGTGGCAGACATCGACTATCACGAGGTACAATTCTGGACCACACTGGTGGAAAAGGCCTCGCTCTCTCTACCCAGTGCTGTAAAGCTTTTCCGCGGCCAAACCCCCGATGATCCTCGCCCAAACAAGGATTTGTACGAGTTGAAGGTGGCGGCGCATCCTGACATGACTGAGTCGACCATCAATTGGAACAAAATCGTGCAGCATGGAGTTGTTCCGCAGTGGCTACCAGTGAAACCAGAACGACAGACAGCGCGACCTCCGAACCACAATAGTATCAAGGGACACGGCGCCAGCATTCGTCGCCACCTGCGCAAAGGACAACTAGAAGGGCGTTATTTGATTGTGGATGCCCGTCTCCATGACCTGTGGCCGGAGTTATTTATCGGACCCCTTGCTGTCGTGGACAAGCCAGGTGCTACGAAGCCAGACATTCGTCTCATCAACGATTACTCCTTTCCGGCCGGGGCATCGGTGAACGATTACACGGACAGGAGTGACCATCCTCCTATCTCGTACAATCCACCGCGTGCGATCGCCCGTCGAATTCATGAGCTCAAGCAATTACATCCAGCTGCATACGTACTGTTGATGCTGGGGGATGTGGCTGGAGCATTTCGCCACATTCCTATTAACGCAGAATCGGTACACATGTTCAGCTTTCGCTATGAGGATATCCTCGTAGTTGATCTCTCCTGGGGCTCCTGTGGCTTCGGGTGGTGTGGTTCCCCCGCGTTTTACACAGTTGCAGGCAGACTGATCAATCACCTATACGATTTCGGATATCGCCTGGATCGTTCGTTCACCGGCAATGTATGGTGCGATGACCATACGTGCGTTGAAATTGACGAAGGCACAAGGTGCTTCGACGCAAATATCGCACTACGACGAGCAATGGCAACGGTACTGGGTCCTACAGCATTGAACGAAGACAAATTCACTTCTTGGGCTACCAAAGGCAAAGCGCTGGGATTGATGTGGGACACTGAGGCTGGCTCCGTGTCGATGCCGGCTGACAAGATTAATAAGGCGCTGGACAAAGTGACACAGCTGATGACCGCACCAAAAGTGACTAAATCGGCCCTGTTAAAAGTGTTGGGAAGTCTCCGGCACGTTGCAACCTGGCTAGAGCATTCTTTCAGCGTCTTCAAGCCGAAGTGAACGAAGACCAACCAATTAAACGCTAATGTGGCGCACACAACTCCTAAACATGCTCTGTGTGATAGTTTGACACACTGTGTAATACTTACAGATCGAATGTGATTTTCGTATTCCATCCCAGTGAATGTGTTGGCCGTTCCGATTACTTGCGCGGGCACAGGCTTGGCGCCATCCTTTGAAAACTTAGATGGTGCGTACGGGTTTGCTGGATATGCCTTGTCCAGAAAGAATCGCAGCTTCTGCTCGACGGTGATAGTCACGCCATCATGAGCTTCATTACGGACGACGTTGTGGATGTTGTGCCGAGTGCGGCAAGGGGCAACAGACTTGCCCTGTATTTATAGAGCCCGATGGATGTCGCCTTCGCGGGCATGCTCTACTTTTTATTTGAATTTAGCTTACCTCCAATTTATTTTTGGACAGTGCTACCGTCCACGTTTCGACAACCTGAACGGGGTTCGCGACTAAGTTGTAGGTCGCCTGGTGTACTGGGCCCCATCTACATAAGTAGGTAGATTGATAGTGCATAAAGTAGTTAAGTCACTACATCACTAGCGTATACTGACGGTCATCGTGATTAGCTGAATTGGGGGAGCCAGTCCCATTTCAGCCAATCAGGCGTTGACCTTCATTTGGGTAGCTCACATGAGACCAGGGGTAGAGTTGATTTTACCGCGACGAACTACTTCTTCCGCGCATCGGCCTGTCGGTGCTCCCTGCGAGCGTTCGCTAGTCCCCGCGATATGGAGGTCAAGCATGCGGATGGTAAGGCCCATCGCCTCGCGCGACGCAAGGTATCCTTGCCGTACAAGTTCGACGGCTTCCGCAGCAACGACGACTTCCGGGCGATTGAGGTGAATTACGCGCTTGACTGTATTCTGGAGATCCCGTGGCTTGCACAGTATCAGCCAGATATAGGCTGGCTGCCTTGTTCAGTCAACCGTCGACGTGGCTTCGACGTACGCGAAGTAGTGTTCATGCATTTCTTCGTGGTCCCAAGCGACCGGCATCACGTTACCGTCGTGGAAAAGACAGCCACGACGCAAGTTGTGCACTGAGCGAGTGATGGTCCTCTGGGCCGTGCTGTAAATGATGACTAGCCGAGCGCAGCCGCTACGCGGCGGTAGTTTTAGTTTTGGTCCCTGTTGGGTGGCTTCCCCGCCTCCGCTTCGATCCAAGTGACCGAAGCTTCAGGTCCCAAACGCGTGCAACAGTAACCGGACGATCTTGCGCTGTTTGACCTTTTGGAAGCCGACAAACAATCTCTTGCCACTCGGGGTTGCAAGTCTTTACCAGATAAAAGGTCCAGCTTACCGAATTCTCGAACGTTAGCCACGAAATCTCAATACGACCGGTACATATGACAGGGACCGCCACTAAATGTTGCGGGAAGGATGATTTTCTGACCAAAGCGGTTCAAAGCGGCTCCAGTGTTTGAGTTCTGCGATTGACTCAGAATAGGTTGCGTCTACGTCGCCCAAGGCTGTCTGCTCCTCATTCAGATAAGCGTCCTTGACACCCGTGTACAGATCGGCCCGGAGCGTTTTTCGAAATCCTCCGTAACGTTTCTTGCTCCACCTTTGCCTGCTGGGCGACACCCTATTGCCGAAAAAGACGCCCTCCTTGGTGCAATACAGAACCTTTCCCTTTTAGGGAACAATCGGTAAGCAACGTGTTCCCGTCGAGACATCTGTGTGTTACGGCGATATTCTTTACCATCGGCGTACTGGTTCGTGTATGTCTACCCAAGTTCTCCCCGCGGAAACAACAGTGAGTACTGAAGCGGATCATACATCGGGTTCGTTTCGAAAATGCGAAGGAGGCTGTTCCGCGCCGTGTGCAACACGGTGTCCATCTCCTTGTTAACGCTTCTGTCGTCAACGATGACAGCTCCAACCTCGTTCACGTTGGGCAAGTTGGTAGTCCGCGACCTGCGATTGTCGGCATGGAGCTCATACATCAGGTCTAGGACACTCTTTCCTTTCTCAATGTTCTGCCGGAGCCGGTCTGCGTGTGATAGAAACTGTTGGCCGAATGGGTTGTAAGCTCTCATCATTCGCTCGAGTGTCGTAAGCTTTTTTACGTCCAGTTCATGAAAAATCCCCTTTCGCAGCTCCGCTCTCTTTTTCAGGTCGTCATCCACGATGTAAATCTGCGCAAACTTTGCTGGGGTGAAGTCCACACCATTGTGATCCATGCGTGGAAGCAGTGACCCCAAGTATTGACACATGACGCCTTGGACTCGATACGTGTACACTCTGCGTTGAGCTTGGCCCGAATTGTCCCCCCGTACACCTCGAACGCGAACACCATCGCTGCGCGCCATTCCAGTTGAAGTGAAAGCAAAAACCTGGTTGTAGGCTCGTTTCAACCCCTAAATTCCTGTTCTTTGTAGTGATCCAGTAGATAGTATGGAAGGCGCAGTCACGGAGCGAGTTGCACTCTACCCTCAAGACAGCTGGATACCTCGGACTTGCCAGGCCACTTCCAAGCCCCACCAAATCCACACTCATACATCACGGGGGGCATGTGGTGCCCGTTGGATATGCTCTTGCCCGATACCCTGGACATGTTAAAGTTCTCGTGGTTGGAAAGCGCATGACCTCGACCGACACATTTGCGACGTATCCGAGCAGCGTCATTTCTTGCTTCATCCTCCTGGGCTCGGCGTCGGGCGCGGTATTGCTCATTTACCTCCCCACGTTGTTCGGGTGTTAGCTCTGCACCTAGTTCTCGATGCCGCTCCGTATTTCGTTCGCGTTCCGCATCATGCTCTTCTTGCGAAACCCTTGCTCGCGCCGATCACTGTTGGCTGGCGTTCCGTTCGCGCCCGGCATTTCGGGCCTACTGGGATAGCCCCGCACGACCTGCGCGCTGCTGTTCCGCGTTATAATCCCGCACATTCTGTGTATTTGAATTGCCGAACATAGGATCTTCGAGGCGGTCTTCACCCTTCTCTAGAGCGGTCAATTCTTTGTTCAACCTCCTCTTGTGGCTACTAATTCGACCGTGTCTCTGCTTCTTAGCTGGCGGCTCTTCTGGTTCACTGGGAGGGGGAGGGGGGCATTTGCAAGCTAGTAGTCCCTCCACGCTTGCTCATTCTCCGCGCGAGTCCTCTTCCGCTTAGTTCGAGAAATATCTACGAACACGTAAACGCAACGCGTTAGATATAAAGCCTAAGTACACTGCACGCACCAGCAAACGTTCTATTGCCGAGTAGGATGTGGGCGTTATTTCTCACCGGATGCGCTTGGTGCGCTTGGTCCCTTCGAGGTTTACTGTCTCTTAACGAAGTAGCCGTACCCGCAGTCACAGGCCTGAAGGCCCGGAGCGGTGTCATTTTTAAAGCCGGTAGGTCCGGGTTGCGATACCGGGTAGTACTGAGTGGCCTTGTGCGATATAATTTGCCCCGCACACGTTAATCGACCCTGATTGGTTTAACTAGCTCGGCTCAACTGGCGGGTACTGATTTAGTGACATGTGTGGTCAATAGACAGGCGCTATTTGTACTCTCGCTCAGAGGGAGCCCGAGGTCGGCAACGCCGACGCTAGCTGCTCTTGCGTGCGTGCTCGCGCGCGCCCAGGGCGCTCCGGGACAGCGGCATTAGGCGCTGTCACGAGTGGGGAGTCGCGCGCACCTGTCGGTGCGTGCGTAGCGGCAACAGGGCCATCGCTCACTGTTCCGCTGTTGCAACCGAAGCGCACGAGAGTGCGCTTCTATCAATCGATGACCGGATCATGCCGTGCAAGCCACGGCATGCCCAATACAATGTCAAACTTATCGTCCAGATCCAGGACGATAAAGGTCTCGACAAACCCTTGATCTTCATACGTGAAGCGCTCGTGTACCATGCGCTTCTCGGTCTTCACGACGGCACCCGTTGCCAGTCGTACCTCCAACATACTTTGAGTTATCTTTAAATCCTCGAAGTCAAGCCTTGATAGACTTCGCAGTCGAACAAAGTTCTTCGACGCGCCAGAAACTACCAAAGCACGGAGAGAGCCGCTTGCTCTCATCGAGTTCACGTTCAGGATGACAAGGTCAGGCTTGTCATCTTGGTTCTTGCAGTGAGAATGAATCTCACTGGGGACTGCAGTCCTCAGTGTCGCGTGTCGAAGGTCGACACGCGGAACTGCATTACCAGTAGGGCGCACCGCGCCTACTCGCGTCCAGCGTTTTTTGTTTGGTTGCGACGGTGCCCGGCACCGCCGCGATAGCCACCCTGCTGGTGCACGGGGGCCGTGCACTCCAGAGCAAACTGACCGACTCTACCGCAACGGTAGCATCGCACATTGTTTCCCTGCGACTGCTGGGACCAGCGGTTGCAGCACTCGAGAGGTCCATGGCCTCCCGTCCTCACTACCGGGCGTGGCTGTGGCCTCGGCACATGTGCATGCAGCTTAGCCTGCCGCAGGCTAAACTCCTCCTGCATTGCAAGAGTAATTGCAGCTTCGAGAGTACTCGGGTACTCACGGAAGAGATAGGTCTTCACAGGTCCATCTCTCAGTCCCTTCATGAACGTGACGACCTTGGTCGCCTCGCGATCGGATTGGTCACGAGGTTCGAGACCAAGTAACGTGCTCTCGGAGCGTAAGCATGAACATCATACTTGCCCTGCTGCAGGTCGAGGAACTCCGCCCTCGACCGGAACTCGTTTTGCGGTGGCTCAAACGCTCGTCTGAGCTCATCCTTGAAATCCTCGTACGTGCTAAAGCACGTAGGATCCGAGAGTCGGCGCCCATACGCCCAACTTCTTGCACGTCCGCCAAGACATGACATGGCGAACGCAACCTTCGAGAACGGGTCGACGATACGTCGAGCCGCAATGGCAGTGTCGAGTTCGACAAGCCAACGGAGGAGAGGTTCACCCTCTCTTCCGACATAGTTACTCACATTGAGCTTCGGCGATAGCGCGCGTGGTGTCGTCCCGGACGGCACCGCGGTAGTAGCAGCAACCTCCCGTTGCTCCTTCAGGATGAAACCCAGAGCAACACCGTGTTGCTCTGTCGGCGTTAGCGTACGCAGCATCGTAGCTACAGCCGCCTCACCAATGACTGTTGACAGTCGTTGGAGGGCCTCCCACTCTGGATCCGACAGGTGGGGACAGTCAGCGCGTGCAACGTGAGTTGCAGGCGTAGTGGAGCTTTCCATATCCAAGGGAAGGTTCTCAGCTCCGCGTTCGTGTGGTGACGTACGAACTCAGGTAGTCGGTCGTTGGACGGACTACAAAGTGCTACCAGGTGTAATGGACCTACTTTGGCGTACTACTTTAACTTATACGTGTGTGCACGTGTGTGGGGAACCGTACCTTAGTTTAAACTAGTTAATTATACTCGGGCCTCCAAGTATAGATTAATCTAAATAAACGATCCAAATACTATTTGGGTTAAAATGCTGCTATTTTTGTTTTATGCTTTCTCACTTCCTCTAAATGTAATATTCTAAGTTAGGAATCTGCCAACGGCTGGTTGGCAGAATTCCAACGCTAGGAATGTCGCCCATTGGCTAAAAGATGCTTTTTTCAGCCAATAGGAATCGTAAGTCTCTATGGACCACCCGTCGTGGTGATCGTAAATGCATGTAGTCTTTGGTGTGTCTACACCAAGGTCGAGAAAGTCTTTCGAACCTCTAACAGACGTCGTGCCTGTTAGAGGTACAAGTGACTGTAGCCACTTGTGCGTGTAATCCTGTTACAGCGCTTGTCTCGCAAAGGGTAAACCACGGCTCGATCACATGTTCAGGAGTCCCGTGTAGCCAGCGCGGGCCGTTACGTGCATTGGTCCGACGTAGTCCACAGCGAGTAGGAGCTGGTTCTTCTTTAACTCGCGGGGCTTCTTGGGAGCAAATGGCTTCTGGGTCAGCTTTACGCTCGAGCGCACGCTTGCTCGATGACGCCTCTGCAGGGTAGCTTCAGATCCGCAAAGACCTGTTGCACGCAATGCGTGTTGTGGTGGCCGAGGCGGCCATACCATGTCTCCACGCGTGGCGCCTTGGCCGTCATCATAGCGGCGCCATCGATTGGCCCACTCAGATCAGAATCCACATACATGTGGTGGTTGGCGCGTGAGGCTTTCAAAGCCACATCAGACCTCGCGCGTATCACACAGGACACGCCCTTGAACGAAATCTCCATGCCCTTGTGCGACGCAGCCGCAACCGAGACGAGATTGCGAGCGAGCCCATGCACATACAGAATGTCCTGCAGTACACAAACCTCACGACCATTGCACAGCAGCGGAGCCTTCCCGACAGCGGTAGCCAGCATCGTCTCACCGGATGCAACGGTCAGCAAGCGCGGCGTGTCCAGTGTGTGCACATCGACGAGGTTATCAATGTGGCCAGTCATGTGGCTTGTCGCACCACTGGCGGGAATCCATTCCCGCTTGTCTTTGGCCGTCGTGTCCTCCACTGAAAATGCCATACTGGTCGATTCCTTCTTCATGGTTGACGGCGCCGGATCACCGGTGCAGTTCCAAGCGTAGTGTCCCATTTGGTCGCAACTGAAACACTTGACCTTTGACAGGTCACGTTTCTTCTTCGACTTGGCGTTGCTCTTGCCGGCCTTTTGCTCAGCGTTGAACGCAGCAGCCGTCCTACCGCTGCTTGTAGCACCACTCGTCGATCGACGACCTTCTACTGATCACCACATTGCCTCTGCTTGGCATCGTTGGAGCATGACCTTGAATGTCGCGCATGGCTCGAGGACGCCCACGAAGCCGTTCTAAGCAGGCCCCAGGCTCTGCATGAAGTTCGGTCTCTGCTCTTCATCAGAGACAGTCGTGTGCTGCTCGTGCAGCTCATCAAGGACACGTCTTGTCGTCTTGATGTGCTTCACCATGGAGTCATCTCCATCCAGATAGAGCCCCATGTATTCGTGCTTGGCCGCCCCAATGCTTGCGCTACACTTGACATTGTAGGTCATGCGTAGGCGGCGGATCATCGTAAGCGGGTGTTCTATCAGGTACACTTCCGCAGCGAGCTTCTCGCCCAGCGCCGCCAAGATGATCGAAGCAGCCATCTTCTGTTTTATCACTCGGTCGTTGAGCGGCGTGGCCGGCATCGAAGCTGGCGATAACGTTCCAGCAGGAGCTGCCGCCGATGCAGCAGCGTCCCTCTCGGCCTTCAGCTCGGCGTCGTTCGGCGTCGGTGCATTGATGGCGACCCAAAGCCCCTTGATCTCCAGCACCAGCTTGACTTGAGCTCCCCAGGCCGGTAAGCCAGTTCCGTTGAATTCTCTGAGCTTGGTTGCGAGCGTCGAGGCCGTAGTCGTAGACACCATAACCTATCGGAAGGGCTTGGATGCAGAGAAATTCGCGGTGGCGACGGATAGGAAGATAGGAAAGGAGACTTGGGAAGTCCAGCGAAAGATGAAAAGTGATTGAAGTGGGGCCAAAGCTAAAAACCAAACAAACTACAGCCTGCTATCTGCTCCATGGGCTGCTGCTGCTCTTCGAAGAACCCGACGCACGAGAAGTTAAAATGCAGCCATAGCACTTGATGCGCGCCCGGTGGCGCCCCACGATTGACTGCCGCGTCGATGACGGCTTGAACTTTGAGTGATTGCTAGAGACGATTTCGAAATCCCCCCAAATAATAATAAAAAATAAATATAATAATAAATATAAAAGGCAAAAAGAATCTCCCCCCTAAATACGCTCGGAGCATTCTTGCCAAAAACACGAAAACGTCCTTCAACAGTATGCTGGAGGGCCCTCACACCTGGGTGGTCGCCCAACGATCTGGGGACGTGGTCTACGCTACTAATCTAGTGTACCACGCGGTGTTGTTTGGTTACAAAGAGGGTACGGAGGATAATTATAAGTGGGGAATGATCGGCGGAAACGTCGTATTGACAACTGAAGATCATGGAGCAGCATTACGGTACGTGTCGGGATCGACAATAGGGGTTTCCAAGGGCTTGAGTGGCGTGGTTGAGCGTTCTCTCGGCTTTTACGCATATGGAGGGACGCGAGTGGAGTGAAAAGAATTGCGAGGAAGAGAAGCAGCGGCTTCTTCGACGGAGAAACGAGGACTCTCTCTTTGTTGTGCATAGCGCTGGTGCACACACTCGGTGCTCAAAGAAGAGGAAGCGAGCTGGAATATTAGTCGTCGCCAGGGCTGCTAAGAAGAGTACAGATACTCGAAACGTTATTAATACCATAGCGGCATCTTGGTTAAATACGTTGTGAGTATAAGATTACGTATAGTTGAAATATGTTGCACTTTTCATCAGTGATGGCCAAAAATGTATTGCAGGTATTGGCATTCACCAATACTTATTGCAATGCCATACTGCAAGCTTGCAAGCTATTGCAATACATATTGCAGAGCGCTGCGGAATTGCAATTCTTTCTGCAGTCTTAAGACAACCGAATAAACTCTTCAAACCCTTGTACTTTTCACGTAGAAGCAGGCAAGGCTGTCAATGTCAAGATAATAATGTTCTCAAAACCAAGTTCCGACGGCATATGTGCTATCGGTGACCTCTACGACGACAGAGTAGTATGGTTATAGTATTGCAGTAATTATTGCAAGAACGACCAGTATTGCAGTTATTATTGCTGGCTGCCTTGGTACTGCAATTCATATTGCTACAGATCGCTTTACCTCCAATGCCTTCCCGTACATTTTTGGCCATCACTGCTTTTCATGTTGAAGTTATGGTAAGATACAATAAAGCATTTGGATGTGCAGGTAGTTGTTCGCTACAGTAGGACCGTTAAAATTGACTTACACTGTAGAACAAACCTATACTGCTTCGTATTGGTGAAATCACGAATGTAGCATAGGGTACCTACTAATTTCGCTTTAATAAACATTGGGGCCCCAGCTAGCTCTCAAATTCGCCAATGATGATATATTATAAACTATACATGCACCCTACGTGAACTTTCAAACTAAACGCATGCTAGTTTTACATTACGTATAGGTATTTAGATCTCAATTACGATTGATAAAACATAACAGAAAACAGCACCAACAGTAAATGTGGCTTTTTAACCAAAACATAACTCTATGTTACATTTTGTATATCAAGTAGTACCCCTGGTGCATGACGAGGTGGCTCAGCTATCGGTGGCACTTCATTGTGGTGGTTACGACCAGCGTATTGTATAGATTGGATCCGGTGTTTACATGAGTGACTGTCTTACAGTCTGATTATCGTCAATTTCTAACCTTTGGTTGAGATTAATAGCCAGTGATTGACTATACAAATCGCGATAGGTGATGTACAGAGTTTCAAACTCGTATACTTATAGAATATTCTCATGGCGTCATCATCAAGTAATATCATCTTACAACAATTCTGGTTTGAGCTGTGGTACAAACTTAAAGTCGTTCTTTTCAATAAGTCTCGATTTAAGTAATCTTGACAAGAATAGTGTTTCTGACGTAACCTGCGTATCCGAGTGGCCGAACTAAGTGTTACCAAGCCGAGCCAGGCGCCAGATAGAATCGACACTATCGTAGACACGTTAAGGCGCAAACTGAAAATGTAGAAGTACAACTACAGCAATGGAGAACCACCTCAATATCAACAAGTTGGATCGGCGGTACTATAACATGCATTGTACCTCTACTACAGCGTGCTTGTCACGGACCAGAGTTCCGATGCACAACGAAATGCAACCAGGGGTGCAAAACCAAAAGGTAACTATATATTCTTAAACTGGGGACCTTATGTAGGAAGTTAATCCAACGATAACGCGGGTCCATCTGTGGCGGGTCTTCCACCAGCGCGCTTTCTCCTGTTGAGAAACGATCGCTTGGCTTCGGCATCTTAGGGACATGAATGCCAGCTCGCCGCAAACATGTGACTGAATGCATACAAGCTCCATACTTATTCCACATCGGCAAGGGCAAACGCTTGTTTCCAGGTTGAACTTCCAGCCGTCAATCGACTAATCTTCGATCTCCATCAGATTCTTGTTTTCCAACACCGTTCACAACTTCTTCCAGGTAGCGCTTTCGTTGACCGTAAGTGTAGGGTCTTCCCACTGACACAAATGCATGATATCGTCCGAAGAATTGCCTTCCATGAGCAACATAATGCTGATGTGTTGCGGCTGAACGGTCCACACACTCAGTTGTGTTTCGCTAGACATTTGGCGCGATCCAGCATTCTTCGATTCGGGACAGCTTGTAGGCCAATTTCCTTTGAGCATACTAAAACACGTTTGGTGGTCAGCAATCGTTCTGGATTATTGAAGGCGAGCCCCATCAAGCTCACGGAGTGAGTGTGAGTTGGGGCTGCCCCCTTAGGAGTGGTTGTGGTGGGTGTCGAAGAGTCGGGTGCGTGCCGCCGGGCGTGCGGTCAAGCGTGCCGTGGTGGCGTGTCGGGGCTGCTGGTGCCCTGCGCCCGACGGTGCAAACTCTTGACTGGCCCAGAACGAACTGCTCAAACTACACTACTGCCACGTTCAGCTGGGGACAAAGGCCCGGTCCAAGAAAACCGCCCGCTTGAATGGCATACTAAACCTACTGGTGACCGCACGCGGCTTGGTGTGCGTGTGCATCTTGGTGTCCACGTCCGCCTTGGTGCCCGCGTGTGGCTCGCCGTCCACGGTCACCTCGTCCTTCTTCAACGTGGCTTTATCCTTCCATCGGAAAACATAATTTCCTCGCTACACTCGGAAATACACCAAGGGCTTTCGTCACGCGACCAGTGACGACACATCAACTTGAGCCGAATCATAAGTCCGACCAGCCTTATCACGTTAAAAAAACGTGCTTTATTGACCTGTTCAAAGTCTCAACTTGGTTGTTGGTCGTTGCACAGCCAGGTTGGGTCCAAAACACGCCCCAATACTGAATCCAACAGTGACTGGATTCAGTATTGGGGCGTGTTTTGGATGGTTGAAATATGTAGCAAACTTAGCGTCGTCACCCCAAACACTCAAAGTCTTCTTTAAAAACCTTTCACATGGACGCGCATGAGCATCCGCCAACGCTTTTGTATGCAGGACGCGGAGCTCAATGGTGTGCTGCTCAAGCTGTCGCGTTTTCACGACCGGAGGTCATCAATACTGCCGGCCTCCTCGGTCGCAGGACCCCGCCGGGATGCTCCGGATGCTGCAGCTTCCCGTGAGACACGGGTCACGGACAAGGCAAACCCGAGGCGCTCGGTACCCTCGGCGGTGGCCCTCGCCGCTCCGCGTGAGAACGGGGACGGCAAGCAACTGTGTCTTCGCTATATTTCTGCCCAAGGATGTCCATCACCCAATCCTGACCGGTGTACCCATCACGTTCTGGGACACTTCGTGCCGTCGACCTTGGCCCCCGTCGTGAAGGCCTATATCGTGGAGAAATATGGTGGCCTGCGCGTTGACATCGAGCAAAACCTGTGACGGCCTCGACGCGCCGGCCATCCGGTCATGGCAGTCTCACTCGCTGTCGTGAAGCGGGTGGCGGCGCGTCTAGAAGCGATGCTGGTGGTGGACGAAGCGTCTGTAGCAGCACGGCGACTGGCCGCTTTTCGCGACGCTGGCGTCCCGCTTCCTCGGCCATCCCCTACTCACGTGGACACACCAGTAGGTACCAGATACCTGATCGATGCTGAAATGCAAAAGGCTTTATCTACATTCGTGCGTCGTTCGTGCCTGTCATTCGAAGAGACTGTACGCTTATGGCGAGGACAACATGCCGCTGATGCCAGACCCAACAAAGCGTTGCGCGGGCACCACCTCGCGTGGCTCCCCCACGGCTACGACAAGCAAGCTCTCCTACTCAAGGTCATTGCCGACGGCGTCTGTCATAACTTCCGTGAAGGTTCAACCATACCACGTCAGCTATCGCGAAACCACAAGTCGGCGAACACGCTCGAGAACGCGCTCTGTCGGAGTATTCGCGAAGGCCAAGACGCAGGGACCTATTTGGTCGTGGATATTGATGTGGCCGAGCGCTGGAGCGTACTGTCTTACAGCCCGTTCGGATGCGTCCCAAAGGCGGACACGGACCCAGCTCTCGAGGCAAGAGTCATCCACGACCTGTCATTTCCAGTCAGCGCATCGGTGAACGATCGGTCTGATCCGGACGAGCTACCGCAGCTAATTTACGAGCATATCGGCGCGATTGCACGGCGGATCGAGATCTCAAGCAGCGCTCTCCGTCTACGCCAGTCAAGCTAATGCGCGGCGACGTCAAATGGGCTTTCAAACACGTCCGGGGACATCCTTCGGTGTGTGCCAAGTTTGCTGGACTACTTCCCACACTGAAGGCGGCAGTCATCGATCTCGCGCTTCCGTTCGGCTGAACTGGCTCCCCAGCTATCTACGGCGTCTTTGGCTCAGCGATCTCATTCCCGGTGCGCCGTGAATGCCCCTCCAGCCTCCACCCTGGTGACTTAGACCTGGACCAATTTTTTTGCTTCGAGTGGGTTGACGACCACGTCTTGATTGAGGAAGACCGCGGGCGTCGTTTGGAGTTATGTGAATGTGCACTTCGGTTAGCCATGCTGGCTGTTCTCGGCCCCCGGTCTATTAACCATAAGAAGTTCACGACGTGGGCCTCGCGGGCGCGTGCCCTGGGGCTCTACTGGGACACGGAGCGCCGGACAGTGTCTATCCCTGAGGACAAGATCGAGAAGGCTCTCCAGCGCATCCGCACGATGCGACAGAAGTCCTCGGTGTCGCGCACGGAGCTCTCGCAGCTCCTCGGGTCACTACGGCACGTTTGCTCGTGCATTCGGCCGGCGAAGCCGTTCTTCCAGCGCTTGGCTTCACTCCCCCGAAGGGCTCCGCGCGTTGGCAAAATTCGGCTCGAGTTGGACGCTCACCTCGACCTGGATTGGTTCGGCCACATCTTACAGCATGGCCGGTTGCGTGGTATGCCGTTGCGATTTTTCTCGCAACCCCCAGTCGCGGACGTGAACATTCTGATGGATGCTAGTGACAGCGGTGTATGCGCCCTTCACCCAGCCCAGAAGCAGTTCATCCAGGTCCAGTTCGACGCTACCGAACGGTTGATGATTCAAGAGGGCCGTTTTCCGATCAACGTGCGGGAGCAGCTCAGTGCAGTTTGGGCCGTGTTGTGCTGGGGACACGATTGGTGTCCCCGATCGGCGGAGGGACTGACACATATCACGTTCTGGATCGACAATAGGGCAGCAGTGTCCTGGTGCAACCATCTTAGCAGTCGCGGTCCCCTCGCGCAGGAGCTTAACCGGATTCTCGGAGCTGTCGAAGCTCAATGGTCACTGCGTGTCTCCGCGCAGCATCTTCCCGGTGCGTGCAACACGATGGCGGATGCGGGGTCGCGAGCTTGGACCAAGAGGCACTCGGCTACGTGGCAAGTACTAACTGAAGGCTGGTCGCAGGTTCTCGTGCCTCGAGCTATTCGGAAGATCTACTTGGCGAACTGTTCGCCCTTCAGCAGAAGTCCCTGTCTGAAGCATCTCGCCGGCTGTATGCAGGTTCCTGGCGGCAATGGACTCAGTTTTGCAAACAGCTCGGTGTGTCACGGTGGCTGCCGTCCCGCGACTTCGGAGCCCAATCGCTATGCATGGCTTTATTCGCCGCTCATTGCTGGTCCGGGAACGGTGGGCGTGGGCGGCTATCCCCCAGCACGATACAGTCTAAACTCTGCCATGTGCGCTGGTATCATCGGGTCTTCGCCGGCTTCGACCCTCGGCTCGACGCACATCATGCTATGGTTTTGTCCGGAATACGACGGGCCAATCCGCCACCAGCCCGCCGAGATCCCGTCATGCGCCCAGTGCTCAAGTGGATCATTGACAACCTCGACCTCAGCAAAGCCCAGCACCGCGTCATTGGTGGGGCTGCGGTGCTGGGCTTCTTTTTTCTACTCCGAAGCGCAGAGTATTTGTTGGTGCGGGGACGCAGAAGGGTGTACACGCTGCAAGTCAGAGATGTCGTAGTCCGCGACGCGAACGGCCTCCAGACGCAGAGTGCTCGGCAAGCATGCTCCATTAAAGTAACGTTTCGAGGGCAGAAGAATGACCAAGAGGGACACGGTATGCAACGAGTTCTACGGAGATCTGGTGACCAAAGATTCTGCCCAGTCTGGGCTGGCACACTGCTGCTCCAAAATGCGTCTCAGCTCAGGCTCAAATCGACCGATCCACTGTGCAGTCTGTCGACGACGAAGATGCTGTCAGCTGAACTCATGGCCAAGTTACTGCGGGCCGCTGCCAAGGCCACCGGCAACGAGGCGTCTCGAGTGCCGTGTCACTCACTCCGGAGCGGCGGAGCGACAACCCTGCTGGCGGCAGGAGTCGACAGCACGGTGGTAATGCTACATGGACGATGGCGATCTGATGTGTACCAGCGTTACACGCGTTACACAGATGCAACGAGGTCCCGACTTGCGGCGCGAATGGCGAAACCGCGGATTGAGCGCTGAACGAGGCTACACCGAGCGATTCGGAGGGGTTCACGCCTGCCTGGCGTGGCTCAATGCGGCCTCTACAGCTTACTCAAATACCACGTGCTTGGTTTCCCCATTTGTGCCTTATCATCGCGATGCACCCGAATGCTATGATTGCTTATGTACCTGCACAGGTGCTGCGGACGGAAGTTGAAAACGTTATATGAGACGACGGCAAACAAAATGTTACTTATCAACCTAAGTACGAATCGCGATTTAGGCGCATAATTGGAAAGAGGGATGTCTCCTCTTTCGTTTGAGTCCCTCCCGAGCTTCTGGTATGAAGAAACGACCGAGAACGAGACCGTAAAAAAAAAAATCCGACTTCAACCCCGAAAAGGATATTTTTTTTGATGAACTGGTGTAAAATTAGTCAGCGAATCCGACAATGTTGTCCGTTTTAGCTAATTCGAAGCCTAACAGTGTTAGAATCTCACTTTTGTGCCGTCACTTCAAATCACCAGGGGTATATTTTTGATTTTTTTTAGAAAATTTGATATCTGGATGTAAGTAACATTTTGAATGAACTGTAGACATAAGTATCATAATGATCGACTACAACCTTGGGCTGCCTATTCTTGCTCAGCAGGCAGATCCGCAGTAGCTTTGTGCTTTTTGTTCTATTGCGTCTTCTTTGCTGCAGTAGCCCTCTTCTTTGCTGGGTTCTTTTTCGTCGCAACAGCCTCCGTGATACCACGCTGGTCTTGGTTAGCCTTAGCCGCCACGGCCATTGCCGCGCGATGCTCACGTCGTGCTTGTTTCCGTGACTTGGCATCTTCTCCTTCCTGCTCGCTAGGCTTGGTGTAGAGGGGATCGCTCTGAAATTCAGCAGGAACGTAGGGCCTGATGTTGTGGTACATCTGCGCAATTTTCTCGGTGTTGCGGATAGGAGGGGACAGCGTCTCGATATGGTCCGTCATCATCCGCTGCACCTTCTCCTTCGTGGTGAAGATCCCGTCAATTTGACGGCTCAAACTAATCTCTACAGGTTCGCTCTCGGGGCCTTTCTTGCAGACAACGACGCCTGGCTGCGATGCGTCCATCGTGAAAATCTGGAACTTCTGGATGCCGTCAAGTCGTTTGTACAATTCGGTGAGAATAGGTTTGTAGGACTTGAGCGCTGAGCTTCCGCGAGGCAGATGCACCGTGATTGAGCTCTTGGACGCCGAACTAACAGCCTCTACGAGCTGCATGCGTGTTGAGCCGGTTACCGTGCGCCTTGATCGACATGTTACCTTCTCGGATGCGCATCTTGTAGCGCTGCAAGGTAATGGGGACTACTCCATAGCAGAGCGCGAAAGTGGGTCGGCACACATGACCTACGTAGGGGAGGATGTACGGAAACTTCTCACGGTCACCCCGTCCTCTCTTACGCTCAACCGTGGGGGTCTGCATCAACACAGCCAGGAGCGTGTACAAGCTCGCGGTGCGCTCTTGCTTCGTCATCTGGTCCAGCGAGCACAGCAAGAACTCCAACTCATGAGCCTTGCCCTTGACGCACTCGTTCTCACACGCGTCCGCATGAATCACCTCAGTCACACGGGCTCGAGGACTCGCGTCATTCAAAAAGATACTAATATCCTCTTCATCTTCGGCTTCACTGCTCGCGCTCTCTGCTGTGAGCGGTTCCTCGTCGTCGCTGGGTGACGCCTCCGAATCAGGCGTAAAGTCGTCGTCGCTGCTGTCCTCGTCCACCTCACTCTCACTGGTAGCAGTGGGATCGACGCCAGAGACAGAATCGTCGGCAGAATCAGGCTCTTCGTCTGCTTCGCGACGCCGAGCAGCAAGGGGTGCCGTGGCCGACAGAGTCAGCGCCGTGGAGGGGGACGTTGTGGCCGGCGGAGTCAGCGCCTGGGAGGCGACGTCGCGGCTGGCAGAATCGGAGCCGTGGCTGGCGGGCTTGGCGCCGAGGTGGCCGGTGGCGAGGCTGAGAGAGGCAGCGCTGGAGGTTGCGCAGGCTGCGCAGTTGGCGCTGCAGCGCCCGAGGTCGGTGCTGTCGGCGTCGTGGGTGGTGTCTGCATGGCTGTAGGTAGTGGGCCGAGTGGCTTTTCGAAATGGTATCCACCCCCTTCAAAATTTTGAAAATCAAAACTCCTCGCTTTCTCACGACTTCGTTTAGTTGCGATTTTGAACTTGGCCTCTTTTAAGGTTGCGATTTTGAACCTGGCCTCTTTTAAGGTTGCGATTTTGAACCTGGCCTCTTTTAAGGTTCAAAATCGCAACTAAACGAAGTCGTGAGAAAGCGAGGAGTTTTGACTTTCAAAATTTTGAAGGGGGTGGATACCATTTCGAAAAGCCACTCGGCCCACTACCTACAGCCATGCAGACACCACCCACGACGCCGACAGCACCGACCTCGGGCGCTGCAGCGCCAACTGCGCAGCCTGCGCAACCTCCAGCGCTGCCTCTCTCAGCCTCGCCACCGGCCACCTCGGCGCCAAGCCCGCCAGCCACGGCTCCGATTCTGCCAGCCGCGACGTCGCCTCCCAGGCGCTGACTCCGCCGGCCACAACGTCCCCCTCCACGGCGCTGACTCTGTCGGCCACGGCACCCCTTGCTGCTCGGCGTCGCGAAGCAGACGAAGAGCCTGATTCTGCCGACGATTCTGTCTCTGGCGTCGATCCCACTGCTACCAGTGAGAGTGAGGTGGACGAGGACAGCAGCGACGACGACTTTACGCCTGATTCGGAGGCGTCACCCAGCGACGACGAGGAACCGCTCACAGCAGAGAGCGCGAGCAGTGAAGCCGAAGATGAAGAGGATATTAGTATCTTTTTGAATGACGCGAGTCCTCGAGCCCGTGTGACTGAGGTGATTCATGCGGACGCGTGTGAGAACGAGTGCGTCAAGGGCAAGGCTCGTGAGTTGGAGTTCTTGCTGTGCTCGCTGGACCAGATGACGAAGCAAGAGCGCACCGCGAGCTTGTACACGCTCCTGGCTTTGTTGATGCAGACCCCCACGGTTGAGCGTAAGAGAGGACGGGGTGACCGTGAGAAGTTTCCGTACATCCTCCCCTACGTAGGTCATGTGTGCCGACCCACTTTCGCGCTCTGCTATGGAGTAGTCCCCATTACCTTGCAGCGCTACAAGATGCGCATCCGAGAAGGTAACATGTCGATCAAGGCGCACGGTAACCGGCTCAACACGCATGCAGCTCGTAGAGGCTGTTAGTTCGGCGTCCAAGAGCTCAATCACGGTGCATCTGCCTCGCGGAAGCTCAGCGCTCAAGTCCTACAAACCTATTCTCACCGAATTGTACAAACGACTTGACGGCATCCAGAAGTTCCAGATTTTCACGATGGACGCATCGCAGCCAGGCGTCGTTGTCTGCAAGAAAGGCCCCGAGAGCGAACCTGTAGAGATTAGTTTGAGCCGTCAAATTGACGGGATCTTCACCACGAAGGAGAAGGTGCAGCGGATGATGACGGACCATATCGAGACGCTGTCCCCTCCTATCCGCAACACCGAGAAAATTGCGCAGATGTACCACAACATCAGGCCCTACGTTCCTGCTGAATTTCAGAGCGATCCCCTCTACACCAAGCCTAGCGAGCAGGAAGGAGAAGATGCCAAGTCACGGAAACAAGCACGACGTGAGCATCGCGCGGCAATGGCCGTGGCGGCTAAGGCTAACCAAGACCAGCGTGGTATCACGGAGGCTGTTGCGACGAAAAAGAACCCAGCAAAGAAGAGGGCTACTGCAGCAAAGAAGACGCAATAGAACAAAAAGCACAAAGCTACTGCGGATCTGCCTGCTGAGCAAGAATAGGCAGCCCAAGGTTGTAGTCGATCATTATGATACTTATGTCTACAGTTCATTCAAAATGTTACTTACATCCAGATATCAAATTTTCTAAAAAAAATCAAAAATATACCCCTGGTGATTTGAAGTGACGGCACAAAAGTGAGATTCTAACACTGTTAGGCTTCGAATTAGCTAAAACGGACAACATTGTCGGATTCGCTGACTAATTTTACACCAGTTCATCAAAAAAAATATCCTTTTCGGGGTTGAAGTCGGATTTTTTTTTTTACGGTCTCGTTCTCGGTCGTTTCTTCATACCAGAAGCTCGGGAGGGACTCAAACGAAAGAGGAGACATCCCTCTTTCCAATTATGCGCCTAAATCGCGATTCGTACTTAGGTTGATAAGTAACATTTTGTTTGCCGTCGTCTCATATACTCTAGTACAGTACAATATATCGCCATACTAAAGGCAAGTATGGCAATATATTGGGGTAAATATTGATATTGGTACAATATTGATTGTGATGACTGCCTCGCCGACAATCAATATCAAATACTTCCTCTGGTTGGAAATGATCACCGGAAACAGACATTTTAACCAATAACTCCACCACTACGTGCTGTATAAAGCTGCGGATTGGACAAAAAGCAAGCTCTTGATCTCCGCTTTCCATAGCCACCGATTTCATCTCGATCGGGTCCCTGTAGCCCACGTCATTTTCATTTTACCGCTCCAAGTAGCAAGCCGATATCAAGAGGGCACCCCCGTACTTTGTTTAGAGTCGCGAAAACATGACGAAGGCCAACCTGGTGGACATGGAGCGCAGAGGCATCATCGACGAGCTCCTCTGGGCTAGCCGGATCAAGCAGAACAGCGGCAGGAAGCGTAAGAATCGAGATGAAGTGCGGACGAAGCTGGCGAGTGTTCCTGTGGAGGATAGGGCAGTTGAGAGGCGCGTTGCGGCTGCTTCAGGGCTCTCCCGGCACCTAGTACGACAAGCTGTGAAGGAAGGCATGGTACGGCGTCGTACGACGTTTATCAAGCCGGCGCTGACCCCCGAGAACAAGCTGGACCGTGTCGAACATGCGCTGTCGTTCATCGACGACAAGACGTTACGCTTCGAGTCGATGCACAACGTGGTCCACGTCGATGAGACGTGGTTCTACGCAGACCGCAACAGACGTTCCTACCTTGTATTTGACGGTGAAGAGATGCCTCCACGAGCCTGGAAGAGCAAGCGCTTCATACCCAAGACCATGTTCCTGGCAGCACTCGCACGCCCTCGGTAAGTCTCTATATTTTTATAATTTTATACTGTGGATAACCTTTGACACTGTGAATGAAATTTCTGTGTAGGTACGATCCACACCGTAAGCAGAGATGGGGTGGCAAGGTGGGGCTCATGTCTTTCACGGAGAAGTATAAGGCACAGCGTAAAAGCAAGAATAGAGCCAAGGGGGAAATTTGCACACGCAATCTTGATACCGTCGATCGAAATGTCTACAAGGACTATCTGATCACCAAGGTGTTCCCAGCTATCAAGTCGAAGTGGCCAAGGAAGGACCGTGCCAGTTCATCTTCGTGCAACAAGATAATGCGAAGCCGCACGTGTCGCCAACCGATCCGGACGTTGTCGCAGCGGGCACAGAAGGAGGGTGGAACATCAGGCTGTTATGCCAAGCAGCCAACTCACCCGAGCTCAATTGCCTTGACTTGGGAGTTTTTGCTTCAATGCAGAGCATTCAACACCGTCTACCAAGGAAGGGCATCGATGCGCTTATAGCGTCGGTTGAGGACGCATTCGGGAGCTCAAACCCGACACTGTGGACAACATCTTTCTTACGCTACAGGCGTGCATGCGGGCAATCTTGGAGGAGGCTGGCGGCAATCTCTACAAGCTTCCACACTTGGGGAAGGCCAAACTCCGACGTGCGAATGAGCTACAGGTAAGTCTATCGTGCAGTAGAGAGCTGTATGACGCCGCACTTGCGTTACTCCAATCTTCAAACCGTGGTAGTGCACTGTTCTTTAAATGAAAAGTACTTCGAAGTAGATACCTTTCTCCTTCTTTGAACTCAAAGTACACTTTATAAATTAGTATTTGTCGTGTATAAGATTCGGCCGTCCCAGAAAAACTGCCGACCTATCATAATGACTTCCGGTGATCATTTCCAACCGGAGGAAGTATATATTGTCCGATCCCTGGTGCTCGAGCCCCGAGACGGATACCCATTGCCTGAAGTACTAGAGCCCCGAGACGTACTCCAAGTACATGTCGTACTTCGATAGAGTACAACGTGCACTTCGAACAGCCCCTCTCCTACAATCCTTTTGGTGAGCCTCTAGTTACTACTAAGTCGGACAGTTGAAGGTAGTTCAATGTTGGGCGAGGCAAACTGAGCACGGACAAAGCGCCTTGCTATCCAGTTGAAGCAAGCAACCAATCAAAGCTCACGGACAGCAAACAAGGGCATGTTCAAGGACGTGTGCAAGGCTCTCCATATCACGCAGTCACGGTGAACGTGTTGGACGTGGCCGTATACGCCGTGAGCGCGCCCAGCAAGCTCTTCGAGTACCCGCGGTGCACGAAGCGGTAGGTGCCGGCGACGCTCGTGCGCCCGCCCTTGCGGGTGTTCCACTCGCACGTGTTCTTGCTCTCAGCGATGAGGAAGCGCTCCCAGTGGTAGCGCAGGTCCCAGTGCGCGTCGGTCAGCACGGTGGAGTACGCGCCACTGGAGCCAAGTTTCTCGACATCACAGAAGGACGAGACCAGGGTCAACGCATTCTTCGGGTGCGCGCCGGCGAACACTGCTGAAGCCACACTACCGACAGCGTAGGTGCTGGCGGGCTGCGTGCGCACGTAGCTGAAAGAGTAAAGCAGAGGGGACGAGTCAAACACCACACCCGTCTGCAGCGTGATGAGCGAGCTGCGGTCGATCTGCAGTGGTGTGGGCCCCACGTCCAACGGCACGGACGGGTCGGCCGCCGACTTCGCCACGCGAGCCAATTCCTGCTGCACCGCGGCCAACTGGTTGGGCCCGAAGAGCGTCGACGCGCCCTCGTAGTTCTGTGTGAGGTATTCTTCCTTGGTGGTCATGTACTGCGCGTAGGCGTTGCTGACTGAAGCGAGCTCGACCTCGGTCACTCCAGCCCCGGCCAGCGCCGTCTTGACGGTGTCTCGGATACGTCTGCCGGCCATGGTCGTGACCTCGAAGTTGGTGACGGCGATAGCGAACTGGCCGATCTTGACGACCTGCACCGGCAGAATGTTGGGCACCCAAGGCACGGGCTCCATGAGGCCGACAGCCAACAGCGGCACCTTGTTGCCGTTCTGGCAGTCCTGCACCCACTGCGGCGTCTCCTTGATGACGTCGCCTATGGTCTTGAAGAGCACGTTGGCCTTGAGGTTGCCCTCCGTGAACATACTAAGCGCGCGTCCGTCTTCGGTACCAGCAGCAAAGTTCTGTCCCACGACGGCGGGGCAAGTTCTGTTGGCGTAGGGGTCGGCTGTGGTGGCTTTCACGCCGTCCAGTGTGACGTTGGAGAAATCAACGTAGGAGAGTTTAGCCACAGCGGAGCCCTTGATGAGTTCAGAGTCGCCCTTGATGAGCGTCAACAGCGTGTCATACTGCCGCTTGCCCATGATCTCAGCGGACTCGATCGTGGTGTTCCCTTCGCCGCTGAAGGTGCCGTCTCCGTTGTCGATCAGGTTGGGGCTCACGTCTCCGGCGTTGGCGATGCCGATGCCCACCACGACGTTGTCTAACTCGTCCTCGAGCAGAAACTCTGCGTATCCCTTGTTGTCGCCACTGATGAGCAGGTTGGCTGCGGTGAGACTGGTTGGGTGGACGGGGTAGAAGGCCAAGACGCCGCGGAGCTTGCCAGCGCTGCTGTAGAAGTGGAGCGCGCGCATCGTCGTGTCGATGTTGCTCGAGTACTTGGCTCGCTCCGACTCCGGATTGGCCATGTATGCATCAGGAGAGCGGTTCTTGCCGCCTTTCGTCACCTCGCCCTTGTTCCAGCGGATCGTGCCGCTCGCCACCGAGTTGTGCGCCTGGTCGATGGCGTCCAAGATGCCGCCCACGATCTTGTCGAAGTTCTCGCTGATGTACCCGAGGATGGACACGTCGTAAAGGAAGTAGCCGGCAGTGCCTCCCGGTCCAGCGTGCGTGTGCGTGGCGTGTAGAACGACGTTCTGCTCGGTGTAGACGCCGCTGTACTTGGTGGCGAGCTGGGCGAGGACTTCTTGGTGCACCAGCTGCATGACGGAGTGCAGGTCGCAGTGGACGAACATGACGCGGCTGCTGGTGTCGGGGTCTTGAATGAGGAAGGCTCTGGCGTAGAGGCGACTGAGAATTCCAGCGTCCCTTTCGTCCGTGCTGGCGAATCCCATCATGATGACCTCGGCGGCAGGCCCAGTGATATCGCTCTTACCAACGCCGATGTTGTACGAGGCAGCAGGCCGGGTGAAGACCACACTTAGCAGCAGGAGCAGCAGCCAGCGCAGCAGCATTGCGTCCGTCTTGAAAACTGGTCCGAGGATGAGGAGCTTGAGCACTTGTTAGCACGTTCGGAAATGAGAGCCTCGAGCCTATGGTGGAGAACGGAAGCGCGTGTATGCATGCAAACTAGAAGAAGGTCGTGACACCCGTCGCCTTGAACCTCTATCCATTCCGGTGGAGAGGGGCCATCAGGGAGTGCCACCTCTCCTTGTTAAACCAGCTCGACCTGATCAGTCTTCTTCACCACAGTAAGCCTCATGGTACAACTCCATCGAGACTCATCAAAGTTGAAGTGGTCGGGGCTTGAAGATCGCTAACCACTTATAATAGCAACCCGATTGAGCTCCTACCGCTAGTGCGTTGCAGAAGGTTGTTTGGTGCCGTGGCGCGAGCTTTATGCGTGCAAAACGCCCAGACGCCTGCATCAGCTGAGATGAAGCAGGCCGAACTGCGTCTTTCTAAGGAAGTCGTGCGAGGTGGGGCGAAGAGCAGTACATTCGAAAGCTTAGCCCGGCCTTGAGGAGGCGCCTTGAGAGCCGCGCGCAGATCATCGGAGGAGCGCGGCGGCTTGAGAGGTGGCTCCGAAAGGCTACCCCCAATGGGACGGTGGGAGGGTAGCAAAAGTCGATAATTCCTTAGAAGTCCGCGACTCCGGTCGTTTCGCCTTCTTATCGTCAAGAGCTGCGATTGAGTCAAGTCGTGCTCTTCAACGTACGATTCAACGGATGAACAACTCACTCCATTGGGCTGGCGGCGTCCCATCGCTTTGGTTGTCCATACTCAACGGCGAAGACTTGCCCCCCCCCCTGATCTTTGGCTTGATCCGAGAAGGGCGTCACCTGCTTGCATACAGCCTTGCTCGATATATTTTTTATTGTCATTCCGTCACAGACAGACATGACGATACAGATATAGCAAATAGGATCGTCAAATGCGAGCAGTAACTCCCTGCACGGTTATTCGCGGAGGCACAGCCGTCGGTCGTTCTACGACGATCGTTAGTGCTCCAGGACCCGACATTTCTCAATTTGCAGCGCAGGCCACACAAGCTCCTCCGAGTGCTTCAGTATGACTCCTGCGCCATCGGTTCCAGTGCCAGCATGGGACTCGCGAGCCGACCAGCAAGAGAGCCTCGTCGAAAATGTCGTCTCCTCCCACTTCCAGCACGAATCAGCTGATAGCAACCTCCTTTTGCCTCTGGAGCTGGACGACTTCAACTCCGTTGGCGACGAAACATACCGAGGCGCTACCACTCCCCACGTATCGCGAGCAAGGCCCCGTGTACGTCTGCTCTACATTGATGAGGCTGTGCGTCAACGCTTTTGCTCCAATGCGCAGTATCTTTTGCAAACAGCGCTGAAGGACCCGCTGGCCGACTCCACGAGTGGTCAGCTTGCGCGCAAGGCGCTTCGGTACCGCAACATTATGAGCCGCACCGAAGAAATCGACCTCCATGACCCAACGTCCGATGTCTCTGCGTTTTTCGGTATTAAGTGGCAGCGTAGCTACAGCTTGACTGATGACTGAGGAAGTATGGTGCTGCGCAGATGTCGTCAATACAAGAAAAAGAAGAACGTGTAGGTTATGCGATTCGTGTTGAGTCTGCCGTTCCCAATTCCTGTTGAGTCTATCGCTCGCAACGTTTTACGCATTATCTGCTCCTCACTGTAGGATGCGATGAACAACTTCAACTCGTGTCTTGCTGTGCTTCATGCAGCGCTAGAACTTGGAGAAGCAGCCGAGTATTCGCTGACATAACTTCAGGTCTACGTCCCCTTTACGCTAGCTTGACGCGCCGGCGTCTGTCAAATCTGCCTCTGATACATTGTCCTTTGTTTTTGATTTTCTTCCAGACACTTGGTGGTGGCTCGTACGTGTATCCTTATTGATCAGCTAACTACAATGGGCTCCAGTCGTCATGCTGAGATTGAAGTGAGTGAGTGCACTGCGGGGATTCTTGCTCTTCAGTGAAAAAAAGCAAATCGAGCTCAGGAAGCAACCAAGAAGTTCTCGCCTAAAACTCAGCACGCAGCAACTTGACTGAAGTAAGCCAGTTTTGCGTAAACTGACACGCAAGAGCACAAGCGTATGGTGGGTGTCTGCTCGAGGACGGGCTGGAGGTTGCCATCGCCAACGCCGTGCAACAAAGGGCACCGTCGCGGAGACATGGCCGATTTCAACCCGGATATAGGGCAGGATTCTCAAAAAAAAAACTCTCATGTGGGTCCGCACGCAGTCTGTCAGGTCCTAAGCCGTCGAGAGCGTGGTCTCAGCTTCGCCGTCGTCCATCCCAAAAACGTGCTGACGCTGGTCTCGCTGGGTACAAACTCTGTTCCATCGACTGGCATCGTGATAAGGTTGCGGCTGGGAACACGTACGAATCTCAAGACTATAGCTTCATGCACAAGATATAATTGTTGAAAAGTGGCTCGAGCTGTTAACGCTGCTGAACCAGGCTGGCCTACAAAAACCTAAAATCCTCTTGTTCCTGTAGCAAAGTGGGTTTGCAAAATCAAGCGAAGAAGAGCACTCATTTATTTTCATGTGGTACCCGTAATAGCTCAGGGCAAAATGGCGATGCTGCGTCATCTCGAATTTTGCCTCGGCTTACATGTTTGTATCGTCAGAATGACGTGTGTGTCATGAATGACACAATCTCGACAAACGAAAATGAAAAACCTTACTTCAAGTACATGCATTCGTTCTAACCTGGCCGAGGTCTTGAGCTGCCGTGCAGTAATATCTTTTACCAAACTGCTACTCAGCTTTAACCTCGATGTCGTTCCTTCGCCACTCGACACCGAAAAATTCCGAGACGTCGAACGCTGGGTCTCGCGGGTCCACTTCTTGTAGGCGACTCGTGATTTTCCGGTTGCGGAGGGCCTTGTGCGCGATCAGCGAGCTCTTGGATCTTGCATCAGGGTCTTCCAGTACGGCATCGAGGAGGCGCTGGGCGTTGGCGCAGAATTGAGCGCGGATCCTCTCGTCGGTGTAGAGCAGACGCACGCGGGGCGATTTCGTAGCTCCGGAGCTTCCTTCACTCCGACTCCGCAGCAGTTTCTCTTGTAAAATACCTAGCTGCTCGTCCACGGATTCTTCAGTGTCGAGGGGCAACAGGAGACCAGTGACGCCGCTCTCTCGCCCATGAGGAGCTTGTCGTCGAAGAGAGCAGTCGACGCTGAGGCTTCTGCTCATTGCGGCAGGCTTATTTGGGTCCATGAGAACGGGGGGGACTGGAGTCGTGTGCGTCCGGCGAGGCGAATTCTGAAATGAAGCCAACCGCCCGAAAGCCGCTCGGAACACGAGGAGGGTCTGTATCACCCGCATCAAAGGCACGCATCCCATAGAAGATACTACTAGTACGAGGCAGGAAAATGAGTGCAGCGGCGCTGCCCGGTAAACTCATGACCAAGGCCCAGATGAGTCAATCCACCTGCCTCTCATCAGGCTGATTTGCAGTGCAAATACCTCGCTGAAGGTCCAGCCGTTGAAGACAGAGAGGGCCTATCTATCGCCAAGGCCTTCCGCCGACGCTGTGTAGATGTAGATCAACACGAACGCTGGAGTTTCTCCTCTAGGGGTGGCAGCGACCTCTCAGAGAGAAAAAAAAGCAGCGGCAGTCTGCCCATAGCTCTCTACGGCCGTTCCAAGAGGCTAACGCGCAGCCTACCGACATCGTAGCGGAGAGCAGCGTTGCGACCAGAAAAATCTGGAGATCGCCTTTTTCTTCCATATCTTGCACGACGATGGTGGGCCTCCTGACGACGGTCCAAACTGGACCCAATCTTGCCGTTACGACGGCATCCGACCGGCGTTGCTTGGGGTCGCACGCAGCTGCTGCGCTGCAGGGTTCCCACAGCGGGTGTCAGCAAGGCGGCGTAGCTTGTGTCGAGGATCTGCCGCCTCTGCTCTCCTCTTGGAAACACTCCGCAATACCGACTCAGCAAACATTCCGAAATCTCGAGAAAATTGACTCAAAACCCTCGCTGTAACATGAGCTGATCGCTTGGAGCCTTCGTCATTGTTCAGATGCATTCGCGTGTGATATCTAGCCGTTTCTAACGGCAGTGCCCGTCGGGGCACAGTTGGGCGCGAACACCGGACTGAGGAGTGGATAGAGCCTGTAGACCTCGCAGTTCCTGAGCGCTGCTTCTAGGAGAAATAGCCTTCAGCGGTTGATAGCACAACAGCAAAATGACGCTAGGACCGAGCGCTGCTGAGTATCCCTTGGTCTTGAGGTAGCGGCACTAATAGAGCACCCAGCCTGGTAGCTTTCTTCGGATTACACGTAACCGAATGACGGATCCGACACAGCTGGTTCCCAAAGTCGGTGTATAGCGTTATCCATGAATTAGCGGTAACCGGATTTTTAGGTCAATCCTACATTTTGGTCACGGGTCAAATCCTTACTTTGGTCACGTGACCTAAGCGAATGAGGTCACATGTAATTCGCAAACGGTTTGGTTGTTAAGTAAATGCGTTATAGCGATTCTGCTCCTGACAGAGAGCGACTTCCGCACCATTATTCCGCGCTGTCGTGGTCAAAAGAGTCGTCTGGACGATAGTCTGCTGTTTTATGATCCATCTCGGCATCGTCGGCCTCTAGCACTAGAGCAGGATTCAGGGTCATCAGTGGCGATGGTAGGCTGCTCTCATAAGTCTTTGCTCTTCTCTGACCCCACAATGTCGGCGGCCTGACGCAATGGATAACAACGCGCGGTGCCGCATATTCGTGAGAAATACCTTTTCGTGACCTACATTACGCGATGGGGGCCGTCTCATGTTGAAGTGTCAAGCTCGAGTGCTGAGCTGTGGTGCGATGGGTTAGCTACTTCTGGGCGCGTATAAATTTTCTAAGTGAATGCTACAAAGCACGAAATAGAATCCGGAGACGATGTCGAAATTTCATAATGGGTTCCCTGTGTCGACGAAGTTGTTCATGGGAGGGTGTGTAGCCCTACAGTCTACTTGTACTATTGCTATAATACCATGTCGCACTATACGAGCCGGTTGCCTCTGTGTACTTTGTAATCGTTGAGTTGCGTTATTGTGTAGAATGAAAGCTAGGTGCAATTCTGTATGGTAGGCGGCTCAAAATATAGCAGGGTATGAAATATGGTAGGCAAATACATGATAAGTGTAGTGGAGGTTTTCACAGAAGCGAGCCCAGCCCACTCATCGGGTGGCTTCTACAGAGCGACGCTACCAAGCGGGCAGTAGGAAAGGGAGGAACAGCGAAACCAATGCAAACGACAGAGAGAGAGGGGTCGGTTTGGTAGAAGACGCTAGCAGAAGGCACTAGCAGGAGTCAGCTGAAACACATACACAGATTACTTTGAAATCAACCTCTTAAGCTAAACAGAGCTTTGGTTTGCTCGGAGCGCTAGCCTCCCTGGTCCTTTATAATAGTGTTCCTAAACCTACTTACAGCTCTGACTCTTCGCTACAAATACAGTCGTTATGCCTCCGAGACGGCCGAGTCGCCGCTTACCGTCGCGGTGGACAAGAGTGCTCGCGTCCCTCCAAGCCGAAGCTGGACGCTCGACCAGCGGACCTTCACTCTCACTGGCAACACCGTAGCAAGTGTGCATATGCTGTCACCTTGCAAGGTAGGCAGAGTGAATTGTAAGCGCTAGAGGATCGGGCATTTGCTAGGCCGTTAGTTAGGCTAAATGACTGCAATGCGCCGCACCTTGAAACGAAACGAGACGGCGAGTCGAGTGTGCGGCCAAATCTGTGCAGCATACTCATGGCCTTCGGCAACGCTGTGATCCCAGGAACAGCGGGCGGCGGGGTACTCGACTTCGACCTCGAGCGAGGTTACGGGGCCCCACACGTCGAGCAAGACTGAAGGCTAGGTCGAGATAACGCTACGTGACGTTGAGTCCATGAGCTCAAGCGCTGAATGCGAGCGGAGTCCCGTAAGCACGGGTTGGTGACTTTGTACGGTGCTCGTACTGCAACATGGTAGGTAGCACCACCTCTTCTATCTAGGGTATTGCGATCTGCGCTCATACTACGAGCATCACACACGCGTGGTAGCAGCTCACTGTTTAGCAATGTAACTACTGCCCGTGCAACATGCATGGTAGGCGGTCTCTTGCAGTGTAAATGGTAGGAAGCACACATTTTAGCATGGTAAGGACTTGCAGCGCAACATGGTACTTTTGCTAGTAGCAAGCACGCTGTGCAAGATGATCGGCAGCCCACAGTGCAGCACTTAGCCAGCTTCTACTGTAACACAGCAGCAACTCACGGTGCAGCACGTCGTGTCCTGTAGGAAACCGCACTGACAGAGTACAAAAGCATTGAGAGAGGTGTCGTGTGTACTGAGAAACTTGAATGATGTCTGAATTCTTCAGGCTGAAGAGAGGTGGACCATCGTCCGCTTCGAAGCTGCATACTTAAGTATGCATTTTGCTCTCATTCTCATGCGGGCGGGCGCGCATCTTACCGTCTGCATCAATGGGTGTGACCTGTTAAGTTTGGTCACGTGACCTAGCGTCCTGATGTGTGACCTATTTGACCATCATACCCGTGACCAACTGTTAGGATTGACCTGTTTTCCCCTCTTCGTGAATTAGTGACCAAGAGCAGTAGGTTCCTTGGTCTCGACTACAGGAAAAATGAAATCGTCATGAATGTCCACGGGCAGACACCAATTGGACACTTGAGCCGGAAAAAAATAAAAAAAATCGCTGCTGTCGTCGAGAAAGTCCAAGCCAAGCGGCTAATACCCCAATCCTAGAATGGCCGCGTTACATCCGAACCAGCTAAAGTGTATCAAAGGCGGGAAATGGGCAGCGATAAGCAAACTCCAAAAACCTAAGGGTCTCGCTGTGGCAGCAATAGGATTGCCGTTTTCAGGGCGACATAAGCTTGTGCGATGTGATTACTTCGTTGGGGTCACGTAAGCTGCAGTAGTGTCGTTCGAATCGCGTCTTCTTTCGTGATGCTCCATTGCGCGTACTCAATTGTGTTTTGAACAGGGAGATTCAAGCTCCGGAGGTGTAGACTGGCATGGATGCAGCGATCGGAGTCTCAAAGGCGGAAGCCCAAACAGCAGGAACCCCAGTGTGCCTCGTCATGTTGACAGTTTCCGCGGGATGGCAAAAGTCTTCTGCATAACAGTGTAGCAGGACACAGGCGCGCTATCCATTCCATCAGTCAGTCATATAACTCTTGACACTTGAGAGTCTTCTTCACTCGGCAATAGTGGGCTGCTGCAATTGAAAACAACACCACTAACATCGTCAGCGAGAACAACAGCGAAAAGAACTGTGTGTTTTGGTCAGGCATTACCGTACACGGTGTCTGAACTGCATGCACCGTGTCGCTGCCAGTCTCCTGTTGCTGCTGTTGACTTGTGGGACTACTTCCGTGAAGCACTTCTTCGCAAAGCTTGACCACGAGACGATCAACACGCAGCGGACTCCTACGCGGGCTCGGGCCCATCAGCAACACCACCTCACGTCAGAAAATAGGACGCGTGCGAATGGATTCCACAAAGTAAAAGTAACATGAGCAGGTCAGAGTCGTCTGAAATAGGATGTGGAGGCATTCTCCAACGCGCTATTCCTGGGGGCACTACATCCGACGGTCGTTCTGAGGCTCCGGTTAGAGCTCAGGTGAACAAAGGTGTGAATATTACTAAGTATTGACCAAGTGCAGAGCATTGACCAAAGGGAAGCCACTGGACAGAGGAATCGATGGCCACGCCGCCTAGGATGCTGCGAGGACAACGTGCGCGCTCTTCACTGGACTATGATGCAGGCAGACTCGTTGCTGCTCAAAGTTCAACGGAAGTGTGAACCAACGCTGCGTTTTCAAGCAAGTGGACAATAGGCACCAGTGCAAAGCTGTGGAAACAAACGATTTGATATCATTTCGGTCACCGCCGCTTGCTTCGTGCGGTTCGTGTGTGGTCAAGCCGCAGGTTTACATGCATGGTTCTGAGAAGCATGTCTACGACGCCACTCTCAGTGGTGTCCACATTTCAACGAGTCTTCTCAATGAGTAAACTTCTTGGGTGCGATCTTAATATGCGCTGGGAATTGCGCTCCAAGCTAGCGGCCCTCTTCCCAAATGTCTACCAGCGCATTCTACCATTGCGACGGCAACCCAGAACTACCCCGGATCTTGCCGCACCATGATGGCGTCGCTGTAGTCGCACACGATTGCGCTGGCCACGCTACCGCTTTTGGAGCCCAGTGTACCAAAGGAGGCGCGGACTCCAGCTCCGTCCAGGCGTTCTGAGGACGTGACTAACTAAGCCACTGCACTGAAATAGACGCCGGTTCCCTCTCAGAAAGATGTACCCTCGACAATACAAATCCATAAAAATGGACTAGTACTCATTCTGCTGCGCCTGGGGCCTCTCCGATGAGACCTTTGTGCTGTAAGGAAGATCGAAGCCACGCGTGTGATAAGCGGAAGGAGATAGCACCGCTGTTGCCGTGGAATCGCCGCATGTGAATGACTCCAGCATCGGGAAGATTTTTAAATGGGTCTTATGCAGAACAGGTCTTGGATTTGACTTTTTCTATGATCTCGTGATTGGATGACATTTGCCATCTTTCGGCAACCTACCGGTACCTCACTACTGTACACGAGTTTACGGGTGGCAAAGCACCCTCGAGAGATTTCAAGTTCTACCCGCCCAACACGCCATGCACCGAGCCTCCTCCCCATCCATGCCGCCAACTACAACGCCTTGAGCACCCGCTCGCGACGAGCCGGACCGACAACAGAAGCTCAACGCGAGCGGTGCTCTAGCGTCTACTACGGCCTGCCAGTGGTGGCTAGCGAGGAGATGGCCCACTGCTTCGCCGCATGCAAGCTCCTGAGCAGAGGCATGGACTCCTGCTACTCCGCGTCGGTGCTCCAGCGCAGCGTTGCTGTATAGTCCGCTACGACGACCACGGCGTTACATACTGTGACAACGGGGATGGACAACAAGAACGTCAAGCCCAAGACGGATATCGGTGTGCCCACGCCCACGCTCCGCCCCAGACCTGACCTCCAACTCGATGGTGTCAAGGCTGCCCACTAGTGTTCTCCATTTACCTGTAAGTTGATTTTAGTTCCCGCTTACTTCCCGGAAGTGAGGTAAATTTACAGGTAACTGATTAAGTGTCGATTATACTGGATAGTATAGCATATGCCTTCTCTATAATACGTCAACTTATCTGGACTAGTCACTCCCGCAAGACTTGCATTTTCCCTTCTGCGAGGAACCGATGCGAGTCAGGTAAATAGCAATGTCGAGCTTGGTAGTTGTGCAGGTGGTGCTGATCTTTGAAATGCATCCAAGAAAGAACGCGTTTTACCTCCAGGGACGCAGACGCGCATGGTAGTCGAGTCGTTCGGATGAGTATGTCTAAAGAGAACTTCTACAACGGACTGCGATGTCTTAACTGGAAGACCAAGAACGAGGAGTGAAAGAGCAAAATGTTCGGACGGAGAATTGGAGGGAGGGCACACGCCGGAGCCTTCTGGTATTATTTTTATTATCTCTAACTCCAATCACCGGTAGCCTAAAAAAAGTTCCCGCTTTACTTTCCGTAAATTAACCGGGGTAAGTCTTACCGGTAAGGGTAAGTGCGAACACTGCTGCCCACGCTACGAGCTCGTGGAAGTGGACACATGAACAGCGGCATGGTGCAGTTTGTTACGTCTAACAGCGGTGCCGAGAAGACCTTCCAGCTGTTCGTCATGCGCCAGGACAAGAAAACCTGCATTGGAGGTGGCAAGGTGGGCGAGCCCGGCGAAGCGCAGCAGACTGAGGAAAGGATCAGGGGTGCAGAAGTCGGTGGATCAAGCTCTTCAAACCGAGGCGAAAGCTGCGCCGGAGCCGGACCATTGTGCGACTAAGGTTTCCTCAATGGCTGAAGCTCTGGCGCACGCACTAGAGCCCACTGAAGCGAAGGTGCCTAAGGACGTCGAAGCTGCCGAGGTTGCCCTAAAGAAGGTGCATGGGGTGTGGGTGGGGCGACGGAGCAGCCGACATTGTCAAGACTCACTGTACTATGGTACAGTGCAGGCTACATCGACTACATCAAGTTGAGCCCAGTGCGCAACTCACCGCGTGCGCTATAATGAAGGAGCTAGGCAACCTTGCAAGGGTACATTGGGGGCACACCATGGGTCATCACTCGAGACAGCGGCTAACAACGTCGTCTTTCTCGAGTATTTCAGTCTTACATGCATCCAGACCAGACAGGAAGGGAAACAACTAAATAATACTAGACACAAAACTATTCATGTATTGATACTCATTAACTCTCTTACTTCGAAGTACCTTACATATGAAAGTCAATGCCGCCTTGGTCAAAGCATTATACTCGGTTGTTGGTGTGCTAATACTATAGCACGGCCTGAGTCTAGCGAAGTCGTTGCCAACGACTCCTTGGCCCAGACGTTGTAGTTTTTGCGCTGTTTTCAAGGAATACGTAGTCTCCATAAACGAATGGAATGCAGTAACTCACCACATACATATAAGGATGAGCAGCATGTGAGGTCTTACTCTGGCGAGCAGCTATAATATATAGGTACAGGTGATAGCTTACTACTACTAACGACTAAGGGGGTGATAGTGAAGCTTCTACGTAGTATTTGGCCCTGCAGAATGTCTCCTCGTCCAAATAGTCGGCCCACATGAACAGCTTTCACATTGCCAGCACTCAGTAGAGCAAAAAGATGAACTGATAAGGTATCCAAGAAGACAAGTTGAGCCATGATCCACTGTTGCGGTTGTTTGGTCCAGGTCTTGCGATTCGGTCATATAATCAGCATGTTCAAATCCTGGACCTGATCTGCATAAGAACCAAAATAAAGGCAACCCAGCATCGCTATCATTTAAGTTTTCACATTCAAACTCGGTTGTATTCACCTCTGGGTCGGGACTCGTGAGGCTCTCTCACGAGCTTTAGAATAAGACTGCGTGTGCGATACAGCCGCTTGGAATCGAGTTTGCAATCGCTTTTCACTCCCTTCAGGATTGAAAATAAAGACTTGCGAATGTAAGACTTTCATTCGTTGTCGGCACCGTCAGTGGATCTAGCTCATTCCGACTCAGTGGCACTGTTGCGCCTATACCATCTCTGTTGACCGGCGATGAAGAACACGCAGAAGCTGATCTCCTTCTTCTACGCCTCCCATGAGTGACTCGACACCTCATCGCTTAACACTCGGTGGAAACCCAACAGACTAGTTATTACACTTACCACAAGCCGAAGGATCGTCAAAAATAAAAGCGGTAACACTTCTCCTACGTCGATCTATTTGAGGAGCCACTTCTGCTACAGCCGCCGGCTGTCTTAAGACACTCCATCGTGTCGTCCTACCAAGCTTGGAGCAGAGGGCGCATGTTGCGAATAATGCATCAGCCCCAGTTGCAGCAGAACTCCACGACGCGGCCGTCCAAATATCTTCTTGCTGAACGAATACTCACACCGTCAGCTTGGATACAGGGGCTTCCCCCCAAAGGTGCAAGCACAACGCGTTCAAGCCTCGTTGGTTGTATGACGCTGACAGCTTTATGGGCTGCAAATACCTCAAGGCGCAGTTTTGCTCTCATGCCCTGTACAAGACTCACTCGTCATTTTCCTGCTACTTTACTACTATTGCGACTGACCTTCGTGAATTATTATTGTTGATACTATAGCTTGTGCAACATTGGATCGTCAACACGACAGGAAGACCGAACTGGAATTTAAACGATGGCGTGACAGGCTCGAATGTGTAGTGCGTTTCGAATGAACACAGTCACGAGGGAAGCTGGCGCTTTCTTTGAATTCCTTGCTTGTTTGGTTGTTCTCAAGTTCTAGAGTGAGGAGGTTAGATAGACCTCAGATACGCCTACAAGCTCTACTAGGATACCTGATCTAATCTAACCACCTCGTGGTCTTATCCTACGCCAGCTTGGCTCTGATCATCCTCGATCGACAGCCCAGTGTGTGGTCAGGTCGTGAAGACCATCGCCCCACTACACCGCCCCACCAAGACTTGACCACGCCGTTGAAAGTGGTGATCAAATGTTGGCTTCACAGGAATGTTGCTTGAATGTACCCATGTACCCGAATTTCGGTACACCTTACCAGTGGCAACTTTAGCACTTCAACTTGAAGTTTTAAAGTTGCTCGACTGCTGAAACAAACTCCAAGTCGCTCTTACCAGAAGCATACTGCTTCACCATCACGGGAATGTCCTTGTACAAAGAACTGAGAGACTCCCAAGAGTCCTTAATTGGTTCCAGACCTTTCCACCCTACCAGAACCTCGAAACATCTCTTGGCCGAGTTCCATCGGTGATCCTTGAGCTCCGCAACAGTAAGGACAATACCCTGAGCAGCCACGTGCTCCCGTATTTCCTCTGTCGCCTCAAACGATTCATCCGCATAGAACTTGAGACGCGAAGAGTGCACGTCTGCCTCCGAACCAGTCACTAAATGCTGGACACGGAAAGAGTGTTCGTCTGAACCAACCACTTGGTACGGGCCTATCCACGTGACTAAAAGCTTGTCGTTGTGTTTCTGGTCTACACGAGATCTCAAAACGTAATCTCCAACTCCGAAATTTGGTTTCCTTGCCCCTTTTTGCATCGCCTGATTACGCCTGGTTTGATCCGACCTCGCTATCTCCACTTTCCTGTGCATCTCCTGCACACACACTCGTAGCTTGTCAAGGTTCTTCTGAATCTGCTCTGAGTTGATGCCAATCTCGACAAAAGTCTCAGTGTCTTTCTCAAAAGTGAAATCTAGAGGAGAGACTGCAGGTAGAACACAAAACAATTCCACGGGAGCCTTGTTTCCCAAAGAAGGTACCGGTGTGTGATTCAAATTCGACTGCACCGCCGAGATAAAATATGGCCAATCTCGAATATCCAGTTTGCTTTCGAGACAAAGCACACGCAAAACTTGAATATTATCTCGGTTCAATCTCTCTATAGTTCCATTAGTCCACGGGCTGTAAGCCACGGTGAACCGTTGCTGGCAACCAAGTCGCTTCGCCACTTCAATCATCACTTGATTCTTAAAGTGACTCCCTTGGTCACTAATCCACACTTGGGGGGCTCCAAATCTACTGTGCCAATCGAGAATGGCCTCAGCAGTCACTACTGCACTCGGTGTTGCACATGGTACCAACTCACAAAAATGAGTCGCATCGTCCTTAAGTACCAATAGATACTTGTAGGTACCGTAGGATTCTCCTAGATGCAAATAATCTCAGTGCAGTGCTCCATTTCGATCCTTACAACGGAAGGTGTCAGCCCATGGTCTGGTTACAATCTTCCCCCCTTTTACATGCTGACACATGAAACAGTCAGCAAGAAAGGTTTTGACCATGGCTGAGAGATTCCGTACGTAAAATCGTCGATTCATGACAGCCATTAAGGTTTCGCGACCTCTGTGGTCCTGCACGCCACAGTGAGCGACCACAAGTAGCCGCTGCAGTAGGGCAGGCTCATTGTCTGGGATCCAAATGCAACCATACCTGCACAGAAGTCCGTTATCACCACGATTCAAACGTTTAGGCAGGCTCACAATGTGCCGCTGTTGAGCCTCCTGCAGTTCTTGCACCGTAGGTCACACGAAAGTACCGTCACTAAATGGTCGAATACGTTGGCGGCGTCTATTTTGGTCTTTAGGCTCGTTGTCTTCACGCTGCCGTCTCAACGTCACACGCTTCACCGCCATATTTGGCATTCCACTCGCACAGGCCCACCGAGAAACCATGTCGGCTCAAACGTTGCTGGTTCCGTCGATATGCTCGATACTGTAGCGGTATTCCATTAGTTTCATGGCCCACCTCATAAGTTTCCCGCGTACGTGCTTTTTAACTTCGTTGCCAGGTGCAAATACATGTATCAGGTTGCAGTGGTCGCAGTACATGCGAAAGCCACCAGGACGCAGCAACAGGTAACTGAGCTTATCACATGCCATGATGATTGGGTATGACTCCTTTTCGATGATACTCCAGTTTCTCTGAGCACCAGTGAACGTACCACCGAGACAAATCAATAGTTCGTGCTGCTGGTCCTGAATCTCAGCACCTTGTTTCCACTCAGGCACTTGCGAGCGATTACAGACCAGCCCACATCCGAGGCATCAGTCAGGAGAATCATTTCCGCGTCCGGCTTCGGGAACGCGAGGCTAGCTGACTCAGCTAGAGCTCGCTTCATCTCGTCGTATGCCTCGCGCTCTGACGAGGTAAGTGCGACTGGGATGTCCGAAGCTGCACGCTTGGTACGTCTCGAGGCTTTAGCCATCGCTTGATCTAGTGCATCTTGCAAAGGGCGAGCGAGTCGTGCATAGTCAATGATACTGTCCCGCATCCAGTTCGTAGAACACAGGGATTGTTGCAGCTCGCCTGCATTCGTTGGATACGGCATACTTCGCAAAGCAGCAATTCGCTCTGGGTCATGTTTCACTCCTTCCCCATTGCTTATCTTACCACACCATTTTACTTCTTGCTTGTACAGGCAGGACTTGGCGGCACTCAGCTTAAAACCGAACTTTGCCGTGAGCTCAAGCAGCTCCTGCAGTTTCTCCAGGTAGGTGTCAACATCGGGGGCGTACAGCAAGAGATCGTCAATCCAGACTAATAAATGCTTGTACAATAGTGCGGCGTAGCAACGCTCCATGGTGGACTGGAAGTACAGTGCTGCATCTGCGCTGCCTTGAGGTACGCGTCGTGGAGTGTAGATCTTCCTGTGCGTCATGTACGATAGGAGCTCTTGACACTCCTTGGCCAAAGGTAGCTGCCAATAACCTTTTATGAAATCGAAAAGGCCAAAGTGTCTGCTGCCCCGTACATTTTCCAAGTCTACATGCAGGTTGGGCATCACTCCTGCCATGGGCTCCGTTTGCGCGTTCATTGGTTTGTAATCCACAGTCTGCCGGAACTCACCACCTCCACGTTTGCGTAAAGGCAATGCGGCACAAGCCCAACGACTCGTTGGGTTTTCATATACCCATCCAAGTTTGACAAGCATGTCGTTGAACGACTCCAGAAACGCTTGATACGCTGGTGCGTACTTCCGTGCTTTAGCTTTGAACGGCCTGCAGCCTGCTTTCATGTGCACGCGCATTGGTTCTACGTCTACAGGAGGGTCGTCACCGAGTACCAGCCTCCAAACGTCGCATAGACGATGATACGCAGGCGTTCAACTTTGCTCACGGGAAATCCTTCCTGCACTGCTCGTTCAATCATCAACTCGACAGCTTTACGAATATCATCATCCGTATTGCTGCCATTCGCCACATCAGGTTCCTCATCGTCATCCTCTCCATCATCTCTACTTGGCACTGCCAGAAGCTCCAATTGTCTCCCAACATCAATACCAAGCATCTTCAATACATCGTTCCCAAACAAAAACTATTCATCATCATTCTCGAGGATTAAACACGTCACCGGCTTGTTGATACTCACCGGACCTGCGGCTGTCATGAGCGACAAGCGCAGTTTCGCATTTTTAATGTGCCCACGTCTTCTTTCCTCCAGGTAATTTGCACTCGACGGGATTTTGCAATTTCATCACTTCACACTGCACAGCATGCTCACCAATTTTTTGTAGGGTCTTCGAACTGATAATCGATGTATCAGCACCAGAGTCTGGACAATACTCCACATCAACAACGCCATTGACACGCAAAACAACGGGGTTTCCCAGCCCCACTGGATAGGCACTACCTAATTCGCTTGAGCATTACGGTGCTCCCCAGGTTTCGGCTTGTGCCCCGCCATGGAGTTGCCTTCGTTCTTGTTGGGGCAGTCGGCCCGTTTGTGCTTGCCGCCACAGGCCCAACAACCCCACTTCGATCTTGTCGCACTCTGCTCGGAACTCTCCTGAAATATCGGCCGAGACGCTGGTTTAGTGTAGTTTCCCTGCGTTGCCCTGGCGTCTGACACCATCCGAGCCTTCTTTACAGGTCGGGCCGACGCCAGTCGAGACGACTCTGCATCAGAAGGTCTTCTCTTGTTTCGTTTCAACGCCAAGTCTTCTCGATCAACCTCCAAAGCTTTCTCGCTCACGATCTTGAAGAGCACGGAGACGTTCGACTTGGCCAGAGGTAGGCGAAAATCGATTTCATTTTTCACCCTCACCTTCAGTTCACTGGGCAGGCAATTCAACAGGATCTTACATTTCTTCTTGATACCTTCCTCGTCCGAGAAAAGCGCAGTCAAACCATTGTTTTTTACGATCGTGTTGCACAGATGAAAGTAGTCCATCACTCGGGCGTCAACGTCGGTCTTCAAGTTCGACATCACAAGTTGCCCTTGGAAGAGCTGATCAATGTTCGGAAGAGCGTTGTTCTTGAAGCTCTGCACCGTTTTCATTATCCACTCCCAAATGAACTCATCTGTCAGGTCCTCTTTCTTCTTTTCCCACTTGGTCTCGCACTGTGTCTCCAAGAAACTGTCATCGAAAGAGTTCCGCACCGATCTCATCACAGACTTCAAATCTTCACCAGACGACTCACAGCGCGCCCGCATGATCTCCTCGTACTCCAGTCGGAGGTCAACCCAGCGGGTGAGCGCCTCATGCGAGATGTCCTCCACCTTGGGCGCTGCTGAAACAGCGAAAATGGGATGCGCCACAGTTGGGATCTCGATGTCCTGGTTTGCGGACCGAAAGGCCAAACCTCCTCCTAGCCCAACGGGGGTGGAGTCAGTATTGGGTTCACTAGGTTCGCTCACTCTTGCTTTCCGAGCACGTTTCTTGCTCTTGCCTCTGTTCGACTTGGCTTGGCCTGCCCGTGCCGTGGGGGCCACAACCGTCTTCCTCGGTCGTAGCATCCTTCCTGAGCTAGCCGCTGGCGGAGCCACATTGTCAGCCGCAGCGGTGGTAGCATTCGTCGACGTAGTTGTGTTGTCCATGTCGATTCCTTCGACACCAAAATCAACTTTGTAGTGGGTTTCGAATGAACACAGTCACGAGGGAAGCTGGCGCTTTCTTTGAAGTCCTTGCTTGTTTGGTTGTTCTCAAGTTCTAGAGTGAGGAGGTTAGATAGACCTCAGATACGCCTACAAGCTCTACTAGGATACCTGATCTAATCTAACCACCTCGTGGTCTTATCCTATGCCAGCTTGGCTCTGATCATCCTCGATCGACAGTCCGGTGTGTGGTCAGGTCGTGAAGACCATCGCCCCACTACAGAATGATAATACTAAAGAATATGTCCGAGCACTCCAGCAGAATTTTTTTGCCACTATTCCAGCGTTCGTCCACCAAGTCTCCTCAGCTTGGAGCCATGCCGCCACCTTGTAGCCCCTGGTTAGCTCAAGTTTGAGATGTCTCCCTTCATGATCGCGTCCAAGTTGGAAGAATTAATATACACGGGTGTCAAAAGTGAGAAGTTCCCACCACGAATCATGGATTATGGAGAATCGATGAAGGTGTTACAGATATTTTCTGGCTTGAAACCCTACTCAGCATTTCGCGTGGGCACTTTTCCTCCGCCACTCGACTCCAAAAAATGCCGAGACGTCGAAAGCTTGGTCCCGGGGGTCGACGTCCTCAAGGCGATGGGTCATTTTCCGGTAGCGGAGGGCCTTGTGCGCAATTTGACCGTTCTTGGATCTGGCCTGAGGATCTTCCAATGCGGCGTCTAGAAGGCGCCGCGCGTTGGCGCAGAATTGATCGCGGACACGCTCGACATCGTAGAGCAGAAGTACGCGCGGCACATTCGCTGCGCCAGAGCTACAAGTACGCTGCAGCTTGTCCTGCACCCGCTGGAGTTGGTCTTCCACGAATTCGTCGTCATCAAGCGGCTGGCAAGTGCAATGGCGGATGGCGTCTTCGCTTAGCTTTGCTGGCTCCATGGGAAGGTTTTGGGTCGGGCGCTGTGAGTGTGTGATCGATGGCGCGGATTGGTAAATGAAAGCCGCTCGAAACACAGTGAGGTCCTGTACCGCAGCGCTCACGCAAGATCACGCATCCAGCCGAAGATATTGTGAATATTTCTGACGAATCGCTGGAGGCCCAAATGTCCTTCATATCATCGAGCATTTCATCAGGAACTAGCAGAAATCTGGACCTCGCAGGAGCCGTAACCCGGCTGTGTACCTTGGGCAATAACTCTCTGAAGCCCGAGGCCACCACCGCCGTTGCTTGCTACATCCGTTGCAACTTGCAAGGGCCGACAGTCTCTTTGGTGTAAATGACGGCGCTATCTTCTCCGTCAAACGAACACGTACGACGGGCTGCAGGCGCCCGTTACCATCGTGACGAAGAACTTGTTCGAGCTAATACCTCCAAGGCTACGCTGTAAGAATACAAATTGCGGTCACTGATGCGATCTCGGATTGAGCCTCTGCACAAACGCACAAATACGTTTTGCTGTTCGCTCCATTAGTGTTAGAATTTATGGCGGGGAGAGGTTGTTTGGGTGGGTCTTGGTTCTACAGCGGACCGTGCGCTCAAGTGTAGCAACGACAAATGTGTCTAACGATGCTGCTGTTTCGTATCATGACTGGGCCTTGATCTACTTACGACTGCATTAAAATTTGATGGATCTTCGAGAAACGTTGACAGCAAGGTGGTGAAGGGAGATCGGCGACCAACGAGTTTGAGCAACATCACCGATGTCTATCCGTACATTGACCCCTCGTGCAGAGCAGCAACCTCGCCAAGGAAAAAAAACTCCCGTATGCAGAAGGAAGACGCGTGCGCAAAACTCATTCAATTGGAATTATTGTTATTTGCTTCAAGTCCTCAATAGACAGACGTTCAAGAGCAAGTCGGTGCGCGGATGTAGTCCTGCAACCTAATCGCGCGACGACCACTTGGTGCCAGCCGGGGTTGGAGCCGGTGCCTGTGCGGCAGCCTCCGTCATGGGCAGCGTGGCCAGAGCGATGGTGGCGACGGCGGCGACAGCGAGGAGCTTGACGATCTTGATCATGGTGGAGTGAAGGTGCGGAGTGTCGGGTAGTTCCGGGTTGGTTGTGCTGGAGATGGCAAATTTGGTTGTGAGGTGTGGAATGATCCCCCACGCTATGAACGAGTTGCTTGAAGGGTGATCGAGCTTTTGGAAAGGAAGGTCTGGAACCTCGAGAACCGACGGACGTCTCCCCATTCGTCCAGATGTTGGCGTCGTGCAGAGCTCGCAGATCGTCGCTGGACCCTGGCGACAGCTTGTACAAGCTTATACAAGTACACGAGCGAATCATTACATGTAGGGGGGCATCTGTTGGTAGATCTACGCACATCGATCTCGAGGACGTTCCTCATTGATCAGCGTCGAAGATCGCCACGATCACTACAATAACGTAACGCTAGCAAACCCAACTTCAACCGCGTGTTTGACATCGAAGCCAGGAGTTCTTGCAGCAGGTGCTGTGATGTACAGACGCGTTTGCGACGCGACCGACCGACAGCCTGTTGTTCGAGAGTAAACTTGTAAGTACTCGTCGTACGAAGTACTCATCATCTTGCGCCGCGTTTTCTTGAGAGATGGTACGCTCGCTTCGATTCTTGCCACGAATTCTACATGGTTAGCGACAGTAACTTACTCTTGAACCACAAGCGACCAGGACAGCTCGAAAGTGTTTGAGTTGCCGTTGAAAATATCATCTACTAACAAGACTTGACTTGACTGCCTGGAAGTGCGTTGCAACGGCGTACATGTAAGCTCGCAGCCCTGAGGTGTCGTTTAGCTTCGAGATGACGTCGTTTTTTTTCCTTATCATACGCCGCCGCTCACGGATGAATTGCAGTAGCCATGACTTTCCCGACCACGTGGCTCGTAGGATCTTGAGTTTGTCACACAGGACGCTTCTTCTTCATGAATTATCCCATGCTGCTGCTCTTCTACACCTGCTCCAGCGCGAGATTTGGTCTGTACAGTGCACTGTACGTCCTGCCCGATTCTGAAGCGCGCATCCTCCAACGTATGCGTGTTTTCATTGTTTTCCGGCATCACCCGGTCGTCGTCGCTTCATCGCAGACTGCGTCGAGCACTGAGCGCAACCCCAGCATCTGGACGAACGGGGAAAATATCCTGGATTCCGATCTCCGTGTCTGTTGTACTGTTGCTACTTCCTCCCAGAAGCTCGGCCGCGCCTCGACCTTCGTCCATCTCAACCAAATTCGCCTTCGCCAGCACAACCAACGCGGAACAGATCAACTTCACTCCCCCATGATCAAGATCGTCAAGCTCCTCGCTGTCGCCGCCGTCGCCACCATCGTCCTGGCCACGCTGTCCCTGTCGGAGGCTGCGGCGCAGGCTCCGGCTCCGATCCCGGCTGGCACCAAGTGGTCGTCGCGCAACTAAGTTGCAGGCCTGGATGGATCCGCGGACCAACTTGCTCTCAAACGTCTGTAGATTAACGAACTGGAGCACCTAACAATAAACAATAAACCGCACCGAATGAGTCTTGTGCGTGGGTCTTCTCGCTGTACGAGAGATTTCTTGCGTTGCCGAGGTTGCTGGTACAATTACACTTGTACAGTATCGATGTTACCAGGCAGGTCTCGCCGATGTTGCGCGATTGTGTTGTCGATTTTCCTGCTGTCAACAAGCAGCAGTACGGTTGTAAGCAGACCAAGGATAGTCACAGTGATTCTACAGAGCAGCAGCATCGTTAGACGTTGGCGATACTGCACTTGAGCACAAAACTCAGTAGGAGAAAAACAAGCTCTACCCACACTATCCTCATTATTCGCCATGCGCCATGCGCCACAGCCCCAACACCAATACGGACAAGCAAGTGCACACAATGCGTACCGCGTCGAGTAATGTTACTGACTTCTCCATCGAGACAAGAACATGGGGAGTGGAGCATCCGCAAGGATAGTAACACGGCGCCGCCTAGGTCTTAAAGAAGAGTCGTAGGACGGATTTCTCCTACTTGCGCTATTTGAAGACGCGCTACAGCCGTTGATCGTTCTGGGCTATCTACCTTGTTATCAGTCTACGCGGTGCGTTTGCTGGGCCAGCACGTTATATCGAGGACACCTACAGCCAGACCTCGCCCGTGAATCACATTCGTTCCATCATCAAGAGGTCGTTGGGGAAGCTTCAGCGCTCGTCGGGGTCTACTAGTCGGTAAGCGTGCTCAACTGGCGCACAAGCGGCACCACTACCGCGGCGTCGTGAAGACTTGACATACCTATATAGCGGACCGATGTATATATATGATTCCTGTCGTTTTCGGATGAGAAGAAGATATGATGATGTCGGTAACAGAACGAGCTTTGACGGAGCACTTGGATCCTTACTGTTCAAGTGACTTTGTGTTGCCTTTTTCTCCTGGGGCTCCTGGTCAAAGTGAAGTCGAAGTCGAGCTGAATTTCATGTGATTTCACTGTGGCAAGCTCAACGTAAAAGAGCTTGACGAGGGCTTCTGGCCAGTTTGAAGAGCACGTGGATTTTATACACCATGAGCGTACGTCGATGATAAGTCAGCGGAGCTCTCACTTGAGTCAGCTCGCCACCACAAAATGGCTTCGCTGGTGGGTTTTGACAGTCCGAAGTCGGTTTTACAGCATCACTTTATCGTATGAACAATTGGAGATTTTATTGCATTTTCAATGGAGAGCAACCTGTACAACGGAGCCATCCAAAAACGCTTACATGCATATCCACGTAGTGCTCGACGCGCGCGAGACGTCGAGCTGCCCCACCCCAGACCTCATCTACTCGGCATTCACCTGGATGTCCTTCCTCCGCCACTCGACACCGAAAAACGCCGAGACGTCGAACGCTGGGTCTCGCGGGTCCACTTCTTGTAGGCGGCTCGTGATTTTCCGGTAGCGGAGGGCCTTGTGCGCGATCAGAGAGCTGTTTGATCTAGCGTGGGGTCCTCCAGTACGGCGTCACGGAGGTCCTCCACCTCGAGACTCGTAGGCGTAAGCGTCGGGAATGGCTGGAGATCGGGCCCCATAGAAGAAATCAATTGATTCTCTACGAGCAAAAGATCGCGCCGCTCACTCATTCACCACAGTTGAGTCCCTCGAAGCCTACAGTCGTGACCAATCGATATCCTCTGGACTGTTCCTGCCTACGAGCGAGACGTTCAAAAGCATCGCAACCCACACCGTTTGCTGCTTCCTACAAGTGTTGCAAGTGGCCGACGCGAAGAAGACTACTTCCTATGTACATCTGCATGGAGTCTCTATTGCGGGGGGGGGGGGGGGGGGGTAACGCGCGACCAGAAAAACGTCTTGTTTGAAACAAGTTGTTTCTAAATGGGATCCGAGAGGCGTTACATTACGATCGGAGGGACGCGCTCCAGCGTGGACAGACTTTCATGGCACCCGACTCGACGCAGCTGGTGCTTGTGGAAGCTGGGGATGAAGGAAAACAGGAACGGTGCTTCCACGTATCGTGTGCTTTCGTATGGGCCTTAATTTCGTTCTCTCATGCGATGCTTTCTTGCACAGCTTCGGCAGTGAATGGGCGTCCACGCGTTTCTGATGCCACGTCTTGGACTGAACTCAGGAGGTCATAGTTTTATGTGCGTTTGGCGGGGCGAGCAGCACGGTACAAGTTGTTGGATATCACCCTAGCAGCATCTTGCAGCCCTGGGCTCTCCTACTCTACTACTTTTGAGGGGGGGGGGGTTACGATTAACCGTGTTGTTGGTTATCTGGACTTGAAGTGCTCGTCATCGTGATCACGAGTGCAGTAACAGATGCATCACCTGATGTTTCCGCCATAAGCATTATGGTCACGTACGACCAGGCTACCAATCGCTGAGCTTGATTGTACTGTACATGTAATGTGCGTTCATCTTGCTTGGAGCGTTCTAACCCCCCAAACTTTCTTCGCTCCTAGCGCTAAGCATCAAGCTGGCACCACTACAGCCAACGCCGCTAATTTTCAACTCGAAAGAGTATCAAATTTTTGAGCAGTGATTTGATGAATATAGTAAACGGGTTGCCGCCTCTGTCAATGATGAGTGGTTCACGCCCAGGTCAGCACGAAGGAGCTACTACGACGCATTGCCGGAATCAGGTACTGTCACGGTGGATGTAGCTGCTGTAGTGCTACTGGGGGCGGCTTCGTCGCGTGCCCCAGACGCATATGTCTTGCGAACAAGCCGCATTTCTTCAGCCATCACCTGCGAGGCTACAGCGGAAAACTCCTTCTTGACCGGGTCGATAAAGAGTTTCTAGGAGGGGAACAACATTCAAACACCGTGTCAGAAAACTGCAGGTATGGGTAACTTGAATCTGAAATCGTCACCTTAATACGGTCGTCAAACCGAATTATAGCCTGGAACAGGTTCACGTTCTCGGAAGCAGAGCTGTCTTCGATCAGCTTGCTGTAAATAAGCGCCAGGATGTCGCACAGAGACAGCAACACCTCTCGGTAGTCCAGCGGGAAGGGCTACAAGCAACACCGCAGCACAAGCTGTATTAGCGCCGCAGCAACCTCCAACTAGGCATGAAAGATCAAGCTACATACGATCGGAGGCGTCATGAGGCGGCGATATACTGGACGTTGGTTCCACTTGTGCATCGTGGGTCGGAACGGCTCGTTGGCCGAGTACTGCGGACTGCTCTCCTGGCCCAGCGGCTCGTGCAGCGTACTCGACGTCGCCACCATCATTTTCTGCCGGCAATAGTCAAAATGCTCGTCAGTCTTCTCCTTTTCATCTTCCCACAAGTCAATCCCCTTACCATTCCCTGCACCGTCGACGACGAGAAGTAAAACTCGAGCTCCTCCAGCAGCTGGCAGCAGTCCATAGCCAGCAGCTCCGGGTGCAGCGACTCCCCCACGAGCCGGCCGAGCCCGATACCGAGGTAGAAGAACTGCGCGCCTCGGCGGATGCTCTGCTTGTCTCCGAGGTGGTTCATCACCTGCTGCTCCCGCAGCAGCGCCACGTTGAGCCAGTAGTTGGAGCCCTCGTGCATGGCCTTGAGGTAGTTCCAGTCCGAGCGCCGGTGCTGCACCAGGTCCTCCAGGATGCGCATCCGCTGCTGAGCCGTCACCTGGCGCAGCACAGCCGCCTCCTGAGCCGCCGCCGCAGCTGCCGCCTCCTCCGCAGCGGCTCGGTCGGCGGCGTTGCTGGCGCGGTCCTCGGCCTCGTCCCCCGCTTGGCTGACGCTCGAGCTCTGCGACGAGAAGAGCAGCGAGCCGAAGGACGACGACGCGCTGGCCAGCGACGACGAGAGCCCCGAGGTCAGCGACGCAACGGACGCCAGGGGGTCGGCCATGGATGCGTCCGTCGTGGCGCTAGGCGAAGAAGTGTCGGAGGGCTCCGATGCCTTGGTGCTGCTGCTGGAGGTGACGCTGCTCGGGCTCTTGGCTAGAGGCGACAGAACTTTACGCCCGCTTTTGGCCAGCTTGGACGCCATGGAGCGCGCCGCGGAGGAGGCCTTGGACGGCAGCTTGGACGACGAAGAGCTGCGGTTACTAGCGCTGCTGTCGTCGTCCACGCTGGCCTCCGATGTGTCGCCCTCGGCGTCGGCATCGTCGCGGCGAGTAGGGTAGTCCGGCAGCGCGGAGGGCGGCGGAGGCAGCGACGCCAGCACCTCCTGCTCGCTCAGCGCGGGCGCGTCCGGCGTTGCTGCTGCTGCTGGGGCATCCATTTTGGCAGTGGATCGCTCACCTTCAGGATGATCTCAGTCGACATAAAAAAGGGTGTTTGTCGTCGTTTGATAAAGCCAAGAGGTACGCATCGGACACAACATAACGCCTATAACGCCCGGCAACCATCAATGTGTTCACTTTTCACTTTCACTTTCTTCACCTCGAGGCGACCATCACTCCTGCGGGTAAACCGAGCGACCATGGGGCGCATCGCGCGGCTGGAGCTCGAGAACTTCAAGTCGTACGGCGGCGTGCACGTGGTGGGGCCCTTCCAGCGCTTCACGGCGGTGGTGGGGCCCAACGGCAGCGGCAAGAGCAACGTCATGGACGCCATCGCGTTCGTGCTGGGCGTGCACTCGCGCCACCTGCGCTCGACGCAGCTCAAGGACCTGGTCCACAGGGCCCCGAGCGACGACGACACAACCAGCGCCCGCACCGCCGCCGTCACGCTCGTCTACGAGCTGGCGGACGGCGAGGCGCCTCCCTCCGCCTCGCGCCCGGCCCAGCAGCAGCAGCCGCAGCAACAGACGTCATCGGCGTCGCCGTCTCAAAGGGAGGTGCGGTTCGCGCGCCTCATCTCGGAGAAGGGGGTGGGCACGTACCGCATCGACGCGCGCGACGTCAGCGCCGAGACGTACCAGGCGCAGCTCAAGGAGATCGGCATCCTGGTCAAGGCGCGCAACTTCCTCGTCTTCCAGGGGGACGTCGAGAGCATCGCCAGCAAGAGCCCGGCCGAGCTCACCAAGCTCTTCGAGCAGATCTCCATGTCGGACGAGCTCAAGGCCGAGTACGAGCAGCTGCTGGAGGAGAAGAACGCGGCCGAGGAGAACACCATCTTCGCCTACAAGAGGAAGAAGGGGCTCGTGGCCGAGAAGAGGCTGGTGGGTGCTGGATTGGGAGGCTTTTATTTTATTTTATCTTGTTTTTACTGACGTTTTTAATTTTGTTATTGTTTGTGGGGTGACTGCAGGTGAGAGAGCAGAAGGAGGAGGCGGAGCAGTTCCGGCAGAAGCTGGAGGAAGTGGTGGGTGGAGATGGAGGAAGGTGGAGTTTTGGGGGAAGAAAACTGTGGCTGATCATTGTTGTTTTTGGTAGAATACGTTGCGCGTGGAGCACTACTTGTGGCAGCTTTTCCAGGTACAAGATGATATCAAGCAGCGCGAAGAGACGGTGAGGCACTACCAGAAAGCTGGCGTCACGTGCGCGACGAAGGAGGACTCGGTTGCGCAGGTGTACCATGAGAAGAAGAAGGAGCTGAGTGCTATACTGCGAGAAGTCAAGGCCAATCGGGAGCGGATCCAGGATTTCCAAAGCGAGATGGAGGACATTCAGCCGCAGCTGATCAAGCTGCGAGAGGAGACGAGATACTCGCAGAAGAAGATTGTGGAGGCGCAAACGACCGAAAAGACAATGAAGAGCCGGCTGGATGGGAAGTCGACGGAAGTGGACGCCTTGGAAAACGATTTGAAGGAGCTGGAGCGAGTGAAGGCAGAACTGGATGCGACTCAGAGTCGTCGTGCTAGCCAAGGAGGAGACGGCGCTGCGCTAGTTCTGAAGGGCGCGCGCTTGGAGGAGTACCATCGGATTAAGGAGGACGTGCAGGTCAAGACCAACTTGCTGCGCAACGAACTGGAGTCGATTCTGCGGCAGCAAACCACAGACCAAAACAAAGTGCAGACACTTTCTCAAGACCGCCAGGAGAATCTCAAGATGGTGGAGATTTTGACGGAGGACTTGAAGCAAGCCGATGAACGCATCGTCAGCATGCAACGCGTCATCTCCCAAACGGAGCAAGACATCGCAGAGGCTGAGAAGAACATACAGAACGCCAACGAGGAGAATCGAGGCCAGGCTCAGAAGAAGGAAAAACTTTCGCAGCAGTTGGACCGAGTCACGAACAAGTTGCGCGACTTGAAAGACGACAAGCGGCAGTCACAGGCAGAAGCGCGCAGGGCAGAGACACTGGAGACGCTGAAAAGACTGTACCCTGGCGTTCGTGGCCGCCTTGTAGATCTGTGCAAGCCGATCCAACGCAAGTATAACATGGCCGTGACCGTGGCGACTGGAAAGCACATGGATGCAATTGTGGTGACAGACTACAGGACAGGCCAAGACTGCATTCAGTACCTCCGTGAGTCCCGTGCGGGTAGCGCGCAGTTTATTCCTTTGGACAAGATCCGTGTGAAGCCTATCAATGAGCGCTTTCGTGGCCTGGGTAACAACATCAAGATGGTCGTCGACGTGATTGAATGCGACGCGGAGATTGAGCCGGCACTGCACTATGCAGTTGGTGATACTGTTGTATGTGACTCCATCGATATCGCCCGCGATCTTTGCTTCCGTCAGAACGAGAAGGTGAAAGCTGTGACATTGGACGGAATGGTGGTGAGCAAGAACGGCAGTATGACAGGTGGCAAGACCCAAAATGACGTGCGTCGGGCTGGCCGGTGGGATGAAAAGGAGGTGGAGGCCTTGCAGCAACAAAAAGATGATCTTATCGATACAATCCGCGCAATGGCGCGGCATGGTGCTTCGTACGCAAAGTTGCAATCGTTACGGACGCAAGTGGAGGGGTTGAGGAGCCGACTCAGTCATGCTAAAGCTGACTTGGTGATCACTGAAACAAAGCGACCAAAGATTCAAGCGCGAATTGATGAAGCCAAAAAGCGAATGACTAATATCATCGAGCCTGAGCTTCAGAAATACGAAGCGGCAGTTAGCTCTCGTAAGGGTAGCATTGCAGCGTTGCAGGAGCAAATCAACGGGGTAGAGGATGAAATGTTTGCAGATTTCAGCGAGGCAGTGGGTGTCGAGAGCATTCGAGTCTATGAAGAGAAGGTATTGAAGCGACACCACAAGGCAATAGAGACGCGGCGCAAAATCACGGAGCACGAGGCCAAACTTCGAGCGCAGGTGAGAATCGGGCGGTGCACTGTAGTCCGTCTATTGAGGATCTAACACAGTATCGTTGTATTGCTTTGGCCCACCCAGATCGAGTACTTGCAGTCGCAGGATTTCAACCAGCCCATGCTCGACGCAAGGGAGAGGGCGACGCGGGAAGCTGAACACCTGAAGCAATTAGCTGAAGAGGAAGCCGGCTTGATGAAACGAGTGGCAACATTGCAGAAGGAAAGAAAGGAACAAGATGGGCTACGCAAGAACTTGTCAGCAAAGGTGGAGGAGCTTGAGAAGGAACTTCGTGAAATCGGCAGCAAGAAGGGCAAGTACGAAGAACGGAAGGGCAAAATCCAAAGAAGAATTGCTTCGGAGGAGACCGTACTGGAGCGCCTGAAGGATCACAAGGCTGAGATTTTTAAGCGCGCATCATTGGATCAGGTTACACTGCCAACTATTGCTCATCAATCCTCAAACGGCACTGAAGATGTTGAGATGGAAGACGTTAGTGCGACCGGTGTGCCGTCAAACACAAGCACTTCAACTGAACAAGACAGCATCGGGGGCTCAGATCTACTGGTGGGAGGTGACGCAGCGAACCAAGAAGTGGATTTTTCGGCGCTTCCTGATGCGCATGTGGTGGTGGATGATAAGGAGTTCGATGAGATCAACACCAAATACGAAAAGCGAATCGGTGTACTGCTCACTGAGCTGGAGCGTATGCAACCGAACATGCGCGCACTGGACAAGTTTGACGTGATCCAGAACCGGATTGGGAAAGAGGAGGAGGAACTGGATCGTATCAAGCAGAAGTCGTTTGAAACTGCGACCAAGTTCGAGGAGGTCAAGCAAGCTCGCTTCGATCGCTTCATGGAGGCGTTCAACCACATTTCCGGAGTGATCGACTCGACGTACAAGCAGCTTACGAAGAGCTCCAAGCACCCTCTGGGGGGCACGGCGTATATGAACCTGGAGAACGCCGAGGAGCCCTACCTGAACGGGATGAAGTATAACGCGATGCCCCCGATGAAGCGCTTCCGCGAGATGGAACAATTGTCCGGTGGCGAGAAGACCGTTGCTGCTCTAGCTCTCCTCTTCGCGATCCACAACTACCGTCCGTCCCCATTCTTCGTGCTCGACGAAGTGGACGCCGCACTGGACAACGTGAACGTGAACAAGGTATCGACGTACATCGCCAACTGCGACTTCCAGTGCGTCGTGATCTCGCTGAAGGACTCATTCTACGAGAAGGCAGACGCACTCGTCGGCATCTGCAAGGACATCACGCTGCAACAGTCCAAGTCGATGACGCTGGATCTCACCAAGTTCGATTAATTTGACGTCGCTACGGGCGCTGAAAGGGGTCAAGGACTGACTGACTTATTATTTTTGCATGAGCTGCATACCGCCTGCGATGCTGTAGGGATGCAGCTTTTCAATCGATGACGAAGTTATTTTATTATGTCTGACCTTCATATGGTTGTTCCTTACTTGGGGGTACTACCTTCAGCCTCCTTGGTGAGTTTTCAGTGATGAAGACTCAGGCTGACGCGTTCAAGTTTGATAGAGCCATTTGCCAGAGTCGCGTCGCTCAGGAACGGTCGTTCAAGAAAAACAACCGATGAATCGAGAATATCGGCTGCAGAATGTTTATGCAGAACTTCTTGAGGCATTCGCGTTTCCCAGCGTCATCAAGCTTCTCGGTATCAAATGCCGCGCCAATTTTGTCAATCACGATCAACAGTGGGCCCACTTCGAGCATCAAATACGCGAAAACAAGGTAAATGCTCGTGCGGTCTTCCAGCGACTTGGGGCTGAGAGCACGAGGCAACCCGCCGTACTTGAGCTCGAATACACGACAGACGTGCCTCACGAAGGCAGCGACGGCCTTCACAAAATTAAACTCCGACTCGGCATCCAGGAGATCCATTGGGGAAAACTGAATGTGGATCGTGTGGCACTTGCTTAACGTGCCCAGGAAACTGTCGTCCACTTGATTGGGGTCAGCAGCCCATAATTGTTGACATCTTCGGATGTACTCGGCGCCAAACCTTGTTTTCCCGATGCCAAGCACATTGTCCACCAAAGGGACCGCCCACATTTGACCACCAAGACCGGCGTTTGCTCGATTATAGTTTCTTTCGTGGAATTCCCGGAGCTGCCCCATCGCATGATCAGGGTTCACAAAAGCCATTCTGCCACCTTGTACAGAATCGACTGTCTCCTCTTCTCGCCAGACCCACTTCCTATCGATATCGGCTCGCTGCCGCTTTGCCGGGTTATCATCAGCTACTTCCTTCGTTTCCTCCCGGCCTCTTGTGCATGCCACGGTCACGATGAGCGCCTCCTCCATCGGTTGACCAAGCGATCCAATCTGCAAGCCGACACCCAAAGGCCCCACGCTGCCGTTGAACACCTGGAGGGAATTTGCAGCGACGCCAGCGAAATGGGTACTGCGGTATTTCGCCTCCAGTGCATTCTGTAGATGGTGAATCGTCTTGTACTCGGCTAGTGGAACCGATGCTTCACCGGTGACGTGGCCATCGGTTTTCATTATCTTGAACCAGACTTGGGGCACTTTCACGATAATTGGATCCATGGTATCCGCTCCGTACTTCTCAAAACTGTCTTTCGCCCGGTTGGCGAACACTTTGAGGTCTACCACATCAAGGTCAGCTGGGAAAAGGCCTCGTTTCGCAAGCTGATCGCAGAAGTCACCAACAGCAGATCCAGCAGGAACCCTCAGCTGGTGGGAGCGACTCGTTTCCCCTTCGACCACACGGAAAGCCTTCCACGGCGCCTGCTCCATCTTCGACTTGGTCTTCACCGCTGCAGATTCGGGAGTGAGCAAAAACCGAGAAGACTCTTTCGAGCGATTCGTACTTTTAAACTTTTAGGCGAATTATCAGGTCGCCGGACATCAGTCAAATGTATCTATCTGCAGATTCCTCGTTTCTCACTCGCGAATCTGCGCCGGCGAAGAGAAATCGATGGAGTGGAAGTGTTTCCGTGTAGTCGAAGGAGCAAGTCGCCCTGGACCGGTGCACTCCTTAAAGGTTCCAGCTGGGGCTGTCGTTGGCGACTTCTGATGCTTTTGGACGGAGGCGAAAAGAGGTTTTTCAAGAGTGAGAGGCACCAATCGGGGTTCAAGGTCGTCTTCAACTCTTATCGTGCTCTAGCAGCGCTTAAAGTACACCTGAGACGACCCAGCAACTAGTCGAAGTCGCCCAAGCTCATTCTCAATTCTCCCTTCGCCAAACCAACCAGCTCCAAGTCCTCATCGCCGCACGAATCATGTCTCGAACCTCAGTGCTACTCTTCCCCGCGGATGTACCAAGCGCACAGCTGGATGGCCCCCACTACGCAGTAGTAACGGCAAGACGTGGGGTACAGTCCAAGTGACCATTCTACCCCGCTCGGACGATGAGGAGAGCACCTCGGCCACAATCACGCGTGCCGTGGCCGCGGCGAGATCAGTTTCAAGGTCGGAGCTCAGCACAGGCCAACCCGGAGTGAAAATTTTCCTCCCAGTCTGCTACCGCGTTGGCGACGTGTTCAGGCACGGTCAAATTACGGCCTACAACAGCACCGTGTGCGTTGTAAGCACGGAGGGAGAAACCCATGAAGTCCCGTTCAGCGCCCCCACCCAGATTGCTCCAGCTGTGGCCGTACTACGGTGGAATGCGGTCTTGCTTGAGGACGTCGCTTCGATGTCCGATCTCGAAGCGGCCCACGCGCTAATTCTGGACCGCCTACTCGGACAGAACGGCCAACGGGCCACCAAAGACATTTCCAGACTGTTAGCAGGAATCGCCACTCGCCAATCCATGCCCAGACCATCGGCCATGGTGCCGTGGGTATGTCCCAGAACGGGTCACGAGCTTCTAGTCAGCGTCGTCGACGTCCTCAACTTCGCCTTCTACGTAGACGGCGGGCGGGCCATACCCGCTAACGTCCGCGTCGGAGCAACGTTCCTCGACGGCCCTGCCACCCGCCCTGCGCAGGGGTCGCGAAGGCCAAGAAGCGAACGCCAGGTCAGCGTAACCGCAAACCATGAGGACCCGATGCCCCCAGCCACTACTCGACAGGAACGACCACGACGAACTCACCGGACTATCTCCACGGCAGCCGTCCGCGCCGAAAACCCAACTGTGGTCGATGCGCCCTCTTCTGGCGAAGAAGAGTCGAGCAACGAAGGCGCTGCGGCCACGCGATTTGCAGATCTACTGGACGCGCTTAGTATCGATCATCCCGCGCCAAAACGCCGACGCACAGTGCGCACTGAGCAGGCGCCGCCGACACCCGTAGGCCACGTAACCACAGCCCAAGGTGATTCGCGCGCTGAACCCGCTACCGCCGACCCGGTGCAAGCGATATTGCACGCGTTAGCTCCGTACCCGTCGGTACTGGCAGCTTACGCCCAACAACTGCAACGATTATCGGCACCAGCGACATCTCCAAGTCAAGTGACAGGAATGAACCCGCCTCCAATATCGCAAGCAGTTCGACTTTCAACTTCCCCGTCAGACCTGATCCCAGTGAACGAACCAAGTGATCGACGACAGCAGAATTTTCGCCCATCTCGTGCCCAACAAGAAGTACACGACGCCATCTTAGCACCAGCATATATAGGTAAGGACGGAGACGTTTACATGGACCATGTACGGACCTTAACGACAACCAAGTTTCTGGCTCATCCGGCTATCGCTTCCCGACTGTTCGACATCGAGTTCAGCGCGTGCGACTTATCCATCCTGCATTTCCCACGGTTTGCCCTCGACAGCCAACTCGACCGATCAAAGGCTAAGGCGGTCAACATGCGCAATTTCTCCAGCAAAGTGGCGTTGCCCGAATTACCTGATAAACCCATGTTCAGCGACCTCACCGAAGCTCTATCCGTGCTTTACACGTTTGCAAAAGAGTTTTTCAACGAGGAGACAAGAGACGTCTTCGTGGCCGCTAAAGATTTCGGGGAACAACTGGAGGATTTTGCCCCGTGGAGCTCGTCCGAAGTCCACATTCTCGCGTTCTGGTTCTCCAACATCATCGGAGCATATCGCCTTGCGGTTGTTGAAGACATGCGATCGGGGTCTAGCACGCGCCATTCGGTCCGTTTCCAATTAACGATGCAAGACCCCGAGCTGGCCGGATTACTGTTCAAGGCCTCACGTGCACGCGCGAACCAAGCGTCCGGGACTAATGGCCCATCACCTACCCGGGACAGCACCCGAGCGGTTCACAAAGGAGGAAACGACGCTGTGGCTCGGCAAGGAGTTAAGCGTAGGGACCGTAAGGTACCTCAGGAAATCTCGGCCCAAGTTCCAAAGAAAGACGGACGCCAGCTCTGCCTCCGGTATGCTTCTGTACAAGGGTGTTCGTCCAAGAGCAAGGACCGGTGCCTGCAGAGCTTTTTAGCACACTTTGAGCCGGCCGAACTACCAGAAGCCGTAGCGGCGTACATACGGGACACCTACGGCGGCGTTCGGACCTTCGCGAAGCAGGAATGAAGCCTGCGAGTGCCCTCGACACTTGCCGCACACCCAGGGGTGGGATCGCGGTCTGCGGTATCAAGAGTAATCGAGCTCCTAGAACAGTGCCTACAAGCGTCAGAAAAAACGCGCAAGCAATCGCTATTCGCAGCCTTTGAAGCAGCAGACGTCGAACCACCACACGGCATACCAGCGGCGAATGACACCGGGTCACGACCAACGTTCTCGCTCGATCACGACATGGTACGAGCCATTTCGCTTCTCGTGACGCGCACGAATATGACCCTCGCTGAAACGATTCGTCTCTGGCGAGGCCAGTCCGCGTCATCGCCCACACCAAATAAAGCGCTGGTCCACGATCACTTCCCGTGGCTACTTCGCACGTGAACCTGCTCATACGTACAGCCACACAGGGTGTGAAGCACGTCTTTCAAGTTGATGGCACTCAACAAACCTGCCCCGTACCAAACCACAAGTCTGCGGCAGTCATGCGCAACGCGCTAATCAGAAGCATCCGAGATGGACAGAGAAGCGGTGCATACCTCGTTGTATCGCGAGTCGCGGCATCGCGGTGGCGCCTGCATTACAGTCCATTTGGTTGTGTCGAGAAGGCCGACACCGATCCAATAGTCGAAACGAGAGTAATTCACGATTTATCGTTTCCGCTGGGCCACTCAACAAATGCTTGGTCCGACCAACACAGCATACCCACGCTCGTGTACGAACTTGTCGATATCATCGCGCACAGAATCATCGCACTACGGAAAGCCAACCCAACGCTGATAATCAAGATTATGAAAGGCAATGTGAAATCTGCGTACAAAAACCTACACGTTCACGAAGATGTTAGCGCCTCTCGTTACCTGACGAAGATGTCACGATCATCGATCTCGCACTACCTTTCGGCTGGACAGGCTCCGCAGCCCACTATGATGTGTTTGGAAAAGCAATATCTCACCTTGTGCGTCGCGAGAGCCCGAACACACTCGATCCGACCAATCCTGACACTACCCCGTTCTTTTGTTTCGACTGGGTAGACGATCACGTGTTGGTGGAGTACGAGACCCATGATCGCCTCTAAGCCTGTGACAGCGCGCTTCGGCTAGCCATGACGGCGGTGCTAGGCCCAAGAGCTATCAACAACAAGAAGTTCACCGAGTGGTCGACGAACATAGTGGCCCTGGGTCTGGAATGGGACTCCGTCGCTATGACGGTATCAATGCCCGTATCCAAACTTCAAAAAGCTCTGGGGAGAGTCGAAGCTGTTCTAGTCTCATCTCAGACGACGCGGACTGCGCTAGCGAAGCTACTGGGAAGTCTACGGCATATCTGCTCCTGCATCCGCCCGGCTAAACCGTTGTTCCAACAGTTAGTGGCACTATGGAAACGCTCACCAAGGGTACGACCGATTAGCCTCACTCTAGAAGCACGTCTCGATCTCGCCTGGTTCGCCCATATTCTTCGATTTGGAGTCTACGCGGGGTACCTCTCGAGTATTTTTGTGGATTACCTGCTCCGGCGGTACACTTGTACATGGATGCTAGCGATAGCGGACTGTGCGTTCTGAATCCCGTACGACACGAATTAATCCGCCTACAATTTGACCCCGTCGAGCAAGACCTCATCAAGCAACGTCGTCGGCTGAGTATAAACGTACGTGAACAATTCAGCGCACTAGTAGCAGTACTGTGCTGGAGCAAGCACTGGCGATCCTCGAGCCGCACCACATTGACACACGTACGATTCTGGATAGACAACAACGCCGCAGTGACGTGGTGCAACAAGCTAACCAGCACGAATCCGTTATCACAAGAGATGAACCGAATTTTTGGAGCAGTTGAAGCCGAAGGGAGCATACGGGTATCAGCCGAACATCTTGCCGGATCATCCAATTTCCTAGCCGACCTGGGATCCCGCGCATGGTCCGACCCGCAACTTACACTCTGGAACAAACTAACCAATGATTGGATGCAGGTCAAAGTGCCCGACAGCATGAGGAAGGCTTACGACGGCAGCTGGTCGCCCTTCAACAACGCTCCCTTGCCGATACTGTTGGAGATCGCAAGAGCTGGCGCCACCTGCGATGAGTGCAGTGGCGACGATAACGGCCTGGAACGACCACAACGACCCCTCCAGCTACACAACACGAAACTACCGATGCATATTAGCCTAGCACAGACATCCTAGCATCATCCAACCTAACTCATTCTGCAATACACCAGGTGCGAGGCACCACTACAAGGAGCGACCCGTGCAGGATCAACGAGTGCTCCCTTCAGGATATGAGCCCAACTGGCTCACCTTCTGCAGCGACCAGTGAAGACTTCGAAGACTCGCGAGGCGACCACGAAGACCTTGAAGAATACTCGGAGGTACGAGGTGCTAACGAGGCTGACGAAGACCACCAAGACGGAAGGAATACTCGCCTAGGACTGCCAGACGACCTGCACTTTGACCCTTCGGACCAAGAGACAATGGAGCAGCACGACCACCTCCAGCTCATCCTTCGACGGCAGTCCCGAGCTGGCAGAACTGAAGAAGCAGCTCGCGACGCGAGCGCCCCGTTCCCCCTCCATGTCGGATACTAGCATGGAAACTGCACCTCCATCACCGAAGAAGCCTAAAATCAAGGACGTACGCTGCTCGAACTTCAAGGGAAACGAGGTTTACCCTGGGTTAGGAGCTGGCTTCGAGAATTTCATCCACGAGTTCGAGCATGCTATAAGGACGGAGGAGCTCGTGAACGGATCCACCTGGACCGACGACATCAAGGCATCGGTGATTGTCAACTTCCTCGAGGGGAAAGCGTCTAGGTACTATCACAAGAAGAACTCAGAGTGGCTGCGCCGTCATAATGGTGACAGCATGCCGTACTCAGATGTGAAGCGCGCGATGCGTGCAGAGTTTGGCTGTAAACTAAGCCAACTCGAACTGAGCACGAAGATGCAGTATAACAAGCGTGAAGGCGATACGTGGCATGACTACCTGGAATACTTGAACTTCATCGAGAGCCTCATGGAAGGTGATCAGACCAAGATGGTCATGGAGGTGTTCGGAAACAATGCATGCCCCGAGTTAGCGCCCACGCTGTTGTCTTCAGTGCCCGACGACGCAAGCGATTACGTTGCGGAAACCGATCGCATGAAGCGACTGCTATACAAGCTGAAAGGTGACGGGCGCAGATGTGGTGCGAAGCGAGATGAACGCAAAAACCGTCATGCTGACCGCTGGAAACCGAATTCACATGGCCACCGCAGCGGAAATCGCCACAATGATGATCAGCATTGGCGTAACCAGCGAAACAACAACGACAACTCGGATCGACGTCCGCAGCAGCAAAATAACGGCCAAGCCTTTGCCGCCGCTGGTCATCGTGGTGAAATACATTGCCATGTGTGCGGGAAGCCTGGTCACAAGATTTTCACGTGTCCACTCGTGGAACAGGCAAAACAACTAGCCACTAGAGGAAGTGCGAACGTAGCCGCTGCTGATGATGACGACACATCTAGAGATTCTGATGATGAAGGCTATGTCTGGGTCGCTGCCGACGGTGCCGAGCGCGGCGCTTCTGCCACGAGAGGAAATGTTTGGACAGTGGATTCGGGAGCAACTCACCACCTTTGCATCGACCGTGACCAACTTTTCGCAATAGAGCCAGCATTCCTGTCGGTGCAAGTGGCGAATGGAGATCTTGTCGCCGCTACTGAGAAGGGAAAGACTGTCATCACGACGATGGCAGAAGGAGTGCCTCGTACTGTCCTGCTAGAAAACGTGTACTGCGCAAAAGGTATTGACCGCAACCTGATTTCAGTGGCTCAACTCACCGCTCGAGGCTACACCTGAACCATTGGTGAGGAGCAGTGTACAATTACGAACAAGACGGGCAAGATTGTTGCCGAAGTGGGTAATTCAGCCTCGACTGGGCTTTGGTCTGTTGGAATCGAGCAAGGCGCGGCCTCTTTCGCAGCAATGACGACCTCTACGCTTCAGCAGTGGCATGAACGCCTGGGGCACGTGAACTACCAGGATCTGGTACGCATGATTGACAAAAACCTCGTTGAAGGCCTGGTTGCCTCTAATCGGAAGGTGGATTTCTGCATGAACTGCGCTGAAGCGAAACAAGCTCGACGCGCGAAGAACAAGCAGGATACTTCTACATCTGCCCCAACGGACGAACCGGGCGCTACCTTGTGCGTTGACCTGAAGACGGACATGACCCCGGATCGGCTCGGTCACAAACACATTTTGACCATTGTAGACCACGCTACGAACTACAATCGCGTCTACTTGCTCCGCAGAAAGAGCGACGCGGAAGGGCATTTGGAGGACTTTGTTAGCGAATTTGAGCGACAATACGACACCAAGGTGAAGATGATTCGCTCAGACGGTGGTGGTGAATTTGGCAGCACCAGACTCGGCCGCTTCCTCCGCAACCGGGGTATTCTCCACCAAGAAACGGAGGCGGGCATGTCATCATCAAACGGAAAAGCAGAGCGTTTTCACCGGACTGTCATGGATTCCGCCCGAGCGATGCTCTGGGCCTCGGCATTGCCACAGCGATTTTGGGGCGATGCTGTTCTGTATGCGAGCTACATTCGCAACTATCTGCCGACTCGAGCGAACGCCGACCATGCGTCTCCCATTGAGGCCCTCTCCGGAAAACGACCCAGTGTCTCGCACATCCTCGAATTCGGCTCGAAGTGTACGAGCCACATCGCTCATGCAACGAAGCGATCAGCGAAAAAGCGCGCTGAAAGAGGAGTTGTTATTGGCATCGACTTCAAGAAGAAAGCGTACCGTGTTCTCATCCCGCGAACCAAACGTGTTATTTCTACAACACACATCCGGAACGTTGACCGTCTGGACTCGCGAGCTGTGGGGCGATACATGGATGCCATCGACGCAGACAATAGCGGCGAGGAGGAGGATGCTGGCGATCAACAGTACGAAACCAACACCCCACATGACGCTAATGGTGAGGAAGCACGGGCTGGTAGCCCTGCAGAGCAGCATCAACTTACGTCGCGTGCCATCCAGCGCATCTTTGGCCTGAATCGAGGTACACGAGCACTACCACGCGATGACTTTCGGCTGCCCCAATCTTTTCTCGAAGAGTTCGCCAATCCGGCATCTGTCCTGCTCACTATCGTACTCATGGAGGGTACTGCCTTTGCGGTACCACTAGAGCGTGACGGGATCAAGGAGCCAGTAACTGTGGAGGAGGCAATGAACAGCCCGTATTGGCAGGAGTGGTGGCAGGCAATCGAAGAAGAGCTTCGAGCAATATCGAAGAACGCTACCTGGGAAATTGTGGACATTCCTACTGATGGAAATCTGATAAGTGCAAAATGGGTGTTCAAGCTCAAGTTTGACAACAAAGGCGAATTGGAACGGTTCAAAGCGCGGCTGGTAGCGCGCGGCTTCACTCAAAAGTTTGGCATTGACTTCGCAGAGACCTTTGCGCCCGTGCTCAAGATCGCGAGCCTGCGGTTCATTGTGGCCCTCGCATCTCAGTGGCATGCCGTCATTCGACAAGGAGATGTTCCTAACGCATACCTGCGAGCAGACCTCGATCGACCCATCTACATGCGCGCCCCTGTCGGACTCCAATTACCCAAGGGCAAATGCCTACTGCTGCGAAAGAGTCTCTACGGCCTTAAACAGAGCGGCAAGTTGTGGAATGACACTATACACCGCTACTTACTGGAACTTGGCTTCAGGAGGAGCCAACTCGACCCGTGCTTGTATTTTCGTTGGCATGAAGGCAAGCTAACTGTACTGGGCCTCTACGTCGATGATGTGGTGGTCGTCAGCCAGCGTGAGGGCGATTCCGACTGGACGATGCAGAAGCTCGCCGACCAATTTCAGATCAAGGATATGGGTCCAGCCAAGAAGTGCTTGGGAATTAACATTGAGCAGAGCGACTGCGGCATCAACCTCCACCAGACAGCCAATATTGATGGTTTGCTGGCAAAGTGCGGCATGGAGAATAGCCGCCCCGTGACTACGCCGATGGAGTCAACTCGGGACCTGAACGGAGAGGACAGCGAGCCCTTCTACGACACTAGCATCATGCGGGAGACCATTGGGTCACTACTTTGGATTAGCAACTGCACTCGACCAGACATCACGATGCCTGTGAACTTCCTGGCGCGTTTCGTCTCAACGCCTACGTCGACTCATTGGACTGCAGTCAAACGTATCCTGCGCTACTTGCGCGGCTCGCACGAGTTGAGGTTGCACTTTCCCCGGCCGCAGGCACCCCGACACACTATTGAGGCAGCCATCTTCCGCGATGCAGATTGGGCCGGGGGCAAGGACGCAAAGTCGACTTCAGGAGGACTGCTCACCATCAACGCCATGCCCATTTCGTGGTACAGCAAGAAACAATCTACGGTCGCCCTCTCTACAGCCGAGGCTGAGTACATCGCTGGGGCGACGGCAGTGCAGGACTGCTTGTGGGTGAAGCAGCTCCTGAATGAACTTGAGCTGCACGGCAAAGATGATAATATCGACTTGTACATCGACAACCAGAGCGCGATCAAGAACATGGAGAACGACGTGACGACTGCACGCATGAAGCACATCAACATAAAATTCCACTTCATACGCGACGCCATTCGCAAGAAGGAGGTCAGCGTGACCTATTGCCCTACGACTGAGATGAAAACCGACATTTTCACGAAGCCCCTCGGCGCAACCCTACACGGGCGCAACCTGGCCATAATCAAGCTTATCAACCCACACAACGAGAAGCTGTAGACTCGGATCATCTTGGTCGAGGAGGACTGTTGGAGATCGCAAGAGCTGGCGCCACCTGCGATGAGTGCAGTGGCGACGATAACGGCCTGCGATGACCACAACGACCCCTCCAGCTACACAACACGAAACTACCGATGCATATTAGCCTAGCACAGACATCCTAGCATCATCCAACCTAACTCATTCTGCAATACACCAGGTGCGAGGCACCACTACAAGGAGCGACCCGTGCAGGATCAACGAGTGCTCCCTTCAGATACGTCCCGACGACAATACGACTCGACATGGAAGCAATGGGTCTCCTTCAGTCGGCGCATCGGACGATCTCCCTGGCTACCAGAGCACGATCAAGTCGCGCGGTCTCTGCAACTGGTGCTTTTTTGCCATCGGCTACATGCTCAGACGGACGAGTCGGATCTACCTCCTCCGTGCACGCCCAAGTTAGCCATGTCAAATGGCATCATAAAGTCTATGCCGGGTTCGAACCCGTCATCAGCCCCAGCCACGCCACAGCGTTCGCAGGAATGCGACGCATCAGCCCTCCTCCTCGACCCCGATCTCCCGTCACTCGTACAATGCTCGACTGGATGTCCGCCCAAATCGACTACACGAAACCCAAGCAACGCCTATTTCTTGGGGCTGCGCTGCTGGGTTTCTTCTATCTCCTAAGATGTTCCGAATATCTGGCGATCAAAGGGAGAAGGCACCGGTACGCGCTAGAGGTCCGCGACGTCGAAGTACTTGACATCACAGGCAATCCTGCGGTCAACTTCGATGACGCGGTTCATGCGGTAATAACACTCCGCGGAAGCAAGACCGATCAGCGAGGCGAAGGATCGGCACGCTACTTATCACGATCCGGACATGGCAGGGTCTGTCCGGTAATCGGAACCTCACTGCTGCTGGAACTAGCCGGTCGACACCATCTAAGGCCGACCGACCCGATATGTTCGTTCAGCAAGTCCCGAATGCTCAAGGCAGAATAAATGTCCAAAGCCCTGAAAGCGGCTGCAATCGGCACCGGAATCGACCCGCATCGAATATCCTGTCACTCGGCGGGGCCTCTGCGCTAATAGCCGGTGGAGCAGATTCAACAACAATTAAACTTCACGGCAGGTGGAAGTCAAGCGTATTTCAGAGTTACACACACTACACGCAAGAACTGGGAGCACCACTCGCAGCGATGATGGCAGGCAACGGCGACTTGGCATTTCGCAATACGAGCACCACTCGTCGCAATGGGGTTCACGCCTAAGGCGTGCCAACGCGCGGCTGCTTCGTAATCTCTTAATGTCAAGTCTTACTTTGATCCCCACATCATGCAGCACGCCCATCCTATTCTATGCCGATGCCACGACCGAAAATGCAAGGTGCTTGCGGCTCGCAAACACCTTTTTTTAGTTAGCATTGACGCCTCAGCTCTCATAGTGTTCCCGAACAGTAAGGCGATGGAGGAGGGGCGGTCTCTGAGGGCGAGAGTAAGAATGAGTGACTTCGGAGGCGACGCAAACGACCCCCTCATCGTGAAAGAGCCCAAGGTCTGGTTCCAGCTTACGGAACCCGACAGCCGCACTCCGTTTAATGACACCACTGCTGCGTCCGTCTTGTTGGTCGAGGAGAACACAGTGGAAGATCTACGGGATGCTATAAGAAAGAAATACCAGGACAACCTCCTCGTCGGCATCGCCGCGTCCGCCCTCAAAGTGTACAGCGACGACAGTCCCGAGCCTTTGAGAAGGTCGGCGCAGATTAAGTCGCGTGGTCAAACGCTGAAGAAGGCGCTCGTCGTGGCTGTACCGATGCCAAAGCGAACGAGAGCGCGGGACGGATTAAATGAAAAATGGCGAATGTCCGGCAAAGCGGCACCGACCCGATGATATCGTGGAGTCAGAGTGGAAGTGGAAAGAGGAGGAGGAACGAGTCTATGCCGTGAAGAACTGCTGCCTGTTTTACGTGGAGCGTGAGCATGCCACGCAACAGCTTCAGAAATTTCACAAGAATAACTACTCCCTGGCCGCGCTGGGGCATGATCAAGACTGGGTCATCCCTCTCGTGGATAACGTGTGGGGCTTCGGGAAATCACGGTTTGGCTCCGAGTACATTCGGAGCTGTCAAAAAACCAGGGAGGCTGACCCCGACAAAGCAAAGGATGCTTGCCTAGATACTTTGCGCAAGTGCCACACGATCAATATCGAGTTGTTTTGGAAAGACCTGGTGGTTGGTAAAGAGTTGAGGATTGACGGTGGTAAAGCTCGCAAGGCCTTCGTGGACCGCATCTGCTGGGAATTTGAGGACATGTACGACAGATTATCTCGTGCTCTCACTCCCCTGGCGCAGCAAGACTATTCGAGCCACGTGTTTGTTCTAAGCCGTTTGATCCATGAAGATGGTCCTCTGTTCATCGTGCTTGATCAGATCAATAGGGCCTTCGATTGCGACGGCCTTGATGACGATATGAAGCGAGTGCAATTCCTGGAGTTCTGTGACCAGGTTCTGGTGCATTTTTTTTCGATCAGGAATTTGTTTTTCCTCGTTTCTGGGCGCGCATCATTCCTGAGCTCGGTATCATCGGCCGCGCGTTATCGTGTGGGTCGTTCATTGCTATTTGAACGGCTGAGCTTTAACCTCTTCCGACCACCTACCATCGAGGAGATTGTAGTAGTGCGGCCTGTCACGTGGCCGACAGACGGCGGCAGCCGCGCACTCGAGTCGTCATCGACTTGACGAACGAGTGACGAAGAGGACGATCAGCCAGTCGGGGCGCGAAGTGTGGCAGCGGCAGTTGGATGGTGGCGGAGGTGAGCCAGTGGGCTGGAGACACCGGCTACGGGCGGTATCCTACAACTTCAAGGCCAGACTTCGGCCATGCAAAAGATCGCAGGAGGGCGGACACGGAGAAGAGTGAAGGACAAGTAGTATGCAGAGAGGAGAGGCGACGACAGAGCGAATGGCGTTCGGCTGAGAGACAGCGAGAGCAGATAGGTTAGGAAGGGCCCTCTCGTAGGTTGAGGATAGGAGGTCTCGTAGGTGGGGGCAACGAGCGCGCGGCTGGCCGCTCGACCCTCAGTTAAGATTGTTCCCGGTTGGTGAGCAGTTAAGACTAAATACAGCAAGAGAGTGGCGCCGTACACGGGTTCCAGTAAAACTAAGGTGAGGCAGAGATTAGGACGATTGGTGCACGATGAGGGCGTAACACAGTAGGGTGGTGGGGACTACCACAGGGGTCGTGGCAGGAAGTGCGAAGCCTGCCATGATCGTAAGGGCGAAGGCGTTCGCTCGCCGCACTCGGGCTTGAGCTCCTGAACTCGAAGTAGATAGAGAAATACGGATTACCTGTGGGACACAGCCCAAAGACCCTATCCGGGGGTGACGGTCGCCGATAATGTGTCCTCCCCACCGTTCCTATCCGAAGGACGTCTGGTCCGACGGCCAGTAGCTGTCTGGTAGTGTTGACGTGTCTGCCTCGCACTTTGATCTCTCTCGCTACGTCCACCGGGCTACCTAGGTGGACGCACTACTCTCTCCCTGGCTGCTGAACCAGCCGACGTGCAATGGAATTGGCGTGGTGGTTCGGGAACTAGCTACAAGATCATCAAGAGAACGTATTGGGATAGGCAGAAAGTGGGGACTATCCAGGAACACTACGGACTCGACGAAGACAAGGTGAAGGAGGTAGCAGATCGTCTTTTCAAGACAACCTTTACGCTGCCACGAGAGATACTGGCGGCATTCGGAAAGTGTGTTTCCTATGGTGAGCTTCTCGACTATGAAGCACTCAATCAGCCGTGGGACGGGCATGATTGGCAGGCTTTTGACAAGCGCTTGCTAAAGTTTGGGAGTCCGCTTCGATCTATCATGGATTGTGTGGTCAAAGGCGAAGAAATCGACCTATCAACTCGGTGGGAAGACGAGGAAGGCAAAGTCGTCACGTACGACATCATCACGGTCATGGTTGGTATCGTGTGGGAAGGGAAAGTAACGAGCGCAAAGTTACGTATCCCACAGCATGTCCAGTACGCGATCCTAAGGTCTTTCTACTCATTCCGAGAGTTGGTGGCGGAAGTTGTCCCTGCTCTCAGTAAAGGTTTGATAGTCGACCCGATTGATCCGTTCGAGCTGCTTTGCATGAAGCGCTTCATGGATTTATTCCACGAGGAAAAACTTCCGAGCAACGCACTGACCGGTTATTTTACTGAGACACAGAAGGTTGGGCGCTGCACTGGCGTGAAGTTCGCCAAGAACTCGGGTTACATGCCGAAGATATTGCTGAAAGCGAAGAGATCACGTTCATGGTACTCGGTCATCACGGACGAATATGTACTGCGCGAGTTGATGAAGGAGATGGACGGCTTTGTGCTCAAGGGTGGCCAATTGAGTCTCAAGCCGTTGGCGGGGTCGTCATCTCCCGAAATCATACTTATGACAGCGTTGTCGCGGCACGATACTAATGGTGGGCCTACTCGTTCGAAATGGTGTTAACTGCAGTGAAGTCAGCGAAACTACAGTGCGTATTGAGTGCGAGAAGTTTAGCCGGATGTGCATGCAGTTGCCCACGTCCTCGCAACCCCGACTGAACGTCCTCGTCGTGTGTGCGACGGCTTATAATGGCGAACTGCGAGCCAAGTTTGACCCGAGCTGCAAATCCGCCGTGTTTTCAATTGAAAACCTCCCGGATAAGGTTCGCGCTGGCATTGATGAGGCCATTGTGCTGGATCTGTGCACACCCAAAAACCGCGACGAGTTTTTCGGGCCCGCTGATGAAGTTGAGCTCAAAACGACGCTGGAGGGGGTGGTTGCGAAACTCTCGGTAGGTTTTGTTCAGGTTGGAAACGAATAGCTCAAACGAATACGAACAACTTCTGCGAAAGATAGTGGAAAAGCGTTATCTTCTGGTCTCAGCTTAAATCTATAATGAAGTTTCCTTAGCGCAGTTAAAGACATCCATTCCAGATCTGTTTGTTCTGCTACTCTTCAGGCTCTTTCACAGCGCCAAAGCGCGCCTTGGACGCGTACTCCGCTTCCTTCTGCAGCAACTCCTTCAGCCTGTGATCTGCTGCTGCTTGCGCCCTCGAAAACTTACCCTAGCACTGCTGATCGAGCCATCTGCCAGAGTCGCATTGCTCAGGAACGGGGCACTGCCAGCAATCAAGAAAAACAGCCTATGGATCGAGAATATCGGCTTCAGAATGTTTATGCAGAACTTCCTGAGGCATTTGCGTTTCCCAACGTCATCAAGCTTGTCATCGCCAAATGCCGCGCCAATGTCGTCAATTAAGATCAACAGTGGGCCCACTTCGTCCGTCAAATACGCGAAAACAAGGTCAAGGCTCGTGCGGTCTTCCAGCGACTTGGGGCTGAGAGCACGAGGCAACCCGCCGTACTTGAGCTCGAATACACGACAGACGTGCCTCACGAAGGCAGCGACGGCCTTCACAAAATTAAACTCCGACTCGGCATCCAGGAGATCCGTTGGGGAAAACTGAATGTGGATCGTGTGGCACTTGCTTAACGTGCCCAGGAAACTGTCGTCCACTTGATTGGGGTCAGCAGCCCACAATTGTCGACATCTCCGAATGTACTCGGCGCCAAACCTTGTTTTCCCGATGCCAAACGCATTGTCCACCAAAGGGACCGCCCAATCTGTACCAACGAGACCGTTCTTCGCACGATTATAGTTGCTTTTGTGAAATCCCCGAAGCTGCTCCATTGCACGTTCGCAGTTCACGAAACCCATTGCACCACCTTGTACAGAATCGACTGCTGGCTTGTCTTCTCGCCAGACCCACTTCCTATCGACACGAATGGTGGGCCTACTCGTTCAAAATGATGCCGCCCCCGGTGAACTCAGCGAAACTACATTGCCAGTTGCCCACACCCGACTAAACACCCTCATCGTGTGTGTGGCGGCCTATGGGTAGTAATAGTAGTCAGGCTGCAATCGAGTAGTGTGGGTTTGACCCCGAGTTCAAAGGAAACCTAGGGCTCTGCAGACAGTGGAAAGCGGCATTATCTTCTGACTACCGCTCGGCTTAGTCTAAACCCTTTCGGGTTTCTTTTGCGGCGAGTGGATGCCAACCTTACTTTATGGTCAAGAACGGATCAGTTCAGCTAGTCTTCAGGCTCTTTCACAGCGCCAAAGCGCGCCTTGGACGCGTACTCTGCCTCCTTCTGCACCAACTCCTTCAAGCGGTGATCGGCGGCAGCTTGCGCCCTCGAAAACTTGCCGTAGCGCTGCTCCTCGTAGAGCAAAAAGCACTCTGCGAGACGAATCTTGGACGGGAGGTCGACGGTCACCTGGCTGAGCGCGAACGACGCCGAGTCCAGCAGCACGGACAAATCCTCTTCTTGGGGCATTTCGATGGCCCAGAACACGCGCATGCTGTTGTCCAGACCCCCGATCGTCGAGAACGGGTTTCGCCGAGGCAAGCGCACTCCGTCCATCGCAGAGGTGGCGAGCTGGCTCTTGCTAACGAAGTCGAGGTCGCACGTCATCTTGAGCACGTAGTTGAGGTCTCGCCACAGGAACGGGCGGATCTGGATCATGCGTCGTCGCCACCCAGCGACCGCATCCACAGTCGCTAGCGAGAGCTCTCGAACACGAATGAGCGCCTCAAGCAGCTCAACACTCTGGTCGTCCTCGAACGCGCAGCAGCAGCGCAGCAACTCTTCCAGCCCAGCTTCTCGAGCCACGATGGCTCTCAACACGGCCAGCTCCTCCTCCGACAGCAGCCCCTCGTACGACAACGCCTTCGTGCTGGAGAACCTCACCACTGAGCTGGAAGTCTGCAGTCCACCTTCCTTCGGCTTCTTCACCCCAGTCATGTACGGCTTCAGATGATCATCGGCCTTGGGCTTCTCGCTGCTAGCGGTCGCCGACTGCATCCTGCTCGCCCTAGACACACACACACTAACAAATCACTGAACAGTCGGGCTCGATCCAAATCCAGCTGCACCACAATGCCCTCGTCAAAGGTTCTGCTTCACGACATTTCCCTTGGTTTTGCTTGTTTCCCAGTTGCACTTGCTATGGTAGGTCCATTGCTCACTTCCGCTGCTCGGCAGCGCGACGTCGGATCTCTTCCCAGGTCGTGGGCTTAGCCACAGGTTCACTGGGCACTCCAAAGAAATAGTCGTCTTCGTCGTGGCGGAGCGGCGGCAGATTTTTATCCGACCCAGGACGGCTGGAGTCCCGCGAGTAGTGAGCGTACGGGTCACGAGAGACAAGGGCGTCACGGTCTCCGAAGTCCGACGCTTCCTCAGCCGGAGGAGGCTTCGCGCCGAAGAAAAACGGTGAGCGAACTCCACTGTCATTGGGCTCTCCGAAAGCCACTTGGTCGTCATTCTTCCAGTCCTTGGCGTCTTTTTTGCCGCGCGGTGTGTCAAGACCAGTGATCGGCGGGATGCTGCTGCTGCTGGAGATGTCGTTGTCAAAGCGGCGAGGCGCGGGGGGGAGCTTGTTCGTCGGCTTCGACGCGAAGCTTCCCGGCTCCGCAACCTCCTCGTTCCACGAGTCACTGCAGCAGAACACAGCGGACAAATACGTCAGCACCAAGAGAAAGAATTCAATCAACGGACAGCATCAAGACTCAGCAAACCAAGAAGTGGATTTTTCAGCGCTTCCTGATGCGCATGTGGTCGTGGATGGTAAGGAGTTCGATGAGATCAAAACCAGATACGAAAGGCAAATCGGTGTGCTGCTCACTGAGCTGGAGCGTATGAAACCAAACATGCGCGCGTTGGACAAGTTCGACGTGATTCAGAACCGGATTGGGAAAGAGAAGGAGGAACTGGATCGTATCAAGCAGAACTCGTTTGAAACTGCGTCAAAGTTCGAGGAGGTCAAGCAAGCCCGCTATGAGGCGTTTAGCCACGATTCCGGAGTGATCGACCCTCTTCCTGAATGGTTTTGAAGAAGAGTGCTCAAGTACTCGTCAACGAGAAGACCGCTACTGCACCAAAATCAACTTTTTTTTCGTTGTAGGATTAACTCAAGTTCACCTGCCGCACCTGGGGACCTTGATCCAGACGGAACGTTTGGCTCAACGCTCAAGAGCACACACGGCCCTATCGACTCGGCAAACTCGCACTATTGGATCCTGGTCGTGGTGCTCTCCATCGCGGTTTTAGTAATGACGCCCTCCAACGCGTCGACAAGATGCTTCTCCCCGTCGATCCCGAAGAACTCGGCCCGATTTTTCTTTGTGGTCAAATCCAGGATTATGACCTCGTTGATGCCCTCCTTCTCCTCCCTCTCGAAGCCGTCCATCGAATACCGCGCGCACTTGGACCCCAACGGTGCCGATGGGTTAAACAGTTTTTGTAGGGTCTTGTCGTAAGACGTCGCACACACAATGAGCACCTTCAGCGAGGTCGCGGAGTTCGGATACTGAGTGCACAGCCGACTAAACTTCTTGCACTCCTCCCGCACGATTTTGCCATTGACCTTGCTGGACAACGTATAATTCTTAACGGCAAGACCCAGCAGTAATGGCGTTCCCGCCGTCGAGATCAGCAGGACGTCTGGCGATGATGACCTCGGAAGCGGCTTCAGGACCAACCCCCCATTTTCGAGCGCGAAGTCATAAATCTCTGTCAGCAAAGGCCCCGCTTTCTCCTTTTTCGCAGTGGCTGAGGCCATCGAAGCCGGATCCTTGCCATTCGATGCAAACTTCGGCAAAAAGTATGAACCCCTTGGGAACTCGACGTCCGCGTTCCCAAACAGCTGCTCCTTCAAAAAGAAACTGCGAAGCTTGTCACAAGGTCGGATCTTCGTAGAAAACAACTCCTGGAAGCGCGCCAGGCAAAAGTACTCGAACTGGTCCGGATGGTCGATTGCCACTTCGCCGAGTACCGTTGCAACAATCTCAAGCATCTTTCTGAAAGGGTAGAAGGCGATCGATATCGCGTACTGGATGTACTGCGGTATGTATATCTTCGCCTGCCTCGATTCGCCTTCCCACGCAATACCGAAAATGTTGGTGATGATATCGTACGTGATATCTCTGCCGCCCTGGTCTCTCCACGTCTTTGACAAGTTGAAATATTTTCCTTGTCCTTGTTCTTCGCGCACATGCCTCATGAGTTCCCGAAGTGGTATCTCAAACTTCCACAAGCGCTCACGAAAATGCTGCCAATTGACCCCGTCCAGGAGCGGACTTGTTGGGTTGAAGTTTTCAAGCTCATCAGCGGTATCACACTTTTTGAAGGCCTCCAGCAGCGATCGCGGGTGGCCGAACGTAGTTTGGAAGAGACGGGCGGCTATCTTCGTCACTTGGTCGTCGTTTAGTCCATAGTAATCCTTGATGGTCTTCTTTTTCTCGTCGTCCCAATTCGTCTCCTTGATGATTTTTTCAATAGCGGGTGGCCGAAGAAGATTAAGGCTGAGCCTTTGAAACTCGAATGTGCTGCTTGTCATTTCAACGCCTGCGGTTGGTCTCAAACCGACGTAGCTCAGGAACGATGCGCGACCAGCAATCAAGAAAAATAACTTATGGTTAGGAAATAACGGCCAAAGGATCTTTGTGCAGAATTCCATGAAGCGTTCTCGTTTGGCAATGTCACCAAGATTGTCGGCATTAAATGCCGCGCCAATTTCGTCGATCACGATGAACAGTGGTCCAACTTCTTTCGTCAAACTCGCGAAAACAAGGTAAAGGCTCGGATTGTCTTTGAGCGACTGGGGGCTGAGAGCACGAGGCAACCCGCCGTACTTCTGCTCGAACACACCACGGACGAGCTGCACGAAAGTAGCGTCGGCCTTAGCAGTTTTAAACGTCAACTTGCTATCCAGGAGGTCCATTGGGGAAAACTGAATCTGGATCGTGTGGCACTCGGTCAACGTGTCCAGGAAACTGTCTTTCCCTCGTTTGGGGTGAGCAGCCCACATTTGTTTGCATCTCCGAATGTACTCCTGACCAAAGGTTGATTTCCCGAGGCCGAACACGTTGTCCACCAGAGGGACCACCCATAGAGGACCTCCTTTCACCACAGCCCGATTGTAGTTGGTTCTGTGAAATGCCAGAAGCTGCTCCGTCGCATGCTCACGGTTCACGAAAGCCATTCTGCCACCTAGCACAGAATAGACAGGCTCCTCTTCTCGCCACACCCACTCCGTCACGCCAGCGGTTCTGTGTCGCTTCGCTGGACTCTCATCAGCTTCCTCCTTCGTTTCCTCCCGCCCTCTTGTCCGAGGAGCTGGCACAGTCACGATGAGCGCCTCCTTCATCTTTTGGCCAAGCGAATCAATCTGCGAGTCGCCGTCCAGCTCCACATCACCGTTGAACACGTGGAGTTCATTTGCAGCGAAGCCATCGAGATGTGTTCTGCCATACTTGTTTACCAGTGCATTCCGTAGATGCTCCACTGTGTTCTCTTTGACCAGAGGGAGCGAAGCAGCAGCCGTGCCAGCGAACGGAGTGCTGCGATCGGTCTTCGTTAGCTTGAACCAGACCTGGGGCACTTTCACGATAATGGGGTCCTCGGCATCCACTCCGTACGTGTCCAAACTGTCCCCCGCCAGCAGAGGCCTCCCCTCCTTCTCCTCCTTGCGGTTGGCGAACACTTTGAGGACCGCCCCATCAATGCCATCTGGGAAAAGGTATGCGAGTCCCGCGATGTCCTTGCACACTTGGCCAACAACCTTTCCAGCAGGAACTTCCAGATCGAGCGGGCGACTAGACCCCCCTTCGACCAGAAGGAAAGCCTTCCACGGCGCCGCTTGCGCCTCCATCGTCATCGACTTCGAGTGGGCGAGAAAAATCTTTCGCTCCTCTTAAGTGCGAATATTAACAGCCACCCAAATGCTGTTCTGGTCGTCGTAAGCATGGGAATTTTGGCTATTAGTGCTATTGATACTAATACTCAACTTGGAACAGTTATCACTGGCAAACTGAAAATATAACTCTGGCGACGGACACTGATATGTGTACTATCACGACATTGGCTTTCAGAGGAGAAGTAGGAGAGGGAGAAGAAGATGTAGCGGGTAGTCAGTAGGATTTCACATGCGAAGCCTAACAAAACGAGTTGTGAATCACACGCTCTATGCTGCTATCGATCGTCTCGTGCATAAGCCGAGGGCTTCTGTATCCACTGGGCATATCTAGTATAACTTCACTCAGCACTCAGCTCAAAGCCTGTTTTGGTGAGTTCATCATGCCCCCGGTGTCTTGTCCCCCGCCAGACAAGAATAAACTAATGAACTAAGAGTTGCGCCGAATTTCTGCTATGGACTCTTCTTCGTGGCTCCACGGGTGCGCCATGAACGCTACGAGGCGAAGCAGTAAGCCGACGGTGTACCTGCAGGCAACACTTCTCGTGAATATCAGTATCCGTCGCCAGAGTCATATTATCAGTTTACCAGTGATACTGTAGAAATACCAGCCAGTTCAGCAACCAGCTTTGCAACCGTCATCTCATTGGTTAAAAATGGAGTACCAGGTAATGTGTCACTTTGCTGCAGCCCTTTGAGGTTGCTTTATGAGCAACGCGCTGTGAAATGAGCTGAATAACTCTTGTGCATGTAGTACTGACTGCGAGAACCTCTTTGTAATACACTAGCGTCGCTCTCGTAGGTGCAGTACCGACCGCGATAACTGGTCACGGCAGTGTACTCCTTAAACGCCTTAACGTTCTTCGACAGAGCGGCAACAGCCCACGCGTGCAGGCAGTACTGCTGCGGGGTCCTTCCATACCGATTTTATGAGTCTGTAGCCGCGGGACGGCTTCCATTTCACGCAGATTGCTACTGTGCGGTAGGTCTGGCGGGCTGGTTTTTATTTGTGTGAAGTTGTCTGAAATGATGACACAGTTTACCTGCGTTCTCTCATCTCAGTGAGAGCTGAAAAGAGTGTGCCTCTGATCCTACCTAGTAGCCGCTGGAGCTTTCCATGGCTGGTCGAACCAGCTCATACTGTCGTACCTGCACGTAGTAGGAGGTCACGTCGGAGCCGAAGGCCTGTTATGGCGGCGGGGCTACCGGTAGAGCTAGCTCCGCACCCTCCTGGTGCTGCTGCACAACCCGTACGATTTCATGCAGGCTACCTCTACCACTTCCTCATCTAGCCGCCGTAGGCGGTGCCACGGCTTGCCACGGTGATAAAAGCTTTGCAGCCCTGCATAAACGAATTCACTTGCGTTTTGTATACTGTCTCCCATACGGCGTCGTTTTGCTACCGTGACTTGCAGTTTGTATAGGAGTTGAGTTGCAAAACAGACTAATACTTGCTACCGTGTGCGCAACCGAAGTTGCAAGCGATACCGTACCATTTGGCTACAGTACAAGGCTCGAAAAGGATCCACGGCTGCAGCAAGAGCCAATGGCTGTTAATATTCGCACTTAAGAGGAGCGAAAGATTTTTCTCGCCCACTCGAAGTCGATGACGATGGAGGCGCAAGTGGCGCCGTGGAAGGCTTTCCGTGTGGTCGAAGGGGGGTCTAGTCGCCCGCTCGATCTGGAAGTTCCTGCTGGATCTGCTGTTGGTGACATCTGCGATCAGCTTGCGAAACGAGGCC